ATCAGTGTGACTTCTTTCTTTCTCAGTTTGACTTCCTGAGTTGCAGCAACCTCTTGAATTTCCCCTTTTGAGATTCTACAAAAGGTCTCCATGTCAACTGAAAGATCTGGTGGAATATTCTGCTGGCAGCCTGGAAGACTTCTTTGAGATTAGGAGCAAACTGTTATCCTCAGAAGGCTTCCTCCTGGAAGCTGGTCCACATTTTGCATGCTGGATGCTGTTTTGGTCCTCACATTCCTGGTTCTCACAGCTCAGAAATGATCCACTTAAAGGGGAAAGGTTCAAAGAAGGGCAAAGATTATCAAAGGTCTGGGAAAATTGAATAAATGGGAACACTGTCACCCCAAGAGCAGTGACTAGGGTGGGATATGATAGAGGTCTACAATATCTTCATTGCCCAGGACTGAGTGGCTAGGATCAGCACTTTAGCATCTTTGTGGAAAAAAAGAATGGAAGGCATCAAATTAATTAGTTGAAACCAGGTTCAAAATAAGACAGGTCTTATTCAAGAACTTGTAAATCCATGGAGCTGCTTTTCAGGGGCTCAGAGAGGGATAGGAAAATGATAGTTTAAAATTTATTAAAGAGAAATCGTGGAGTCAGGAACATCTCCCAAGTTAAAAATTACCAGCACCATAAAGAGCACCAGAAGGAAGCATCGTTAGTTTACCTTGTTCTTGCTCTTCTCTGGACAGCTGCTTTTAACCACTCTTGGAGGCAAGATTTGGGCAAGAACAGTCAGACCATCAACAGAATTCACCTGCCTGCCTTCAGCATCCAGCTCATCTCTCACTTCCCTCTTGTCCTGACATAAGTTAATGTCACTGCATTCCGCAGGTGACTCCTGGATGGAGCAGCAGGCAACTTACCGCTCCCTGTTCCTTGTCATCTTTGTCACACTGTTCTTGGAACAGTCTTTTCCAACTCAGGATAGCCATTTCCACCCCCGGTACACCAGCATATAGATATTTATAAAATAAGTATTCTATTTATTAATTTATTTTTTAATATATATATTTGATACCTACAGTGTATATCCTATATCCAGGTGTCATTTTGAGGAGGGTTCAGACAGAGTGAAGACAGCCATGTGCACACCACAGTAGTGTTGCCATAGGTACAAGCAGATCTGAAAGATTTTCTTGGATCTGAAAGATTTTCCAGGCAGAAAAGAAAATTTTGAGGCATCACAATTACTGTAAACTAAAGAAATGAGGCAAGATGTGCAGACAGGTTTGGATGAACAGGTTAAAAAGCAATGCTTCTGGAAACTGATTCTGTGACTAAACAGTTCACAAACCCGGATGGGAGGAGAAGCGCTAGACTGGTGGATACCTTTGGGAGTTCCTGGCTCTGTTATAACAGCCACGCCTCTTGCCCTGCCCAGGCCTCTTCCCCATGGTTACAGACAGCACTTTTCCTTTGATTTGCTCTTTATTGGTTTTTCTCCACTGCAGCACCTGCTGAGCAATGACAAGCAGGATACCAGTTAGTTAGAAACCTGTGAACCATCTGACTTGATGGGGCCCCTGGTGGTCTAGTGGTTAGGGTGCAGGACTCTCACCGCTGTGACCCGGGTTCGATTCCCAGACCCCCGGGCAGATGGAGCTCGTCAGCCCTGTAAGGCAATCCATCTAAGAGAAGGTCACTCTAAACAAACCTACGTTCTGAGGACCTCACTGCCACTGTCCAAGCTTGCTCGGCCCCGGCAGATGAACCTCAGGATTAAAGGGTGGGCTCAGTTCAGCGCACGCTGTGTCTCACCTAAAAAATCCACTCCGCAGGCTCAAAGGGTTCGCTCGCGAAGACTGGCCATTAGATCTGACTTGATACTGAAGTGGGGCTTAAAAGTCATGCTTTAAACAACACATCACGTAGGATATGCCATCAAATTCAGCAACTTCCCCATGATGAAGCCAGGACTTTGAGCTGCATTCGAATTAGCCGAGTTACTGGCATTGAACTGTAGAACCATAGAATCATCTAAGTTGGAAAAGACCTCTAAGATCATCAAGTCCAACCATTAACCCAACACTGCCAACTCCACAATTAAACCATGTCCTCAAGTGCCAAATCTACACATTTTTTTGAAACCTCCGGGGATAGTTACTCCACCCCTTTCCTGGACAGCCTGTTCCAGTGCTTGACAACCCTTTAGGTGAAAAAATATTTTCTTAGTATCCAATCTAAACCTTCCCTGGGGAAGCCTGAAGCCATTTCCTTTTATCCTATTGCTTGTTACCTGGGAGAAGAGACTGGTCCTCACCTTGCTACAGTGTCCTTTTCTGTGGTTGTAGAGACCGATAAGGTCCCTCCCAAGCCTCCTTTTCTCCAGGTTAAACACCTCCAGCTCCTTCGGCCACTCCTCATTGGACCAGTGCTCCAGACCCTTCCTCAGCTCCATTGCCCTTCCCTGGACATGCTCCAGCACCTCAATGTCCTTCTTGTACTGAAGTACAAGTGAGTGGCCTCTTTCTTGCACTGAACCCAGGATTTGAGGTGAGGCGTCCCCAGTGCTGAGTACAGGGGGATGGTCACTGCCCTGGTCCACCTGGCTGACACAGGCCAGGTGCCACTGGCCTTATTGGCCACCTGGCCACACTCTGGCTCATGTTCAGCCACTGTCGACCAGCACACCCAGGTCCTTTTCCACCAGGCAGTTTTCCAGCCACTCTGTCCCAGGCCTGGAGCACTGCAGGGGTTTGTTGTGACCCAGGTGCAGGACCTGGCACTTGGCCCTGCTGAACCTCACACAATGGGCCTCAGCCCATTGATCCAGCTTGTCCAGACACCTCTTCAAAGCCTTCCTACCTTCTCACCTACCTTGGTGTCATCTGTGAACTGACTGAGGGTGCACTTGATCCCCTGGTCCAGATCATCGGTAAAGATATTAAAAAGGACTGGGCCCAGTACTGATCCCCAGAGGATCCACTGATGACCAGCTGCCAGCTGGATATAGTACCATTCACCACTACTTTCCAGGCCTGGCCATCCAGCCAGTTTTTACCCAGCGAACAGTGCACCCGCGCAAGCTATGGGAAGCCAGTTCCTCCAGGAGGATGGTGTGGTAGACAGTGTAAAAGGCTTTGCTGAAGTCGAGGTAGACAACCACCATGGCCTTTCCCTCATCCGCCAAGCAGGTCACCTTGTCACAGAAGGAGATCAGGTCAGTGAAGCAGGACCTGCCTTTCATAAAGCCCTGCTGGCTGGGCCTGATCCCTTGTTTGTCCTGCACATGCCGCGTGATGACACTCAATATGCTCTGCTCCATGACTTTCCATGGCACTGAGCTCAGGCTGCCAGGCCTGGAGTTCCCTGGATCCTTCTTCCAGCCCTACTTGTAGGTCGGCATCATGTTTGCCAACCTCCAATCAGCTGGGACCTCCCTGGTGGGCCAGGGAAAATGGTAGATGATGGAAAGTGGCTTGTTGAGCGCTTCCACCACTCCCTCAGTGCCCTTGGGTGGATCCCACCAGGCCCCATAAACCTGTGGTTCTCTAAGTGGTGTAGCAGATCATTGACTATTTCCCCTTGGATCATGGGGGCTTTATTCTGCACCCTGTCCCTGTTGTCCAGCTCACAGGCCTGGATACCCCAAGAACAACTAGTCTTGCTATTACTGACTGAGGCAAAGGTGGCATTAAGTACTTCAGCCTTTTCCTCCTCCTCTGTCACTATTCTTCCCACCACATCCAACAACAGATGGAGATTGTCCTTAGCCCTCATTTTGTTGCTGAGGTATTTATAGAAACAGTTTTTGTTGTCTTTTATGGCAGTAGGCAGGTTAAGTTTTAGTTGGGCTTTGGCCCTTTCAGTGTTCTCTCTGCATAATCCCACAACATCCTTGTAGTCCTCCCAGGTTGCTGCTTCTTCCACAGGTCATAAACTCTCCTTTCTTTCCCAAGTTCCAGACAAAGCTCTCTGTTCAGCCACACCAGTCTTCTTCCCCATCGGCTCATCTTTTGACCCATGGTGATGCCCTGCTCCTGTGCCTTTAAGATTTACTTCTTGAAGAATATCCAGCCTCCCTGGATTCCTTTGTCCTCCAGGACTGCCTCCCAAGGGACTCTGTTGCTGAGCATGTGTTACCCAAGGAAAAAATGGCATCTCAGATCACAGAAATTCGGAGAGCCATGTTATCATGAAATATGAGTTTCTGATTTATTTGACCTTGTCTGCTGGAAATTGTCAGAATCCCCAAAAACTGAGGAGAGGGAGTAGTTTACCTGACATCAAGAAGGCTTATTCTTTCATCTCTTGTCAATACAATCTACAAAGTATTAATGATCATATGAGGCTGAAAGTTATGAATCAAGTTCGTTACATAATTATTTTTCTTCCTATTTTATCTGTAAAATATCCGACTGCCTGTCTGAGTCTTTCCACTCAGCACCTTCATGAGACTATGCTAGTACAAAGGAATGTGACCTAAAGGCCAGATAGGAGAAAAAAAAAGGAACTAAGCTATTCTCTATGCTTTTCTGTGATGTCTTAGTGTGTTATCAGAAGTCACGGACTTCGGGGAAAGATGTCCTAGATAGAGGCACCATGGAGGAGGGGGGAATTTGCTGGGTATCTACAGCACCAAAAAATCTATGTGCTAAACCAGATTTACAAAGATGCTGTTGTGATTCTTCCGTACATGGTTTGGCAAACCCAATTACAGTTATATTTCCACAGATGACTCCAAATGCTGCTAAAAGAGTTTATTAAAGACCATACTAACAGTTCTCATAACAATGGCACGTACAATGATTCAAAATCATGACAAATAGCGTGGAGTTTTGAAGAGCATTAGTATAACACACCATGGACAAGAACAAAGCAGATGTGCTGTCTCAGAACTCTACCAGCAGGCCTATGAAATACAGGAGTCACATCATACAGCTGTACAAGTATCAGAGAAAATAGAAAGGAAAAAAAAAAGTCATTCAATTGCAGTCCTTGAATTTATTGACAGTATTACAGTACTTTATGGGCAAGGACTGGCTTGTTCCAGCTGCACTTTCCAGAGCACAAGGGCAGCTGGAAAAGCAAAAATATCCCCAATAAAAACCCTCCAACAAACATACCTCAGGTGCAATCACCACTCCAGACCTTCCTGCTTACGAATATTCAGTCAGAAATTCTGACCTCCCTGCAATTACTTCGCTCAGGACAGTGTTTTGTTTTGCAAGAAAACAAAAGCAGGATGCTTCTTTAAGACAGTGCAAAAATATTTCAATGGTATCATCAATGGTATCGTAAGATTAATAACAATCAGCGTGGATCAATCACAGCATCTTCAAGATCAGAACCAAACAAACGTGCTGCCCCTTGATCAGCACTCCAGACTGAGGGCTTGCAGAGGGGAGGCTTCTTCCTCTCTCCCAGGCAAGCCATCGTTTCTGGGTTCATAGTGAGGAATGGTCTTAGCTACACTCCAGGGTAACAAAATGCTACAGAAAGCCTGCAAGTATGAAATTATCCAATCCTCTGTCAAAAACTAACAAAAGAATATTGAAGTGGAAAAAAAAGTACATAGCAGCCATGTAATTTGTCACGGCTCTAACTCTACGACTCTAACGCTGATCCCTTCCTTACCGTGTTGGTCACGGTAGCCGGAGCGTGCCTTGCGGAGCTGAGCAGCTTTACAGCACCCCCACGGCGGCGTGAGATTCCCAGCAGCACGTGGGGATTTATATTCTCCGAGACACACTGTCTAATTACAATGGCAGGGCAGCTGCAGCCTGCTCCTGGTGTGTTGCCTTCGCAGCTTTTGGCTATGAGATATTAGGCCCCTCCGCACTTGTCTCCCATGCTCAGAGCAGCACACCCATGGACACACATTCATCCGGTGTGCATCTCCAGAGCGATCTGCCACTTCCTTTTTAAGCAGATGTTGAGGTGTCTGCATACCATGTTGGCATAACCTGTGACAGAAGATCCCCAGGCAGCTCCACAGTACATGAATTCAATGAGAGATAACTGTGCTTTGTCAAGCCCCCAAATCATCTCCTCCCAATTTCCACACAGTTGTGTGTTTGCATCGTAGCGTGATTATGTAGAACCTTTTTAATGCCTGCCAACTTCAGAGGATAAAATCACAGTGCTGCATATCAACAAAACCCAGCAACTCCAGCCTCCAATATAAAATAATTTATATACACAAAGCAGAATTTGCATCTTAAATAAGAGATTGTCTCATTCTCTATGGTGTCTTACCCAGCTACTAAAAAATAAATAATTCACATCAGATTGATGGATTTGTTTCCTATACAGCACACGTGCGCTATCGGAGCTGACAAAGACAACATGAAAAAAAACCTTTTGCAATTAATAAAAGAGAATTGTTGAACACTTGCACATATTGGCACAAGGCAGAAGAGAAAAGGGAATATTACACAGCTCAGCTCAGGTGCCTTCCTCTGTGGAGCGGGATTCAGATTTCAACTTTACAAATTCTCTGGCAACTTCATCATTGGTTCTCTGAGAGAGAATCCTCAAGATTGTAAGTCCAGTCTCATCCATGTGAATCCTGCGCCCAAGGGGGCACCAGCAAGCACAGCTTCCTTTGTCTGCTATGTCTCTGAGCTGCATCACTGCTATCCCCAGTACCCGGTCCTCCCGAGCGAAGCAGTAATCCTTCACACAGACTTGGAGCTCATAGGCATCGGGGCCATCTTCATTCCCCAGGATGCTGAAAAACACACACAAATTACAGTTTCTAAAGTGTATAAATTCCTCTGCAGAATAAAGGTGTCAGCAGCTGACTAGAGTGCTCTGATAAGCCACAGAAACTCATTTCTTCAGAAAACCCTGGTCAGGGAGGGAGAAGTAAAACTTATAGCATGTGGGCATTTTTGCTGATTTATAGCAGATAAGACAACCTGGTTACTTAAAAAAAAACAAAAAACAACAACCTTATCAAGTTGCCTTCGCAACTTGGGGGTGTGTGTGTGTATGTGTATTAAACTGTGAAATGAGAGGAGCATGGAATATTAAAGCCATGCTAATAGATTGTCAACTCAGAAGACTTTAAACATTTCTGCTTCTCTTAAGGGTTGCTTCATTTCAGAATTACTATTTTAATTAGATGAGGTCTTTGTTAAAGATTCAAAACCTTCCATTAAAGCAAAAGCTAATAAAAATAAATCCCCAACCCTTCTGATGTTGCTAAAATTAAAAGAATAAAAGGAACAAAATCTCTTCACTTAGAGGAAGTCTGACTTTTCCCACAGAATAGAAAAATTATATGAACATTCCCTCTTCCCCAGAGATTCACAGTCTTTTGCTGGTCAGCTCTGCTCCACTCATTTTTACATGTACAGCTGAGTGAGCACTAGCCTGCAGCTCCCTTTGTTGAGCCTTCAAAGAAGGAATATGTCTTTGTAATAATGAAAGAAAGCCAAATAAGAAGAGATCAATACTCGACACTGAGAAACACTGCAATTTTAGCAGTGCAACCAGCAGTTCCAAGGGCTGTATCCTTGGAAACAAGTTCAGAAAGCATGTCCCACAGGTCAAGCAGGGATAAAAACGCACATTGAGGTTAAGAGAACGAAAAACATGTAATGAACTTTTAGCCTCAACTCTACCAGTAAAAGATACAAAGTTCATTAAAATGACAGAGTAAAATACGTTCATAGGACACACAGTGCATTTCAGAAGGTAGCTAAAGGACTCTCCTGGTACAGAACAGACCTCAGCATCCCACCTGCAGCAAAAATTCCCATGATCTAGTGTTTCCTGCCAAGGAACCAGGCACAGGGCCAAGCTACTGGTTCACACACTCTTCTGGGCCCTGAGCAGGCTGTTTGTGGACACTGAAAACCCCTAGCTGCCCTCTGCATCTGCACTTGCCACACCAGATCCCTAGGCTATTTTTCACACTTACAAGTGAAAGGTTTCATTGTATTTTGGAGCCCAGTTGTTGCTCTTTGACTTGGTTGTGAACTTCCTCTTCTTGTCACTCTGATGGGGGCCAATCATGGTGATTTCAACAAATGGACGGAACATGCCAGACGTCTGCCACTTCAGGTCATTGGCTGCCACAACTGGAAAAGAGAGTTATCATCTGTTCCCATTGCTCAGGACACCTTTCCGCCCCACCCTGCTTTCAATTTCTTGCTTCAGGGGGCAATGTCACAACACGCATGGGCAGTGTATATATTTTGTACTACAAAGATGTATATGCCTTTTTGATCTAATTTAAAGTCTGTGAAGGGAATTTAATGTTTGGGACATACAGCTTCTGCTATATGCATTGTCAAAAAATTAGCCCAAGAAAACAGGCATCCCTGCAGCTCTGGGCAGGCTGCCTTGACAGTCAGTGCTTACATCTACCTTATGGGTGGGATAAGAAAAAAAAAAAGGAGGATTTTGGAGGCCAATATTAAGGTCTCTGTTGAAAAGGAAAATGAGACTGCAGGTAAGACAAACAAACAACATGAGCTGTGAGTGGTTCCAGAATCCACAATTATTAGATTTTTAATTCTCTTTCTCTCTCAGGTCACTGCAGGGAACAGACTGAAGCAGAGGAAATAGCTCTGAAAATCAGCTTTTGCACTGCAGTGTAGATTTAGCCAAAAGAGAGGCCTGAAGAACTCTTCATGTAAATCTTTAGAGGAAATTATTTAAGTATGTTGTATTCAAGAAAAGGAGGCGAAGGAGGAAGAGGAAGCCTGGGATGAATCACTACTTTGGCTATTTTCAGAGTGGCTCTTCAGGGACCAACGTGGCCTTCAGGATGGGGGAGAGGAGCCTCTGAACTCTTACTGGTTCTGTGATCTCTGGCTATACACTGAACAGTTTCGTAACATCACCCTGTCACGCTGCCCCGTTCTCTGCAGCACAGACTAAACTGTGGCGCCTGGTGAGAGCCATCATCTGATTTTTGTTTACTGCTTATATCGTTGCCAATAAACAACAGGGCTGTACATTGCCATGTCACTGGCTGGACAAGCTCATTTGCTGTTTCTCTACATGTTCCTGATGTGAAACAGAGAAAACAATTGTGGACTCAGATCCCATGAGCTAACACTATCATGGCTGCCAACTGGAGATTTGCCTCGATGCAGTCACAGAGCCTGAGCAGTAACACATGATTTGCCATACCTTTCACCGTGACCTTGTGTTCACCAGTCCCTGGGTGCGTGTACAGGTCAATCTGTATGGACACTTCACCCACAGGATCATCCACACCGGAGCCTGTTGGAAGAAAATGGACACCCCCCCATGCACACATGGATTACTGTTTATTGGCACCAGTCTTGGCCTCAGCAAGACAACATGGTGTTTTCACAGTGCACCTTCCATAGCCAGCTTTTCAGTCAACACCAATAATGTCACGTTAATGCAAGATATCATCAGGCTCGCATGCCCAACACGCATGAACGCTAACATTTCTTGCACTCCACCGTGAAGATCACATCCTATTGAGAATAACAGTAAGAATTTCAAAAGAATTTAAAAGACCTAATGCTCAACAATGGACCTTCACAGAGAGCAAGGATTTTTCAGAGGTTCCTGCCAAGGTATTGTGTGTACATGCAGGCATTCCAGTGGTGGGCAACGGCATTCCTGTCTGCCCAAGGAAGAAGGGAGGACAAAAAACCCAGCAACAAAAAGAAAAGAGGAGGAGAGGACATCACACAAGAGAGGAAGTTTAGGGGAAAAAAATACATAGATGCTAGTGATTTGCACAGAGCTATAGTGCAGTCTCACCCTCCAAGAACCTTTTTCCATGCTGTACATCAGTTAAAAGTTGTCATCCTGATTGCCTATCTGCTTCCTTTTGGAGGATAACGAGAACCCCTTCTCTGTTGTGCATCAAAAATGATGAGAGAGAAGTACTCATAATTTGCATACTTGTTTCCCTTTATCAATTAGTCAGGGACAAAACAAGATTTAGCTTCAGAGAGGAAAAGACAGCATGTTGTAACAGAGACAAGATCTCATGAACCTTACCATTCATGTATTATGATTTTTTCATCTTTTTAACTTTTAATCATGATTATCATGGAATATGTGGAAATGACATTTTCCTGGGTAGTAAAATCAAGATGTCATGTAATTACACAATAAGACCGTTTAGCAAATGAAAATGAAGTCTTTGATAAGATAGTGAGATTGATTTTACTTTTGCTTTGATAACTGCCTGACCTCAGGTTGACAATTAGAAATGCTGTTGTAATTGAGACACCTACAGCCTAATTGAGTACCTATGAGCAGTATTGAGGCTAAGACACATTACTAAGTGAAAAACTGGTCTGTTTGAAATTCTAGATAAGGAATCAAACATTTTGATTAGATCTAACAAATCAACTTACACAAGAACGGTCTGCAGGCAGCAAAACCACTCATTTAAAATCCAAGAGGTTGAGAGGTAATCTGTGCAATTCTCTGAAGAGAATTACATGCCACAGAACTGTAGGCAGTGAAAGTCACATTAATATAAAAGTATCTGAGCAACCAAAAGAGAACCTCAAATTATTACCTTAGGGTAGATTCTAATGCTTGACCTGCGTACAATAAACAATCTTTAGGCTGTAAAAAAACATGATCTTGAATGTACTGTTTCCTCCCCACTTAGAAGGGCAGTGTCACTTTTTTGTATATAAGCATAGAGCTTTAAAATTGGCAGGCTTAATTATTGACCTGATTCATCTGATGGTGTGGGTCTGTCACTTACAGATGTTGGTGTTTTCCACAGGAACAGACAGGATTACCAACAGTATGTAACTGCCTAATCCACAGAAACATCAGCCAACAGACACTCAGGTCTTAATTTTATTGATCTTTAGTGTAATTAATAGGTTATAAAGGAGACACTGATGCTTCAGAAGAATGACAGTGGAATTTCCCCATTACCTTTGAGGATGACAAAATTTAGATTATTGTTTTATTCCTACCTTCGTTCTTTCCTTTTCATACAAAAACCTTGTTCTACTAACTGAAATTAACAAAAAAAAAAAATCCACTTTGAAAAATGCCAGTTGAGCACGTACAACTGTGTGCATACACATTTGCAGATTTAATTCTTAACATGAAAATCTCATTGGTATTGCAATACTGAAAGGTGAAACTGCAGAACTGAGCTCGTGCAATGGGTTACAGATGTATTTCACCTAAGATAATAAAAAGACTTTGGACAGCAAAAAATAAATTGAGAGATGAAACATTACAAGACTTAATTTTTTTAGGGGTCTCCTGAGCACCCAGACCTTTAGCTACCTCCCTTCAAGCCAGGTGGTTCAAGCTTGGCATAACCTTGAGTGCAAATCAGACATTTCCATGTATTACAGTAGCCCTTCTCAGCAAACCATACACATGCAAGTCCAAGACTTGAAATACACAGCCCGTGGTAAAGGGTAGGGGAACAAGTCTGCAGCATCTCCCAAAAAACAGTCCATTTTCAAGACAAGGTTCATATCCCATTAATAAATCTCAAGCTTGGGGACAGGCTCTCAGGCAAGGTACAGACTTCTAAACCGCACCACCTGTGGCTCTTCTGTGGGATGCAAGCATTCAGTGAAAGTTCACTTCTACAGGGAACTACAGGAAACAGGACTCTGGAAAAGGTTTCTGAGCATGGGCAAGATGACTTCAAAAGCAAGGCAGTTGGGTAATGTTGTTATGGTAACAACATTAATCTTGAACATACCCTTATCAGGAAGAACGTCCTCATTAGCGGTAAACCTTATACCTTTCCCATCATGCACTGAGACATGAATTCAAAAGGCAAGAAGAAAGCAGGATAAAGAGAGAAGAGTATGAATTACAATACAATCAGCAGTGTCACTTAAACACAAGACAAATATTCTAGCTCTTAATAACAGACAAAATATTCTCCTAGGTCTTCTGGCCCAGTCCAGGCTTTGGAGAGCAAGGCTGTCCGCGATTAAGGGATTGTCTGGGTTAAAACAGGAACCGAATTTGTGCTGGCATAACTAAACTGCAAGCCCTGATCCAGATCTGCAGAGCAAATATTTAACAGCATAGTGCTATCGAAGCCTGCTCAGTAAGGAAATGAGAGTGGTAGGTACCTCACAAACTGGAAGAAGCAACCATTGAACAGTGAAGTAAGAGAAGCAAGCAGCATTTAAATAATTCTGCATGAAGCCATGTCCTCCCATGGGCTTGTGGGACACGACTTGTGCAAAGGGAAACATGAGTCACAGCTGTAAATAGAGGTGCTGTCCTTTCTGCCCCTTCAACGTGTGTGCAGATCTCCAAACCCACCTACCAGCTGTAAGTAGAAGTGTAAGCAAGTAATATTCTTCTTTAGCCCAAATCCCAGGAGAGAGTCATGCCTTTCTCAGAGATATTCCATCATAGATATTAGGTGGAGGAGCTCAAATCTTTTATTCCCCAAACAGGGTCCAAAACTCTCAAGCCCACTAATATACAAGATGCTGATTTGGACCAGCTCAGTGGCCTACCATGCCTAGTACCTGTTCTACAAAGTGGCTCAGATAAGTCACAAAAATGCCCTCAGTCAGCTATGAGATATAATTGATGACCTCGTAACACGTGCATCTTATGTCCTAAAGCTAGAGCTTCATTCTTTCTAAGGTTCTTAAAAAATGCATAAATAAATACCCAGGCACACACTTCTGTGGCAACCTTCTATGTTCCTGCTGCTTAGAGATTATGTTCTATTATCTTTGTGTTTCTGCTAAATATTTGCCCCCAGTGAAATTCTACAGTCAAATCATGCATTGCATAAACCTGCTTTCTCATATCAGCTTTGAATCTGTCACTTTGTGACTTCAGTGGAGCAATTTCTTCCTCTAATTTTAAACACTCCTGACTGTAGCATGGACTGGAGAATGACACTGCATTGCAGCACACTTCCTTGTACCTTGGGTCATCATGGCTATGTAACAGTATCCACATAAAAAAATAGCTTCCATTCATGGTTTGGATATGTAACGTGAAACATTTGCATAGGGTAGCAAAAACTGAAAGCACTCAAGTGTGCACTCAAGTTCCCTGTTAAAAAGTATTCTGAGCAACTGATGACAACAGCCAAGTTCCTGGAGTCCCTGGTGGATGTAGAAGTCTTTGACCCGTCTGGCCACTGGATGTCATCGTTGCTCTGCTGGGACACAGCTACAGGACCATTCTCTCAGAGGCAGGTACTGACTTTTAGTTAATTTCAATGTTTTAATGCAGTATGTTTCAACCTAAGCAAGACTAGACCATGCTTCTAAAGGCAGGGATCACAGAATTACAGAATCGTCACGGTTGGAAGAGACCTTCAAGATCATCTAGTCCAACTGTAAACCCAGCACCACCATAATCACCCTTAAACCATGTCCCCAGGTGCCACATCCACACCTCTTGAACTCTTCCCAGAGATTCTGCTAGCTCCCTGGGCACCTTGCTCCAATGTCTAACCACCCTGTCAATGAAAAAAATAAATTCTAATATCTAATCTGAACCTCCCCTGGGACAATTTAAGACCATTTCCTCTTATCCTTTCATTTGAGACATATCACAACCAACTCCCACCTCACTACAACCTCCTTTCAGGTCCCCCCTGAGTCTTGTCTTCTGATGATTCAGCCCCCCACAACTACACTCAACCTTTCACTTTAGTCTCTCAACTAAGGAGTGCTTTCCCCTTGATTTTGGGGCTCGTTGTGATGGTATGCTGGCAGAGTTAGTACCATCTGTGTGGTTGCCAGCTCTTGGAAGGATTAAAGGAGAAGGATCCAATGCAAAAAGATGGCAGGAGGACACCCCCATGGGGTTCTACTTTGCTGCTGAGATGAAGCAGCCTAATGACAAGGCTTGTATTTAAACAGCCTGAGAGCTTAAAAGCATTAGTTTTGGGTTTGACCTAACCTCTAGCAGCATCTGTCCCCTCTTACTGAGATTATGAGACTCATAGTCAGCTGGTGAAGGTCCTTGACTAGAGACCAAATTATTCTGTAAAACAATCTGGAGATGTTCACATGACAGCAATGAAAGATAGAGACAACTAACTGTTTACCCCTTCAAATTCAATGAAACAGTACCACTAAGCCATAAGGCTTCCCAGAGAGCCACCAAAAACTGTGGTGACCCATCCCAGCAGCTTATTAATATATTGTGGTGATCTGTAAACATCTAGCTCCCACATATCCTGTAGCTCCATGACTCATCACGTTGGTGTCAATCAGCCTTAGTCAGGCCTGCACAGGCTGTGCTGGCAGCTGGCCTGTGACACAGGCACTGACTAGTTTCTGCAGTGGTGTCTCGCTGAAATGGTCCCCCACACCACTGTGTAAGTCTCAGTACAGTAACTTCAAATTTCACTTAAGTCACCCACCCACATTAATTCATGAAACGTGACTGATAAGGATTGCAGAGAAAAAAGACCACAAACACCCCAAGCCTTATGTTCCACACATCTCTGCTCTCTCAAAATGTAGTCATGGAGTGGGAAATAACCCCCTTTTCCTCCTTTCCAGTTTTAAACTGAACTGTCACGTTTCCAGAAACATTACTGCCAAAAGCACTCTACAAACTGGCAGTACAAGACAGAGAAATTATGAACAGAGCGGAGAGCTCCATTCAACTCTGCCAACAACACAAAAGAGTCTTACCCTGAGCTGTCTGACTCTGGACAAAGGTTTTGATGAGAGTGTCTGTGGTCTGAGTGTAGAGAGAGAGAGCATATCGAAGTGACTGCAGGTCTGGACTCTTCTCCAAGAAGGTTTTCTTCAGGCCATTCCCACCAGCATGGAAATATTGCTAAGAGGAAAAAGAAACAGGAAAAATACTGAGCAAGAACTGCAATCAGCATCCAACATGTATGTGCTATTGCATGTGCAGATAGGAAATAGCTGGAAAAATTCACGAAACAGCTTCTGTACTGGAAATCCAGCTCTTAGAACAACTGATATCAACTGATGAGCACATGGCTTTCCTCTTCCAAAGCACTATAAGTATGCTGACTCCCAGCGTGCCAGTTACCTGAGCCTATTCAGGTTTACACAAACTCCTGCCATTTCCTGAACTGGGACAGGCACTGTCCTCCCAAATAGGATTTGGGGATGGAGTAAGGGAATGACAGAGGCAGAAATGGAATCACTTACTTTGATTGTATCCAGTGCCAGGTCCAGAACAGCACACTGCTTTGGAGTGAGACTCCTGGTTTCTTCTCTCACCATATGATCCTGCAAACAACCATTATATTTGACACAGGCATGCTATCAGAAGCTAAAGGAAAAGGAGTATCCACTATCATCACTTTTTCTGGATTCACGCTGTAGTTATGTGGTGACAGCATAAATTCAGCTATTTAAGGAACAGTTAATGGAATCTCTCAGAGTCATTTATTACAGCTTAACTTGAAAATAAACTCATTTTCTCTCTTTTTTTTTTGCAGGCACAGAAGACATAAATAAGGAAAAAGGAAGTGGACAGAGATAAGTGACAATTTAAAATCACAGTTTGTCTCTCTAGAAAACCCAAACAAAAGTCTTGTCTGCTACCACTGTCATTCTAGAGCAGCTACAACAAAACTTTCAAAACACCACCTAAATCAAAGAATTCTGGTAACTCTAAGTCAAAGTTGTTATATGCTGTTTCTCGATTTTTTAGTTCTTCCAACTACAAAGGTCACTAATTCATCATGTCATTGGTGTGGAGGAAGAAAAACAAAAACCATGTTCTAGAAAATATGTTTGCTAAAAGAACACATTGTTCCCATTAAGACCCACCATCTCTCTACGTCTCAGAAGAAGACATCATATTTTAGGAAGCAGAGCCTTGCACAAACTCAAATTCTAACTGGTGGGTCAGGCCAGCTGACTGCAGCTTGGGTGCTAAAGCATTTGTGAAGAGGATGCAGGCAAATCAGGCAAAGGCTATTTATGGTACTTTAAGCATGTCATAGCCTCCAATAAGAGACACTTCCCAGGATACACATCTGCTAAATTGCCTATCAGTAAAGCATGCCTAGTGTGTGGCACCATGTGCACGTTTCACACAGACAGACCTGCTGGCTATCTTGCAGCTTGGTGATCCTTCATGCTGCCTGGTGCTGTTCCTATTCATTATCCACTGCGATCCATCTCCTGCCTGATGGAGACAGGGATCACCGCAGTTCAGGCGCAGCACGAGGCATTTGCCACGCTTCTCACAGACATCTAGCTGGCAGCTTCACACAGTGCTGCATTAAACTGCACAGAAGATGCCTCTCAAGTTGTCAGTACCTCAGACAAGTTCACACTGTGCTTCCTTGAGTAGTGGAGACATCCCTCCACTTGCCTCTTTCCCCCACACAGGATGCTCCTGGTCTAGGGACCCATATGCAGTGGCAGAGTACTCTGTAGGCTGCAGAGTATCTTCTGTTGTGACAAGCTGTCCTGAGCGGAGCAAATACCTCTCCTCCCTCTTCTTCATGAGCTAGGAGTAATTCAGTTGAAGATGATGTGGCTTCACACTTCAGGAGACAGAGGGTAAAGCATTCTTTTCTCTCTCTGACAGTCAGATAAAGTGCAAAATCAGCCAGAGCCCAAAGCCACATTTGTAGGAGAGGCCAATTTAGTCAAGGTAGCTGTGTTTCCAAGGCAGAGTGACTTTAACATCTGTTAAAATGACTTTCTAGGCCTGCCTGCCAGATTGCCCAGACTGTGACAGAATCCAGGTGGTTTCTCTTTCTCAACATTTTTCTCTTAAACACCTGAAGAGCTCATTCAGCCCTGTTCTGAGTGGTCATTCCCCTGGTGCCCATGCTGTCAATGCACAGCAACACATCACTGCTTTCTTTGAATTTCCCAGTGTCATTTACTTCAACACATTTTATAAAAATAACCCAGTGACTGGACTGGCAATGCTTGCACCTACTCACAGAGGAGCCCACGACTGTCATTCCCCTGCGTACCTGCCCTCTGCAAATCCCACACTGTTCCTATAAAGGACTGTGCAGAGTGCTACCTTGCACTTCCCAGATTGCCAACCAGGAGCAAGACACAAATATTTACGTCAAATAATAAAGCAGCTTCAAGCAGAAGAAGTAAAAAACCAGAACAACCCAACAAACTTGTCAAACTCATCCTTGTATTCTGCACAGGTACTCTCAGGAGAAACTCTGTGGTCAGAGCCTGGCTTTTTAGCCTGAGGGCAACAAAAGGAAGGGGAGGTCGCTGCTCCCTGCTCCAGCTGCTGGCTATTAAGCAAACCAAGCGGAAAGAGTTTGATAAAAAGTGAGAGGCAGATATGTGGCACCTAGGTTCCAGGTTTATGGTTGGCTTTCTGAGCATTTTAAAATACACTGTGAAATTGATTTGTCATTGGGATGAGAGCCTGTGCTTCTCAGGTCTGTCAGCCTCAGTTTTCAGCTGAGTTATCTGATTCACTAGGGCTCTGTTCTCCCTGTTCTATTTAAGACCAATAAAGCTTAAAATCCATCCCATAATTTTCCCAGGATTTTAGTGGAACTGCAAAATGCAGAGCAGAGTGGCTCTGAAGAACCATTTACTCATGCCTTCCCTGTTAGCTTGTATGTGCCTGCAAAAACAAAAGGATAAAAAATTGTAATATCCACGATGCTCACAAGGACCCAAACAATCTACACTCTTGTAACACTCCTGTTCTTCTGGAAGTTTTTGGACACAATGTTGGTTCACATAAAGGTTTCCAAAATTCAGGTGGTATAGTGCTTTCCCACTTGAGCACGACTCTCTTGACACATATAAAATCCTGGGTACCTGCTGCTGCAGTTCTATATGTGGATATGCAAATAAAGGTTTGAACACACCCCAGGGCTTGCCTGATTTGCATGATTATGTGCATTTCTAAAAGTGCACCCCAGAGTTAACAAAGTTAAGCTTTACTGTAACTGAACTGAAGACAGGCTGCTGCTGAGGGATGGCCTTCATGTGACCAGTGCAAACAGAAACCAGCAAAGCTTCCAACTCATTCCTGGCAAAAGGCACCCTGCATATGTTTGGAAATTCTGGTTCCAGAACATATGGAACAAGTAAAAGACAACACTGAATGTCAGTGGCCATGCTAAGAATGCAAGCAAGCCACAGGAACTCACAGACCGTCCTTGTGACGTGGGAGAAGGAACAGAGCAAATCTGGAGCTCTGCCCCTCAGACAGCAGGAGGGCATGTAGAAGGCAGGGATGGCTTCTCTTCTGCAAAAGCTGCGTTCTTGCTGATGTTTTTGAAGGGGGAAGGGGATACTCACAGGAAACAGGAGTCATATTTGGATGCTGTGGTTCAGCTCCCATTCTCCCAGGCTGGCTACAAAGCTCCTTCCTACCCATTTTTCCACGGAAGTGACACACAGCATTGCAAGCGCAGGAAGCAGTGAAGGAAATGCAATCCTTAGGAGCCACATCACCAGGGAGGACAGCCTGACCGTGGGAGTGCATGAGGACATCACTCAGCACAAGTGACAGCTATTCCCCCGGAGAGCCACACTTCAAGGTTTATGTTATGTGACTGTTAACTGCTATGTAAAGGCCTCAAAATGCAGCTGGAGAAAAGTGTGCACATGTAATGACACACCTGCATGTCCAGATCACTTACTAGGATTGCTAATAAGCACCACCTTAAATGAGTTGTGTACTGGCCTGGCTCATAAACGTGTATGTAAAATGTGTCTGCTGGGCAAGGGAAATAGATAGGCATATGAAAACAGCTGTATTAAGTGTGCAAGACAAAAAAACATTATAGAAAGGGACAAATAGATTTTTAAATTACTCCTAATCACTTAGGAGAATGTCCTTTGGTCTGGGAAGATTTCCCTGATCATGCTCCAAGAAAAAGTTCACGTTCAGCTCCCTTTCAGAACAGTTTGTGTACTGTGACGCTTCAGATTTAGAGCTCCTCTTGCACAATATGTGTCTTGTAGCACAAGTCCAACCACAGCATAGTGCAATATTAATGCTGGAAGGCGTCACTATTCTCATACCATTTCTGTCGTGATCAGTGAATTAGTGCTTGATTTGCTTATGATGAGGTGGCGTGCACTTCATAATGCTCATGTCATGCACTGTCATGTCATGCACTGTCAAAACACATCAACATAGCCTTCATGCTAAATGCCAGCTTGCCTGTAAAGAGAGCCCACGCAGAAGGAATTTACAGACACAAGCTCTCTTCCATAACAGTTGTTTTTGTAACAGTCCATATAATTCATCCACACCTAGCACAATCATCTTTCCAACCAATACCTCATTAGGGACTCCCTTTTACATATGGGGATACAGAGGAACTGGACAGATAATTGAGAAATCTACTTTTTTTCATTTTAAACTGATGTCCAAAACTGACCATTGTATCTACAGAAGAGAAAAAACTACTTTGATGATTAAACTCACAATAAAATTAACTGTTAAACACTATACTAATGTTAGTAGAATGCATTTAAAAGCACACTTAATGCATTTAAAAGCATTTCTCTACAACTGCATTCAGTGACAAACCACTGGAAGCACAAGACATGCTATGCACTACTACACCTCCATGCTTACACACAGGGATAAATAACAGAAGCCATGCAGGACAATACCTTCAGCTTTGACAAGTGTCCCAGTTCCTTAGCAGCACTGAAAATCAACTGTGTGCCCTATGATGGCGAGAAGTTAGAAAAGAAAGGAGGGGGAAAAAAAGGTTATAAACAAGCTTTGCATATTTTTCCAAGCAAGTCAAGCCAGTTCACAGCTAAAACTTTACGTAACCTTCCCAAGGCCAGACACAACAACTGGACTCCTTGCCTGTTTATTATGTAGTGTAAAAACTGGCATTTCCATGGATACCACATCAGGACCTATTTCAGAGCACAATATTTTGCTAACTGGTTCTCTGTTTACAGCAGCCACACACTTATACAGTATGTGGCTTCAAATGGATTGCACAGGCTCAGGGTGGAGGCAGTGCACTGGAATGGTATCCATGTGCTCCTTCAGATTTCACATCTAAATACACAAGAAAACAGCATAAGATTGGCCAAAGCAAAAGATCACAAAACTGATGAAAATCTCACTGTAGAGGTAGAGCCCAATCATCAGGGTGAGGGTAAAGCACACCTCAGATCAGAAACAAAACTGCACCTGAGCTGTTTACAAGTGAGAGATTGCCAAAGTCCAGTGAATACTACAGTATCACCTTTAATTGTCAAGAGCTTGGCCAGTGGCTCTTCTTCCCCCACTGTGCCGTACTGAAGCTGTATAACCAATGGAGAAACACAAAGGGAACATAAATCCCAATGGCAGGAAATCTCGCTTCAAGTCACTTACACTCTCATATAATGTATTTTTATATACTTTACCAGCAATGGTTGCAACTAAGATATTTTTCCTTTTTTTTCCTACACACCATTTCTCTGTTGTGTAATATTCCCTTTGCCTGGGGAGTGAAGCCCAAAATTTAATGAGAAAGCCAAAAGCAACCAAGACAATTCTCCAGTATCATCTCCCAAAGATACTTAATGGAGTGTGCTATAATTTATTTTCTTCCACTTCACTCATCCTTTTCATTCATTTAATTTTGTCTTTTTCTTTAGAAAAGTCACCATTGTCTATTACTCCACTCGGTATGAAACCCTAGCTTACTGTAACTCTCTATGAATTTGCACTCCAGCTCTCTCAGGCTAGTCATATTTGGGCTTTAGGACCAGGACAAAGCTACAGGTTTCCCTAATTAAACCTCCCCTCAATTATCCTTCTCAGGAAAACCTTCAGTATGTCAGGAGCAATGCCCTCCCAAAGATGATCTCTGGGTGTCCTCACTTGTACTTGGTCACTAGGGACTGGTGTTAAAGTACCTGTCACTGCAGGTATCAGTTGAGAAGTGCCCGGGGATGTCCCAACTGAATGCCTGAAGTAAGATTCCAGGGATGGACATGATGCCTTAAGCCCCTAATGGTTTTTTATTTTTCTAATATTTGTAAGACTTATGAGTTTTATAAGTAGGTTTTAAAAGCAGAAACCCCTTCCTTCTTTGTCCCTTGTCCCTTTTCCCTTTCTCCAGTACCCTTGTTTATACATTCCCTAACCCTCTTACCCCATTCTATGCTCCCCATATCAATCCTGCTTCTGAATACAGCAGAAGTGTTTAGTCTTTTGCCAAGGCAAGGCCTAGACAGTTGACAGAACAGCATATCTGGGCCTAAACCACAGAATAGGTCAGGAATTAGGTAACTATGTACCCTTTGTGCTCTGATGAAGACAAAGATGGGATGAAGGGGGGGGTCCCAAAATACACCCCAGACCCATTTCAAGGGGGAGGGCCCGGGGCAGACCAGAGAAAAGGCCACAGGGTGGGCAGATCTGGGATTGGATAGAGGGTATTATAAAATGTAACCTCTCAGGCACGGGGTGCGCGCGTCGTATACCATCTACTGCCTTGGCAAATAAACCCTTTCTTATCTCACCCCTAATTAACTGCTCTGGGAGATTTTTTTCAGCACCAAAATACACCGGCAACAGACATTTCCAAGAATGCACTTTGCAATAGGGTCTTTTGCTCAGAAAAACACTTGAGAGATGAATCACAGAATGGCTTGGGTTGGGACGGACTTTCAAAGGTCATCTAGTCCAATTTCTCTACAATGAGCAGGAACATCTTCAACCAGACCAGGCTGCTCCGAGCCCTGTTCAACCTGACCTTGAACACTTTCAGGGATGGGGCATCTACCACCTAGTTTAAATCTACCCTCTTCTGGTTTAAAATCACACTTGCTACATGATACCTATGTACCAATTGGTCACTTAGGCACTTGGAAAATAAATGTTAACACATAAAATGTGTTTCAACTAGATCAGGTTGGTCAGAGTCCCACCTAATCTGGCCTTGAATGTTTCCAGGGACAGGACATCCTGTCTCAGGACTGTTGGCTCCACTAGCTAAAGGTCTCCAGTAAACCCCATTCTCCTTTCCACAGCCCTCCTTCCCTCTCCTTTACTACCCTTTCTCATCTTGACAGTCTTTCCCTCTCCCACTTAATCACAACCTCTAATTTCTCTGGCTTTGGAAATTTCTTCAAGCTGAAAGACTCTGTGGCCTGAAATTACAGATCACCTCTTGATTTGCTCTGCTCGTAACCATCACCTAACCCTCACTGTTCCTCAGTCTTTTATGTTTGTTGACTAAAAATCGTCACAGAATGAACGTTATTGATTTTGTAGCTAAACAGAAGCTCTTGATAAATGATTAAATTCACAACTTTTGGCAGGGGTGGAGGGGAAAGTGCAGGCAAGGACAACACATCCATAAAGGAAAGCTTCTGAACTGAAACTGGGAGCTTGACTTGCTGTCAGTATCCCTTGTAGTGTTTAAGTAGTGTTTAAGACTACTACTCTATAATCTAAAAGAGCAGTATTTTCTCTGTATTTCCAGCAAGCAAGGTTGAACATGACTGCACACCAGGAACAACAGATTCCACTGTGGGCCATGCCAAATAACTCACCAGAGTACAGGGTTTCAGCCAGCAGATGTGCCTGCTGTTCTGTACAATTGGCCACATAGGGGTTTTTTTGACTTATGGGTCTTAAAATTTAAGGTTTTCAAGCCTATTAACCAAGCAGGGGGGAAAAAAAAGATCAACATTTTTATATTCTGAATTCCAAAAAACTGAGTAGTCTCAAAACACACTAACATCAACATTTCTTAATTCAGTATTTTCAACGTTCACTGGATGCTTCTTTTTAGATACACTCAAACAACAACATTAACCAGCCTTGGCACGTAGCCTCACTGCTGCAGGCTTCTAAGGAGGGCAGGCCAGTAACACTGAGCAATACTCAGTGACTGGATACGCTTCATGGAACAAAGCTGCTCAGATAACTGCTCATTTCTTGCATGCTAAGAAAATCCTCATCAATCAGTGACAATCTCTGTCAATGCGTCTGCAAGGAGAAGTTATTTTACCGTTACGCCGAGTTTGTCACCAATGCTGGTAACATCTAATGAAAATCTGGACAGCTCCTTCCCCTGCCAAATGGCATTCTTGTAAACAAGGTGCCATACTGCTCAAAAAAGTTATTTATTAATGAAAAACATACCACAAAGGTCTACAGACAGCATCACAGCACTTATTCCAGGGAATTAAAACAAATAAACTATCAGGTAGTTTTGAGAAAAGCTGCCTACAGTGGAATTGATTAAAAAGACAAGGAGAGAAATGAGGAAAAATTAAGTCCTTATTATGAATCATGCCTAGCTCTGTGGCAAACATAGCTGGAAAGGGGACAGGCCTTCGTGCTGATTTTTTTGGCTCTTCCCATAATACTAGCTGTATTTTCCTAAACTTTACAGTAACAGAAACACACCTATAGTCCACGACACAGAGATTTTAAATTCCTTGTTAATGGTCTGATGCTTTTTTCTTCCTCAGTGAAAGCATTTAGAGAAGGATCATCAGCTGACTCAAGTCTAATTGTTAGAAGCCAACAGAACTGCACTGATTTATATTCCAAGCAGCTCAAACCCCCAAAGCTTAACTGTCCTACTGCTCAGTTGACAAAGTTGGGAAACAAAAGCCTACTGCAAGTCTTTTGGATTCCAATCCTTTTTTGTAAAACATATTATTAGTGAGGCTCATTTTTCTGAGATATACCAGTGAAAGGAAGTTTCATCTGCTATTGTCATTCCTTTCCTGTAATTTTTTCAATTCCTACATTCAACAACAATGAGATCTGATAATTTTTTAACAGCATTTTAAGTTCATTTAAAAAACTCTATCATAACTGGCAATGTTCATTTGCATACATTAAAAGACTTTTTTTTTTTGCCACTGTGGTGTATTAATCACTGACAAAATAGGTTTAAAAGTGGGGATGAAAAGGGAAAAATAATTACCTGTCAGTACAGAGATCTAGACACATGTGCAGTTCACAGACCATAATTTTATTCAAGGCTACAAAAGCTTTTTCTCCTCATCGCAGAGGCAGCCTTAAACTCTTCTGCTCTTAGCTAGCACAAGAGAGAGGATTCATTTAAACTAACACAGGTTAAGAAAGGTTTCGGAAAACCTCTTAAAGCCACACTCTCTTCCACCACAAAACAGCTCTGAAGTGGCTCAGGCAGATGAGCCCGAAGAACAGACAGTCTGGAAGTCACATGTCCTCAGCTTAAAGGAAATTTAGTTCTTATCCTGGACCGTGTTCTCATTTAGTGAGGAGAAGTCTGACAAGTAGAAAAAAGCAGAGCAGGAACAAACATAAATGGAGCCTCTTGTGAATGGCTGCAGTGTACTGTGTGAAATAAATAAAGGAGAGGCTCCAGAGGAATCATCTGGCTGTAAACTAAGCAACTCTTCACTGACCTCACTAGTCACTGATTGCACGGTATAGTTTCATCCATTCATTCAAGCAGTAAGAAAGAAATATGTAACTAACCTGTTAATATCCCCAAGTGTTGTGCAATGAACCCTGAAACAAAGACTCCCAAAGTAGATATCCACTCAACCAAGACGGAAGGTGTTTAATTAAAAGCTGATCTTGAAATTAGGGAGGTGTGAATTACTTGGTGAGTTACTGGAGATCATGTTGTTACTAATCTCACAAGCCAATGCTTGTGAGGTGGCCAATGCTCAGAGAGGCTCGAGCATCTGAAAGTCATGAAGGACCCACAGCTCAGGTTCATTAGAGTGGGAGGCTGTAAAATTGCCCTGTCCCCACTGGATCCTTCACAAGCAGTAGCTGACACTTTCCCCCTTGGGCCCCACCCCTGCACAAAATTTTCCAGGAGCTAATTTAAGTGGAACAATCAGTCTGGAGAATGGCATTTAAGCACTGTGCAGTGCCAAGGTCATGCAAGTGACAGGTGAGACAAACTGCAGTGTGATGGGAACTTCCACCTGATGCTTGCCATGATCACCATCAAAACCACTTCTGCACCTCCAGCAATTTTACAGAAAGAAGAGAAAATATTCCATAAAAGAGATTCTTTTCTGTCATGAATATCCCCTACTTCTTAAGAGCTGTAGAGGAGTTTAAGGAGGGAAATCCCCGTCAGTGGTCCTTCAAACCTGGAGAGGCACCACTGTGGCTTTCTTTTGCTGAGGGCTGGGAGGAAAGTGTGTTGCAGTGCCTGAGGCTATTTGTGCTTGATGTGCTTTAAAAAAAAAAAAAAAAAGAAAGAAAGCAAAATTAGATAAGAGGTGCTTGGCAGAGAAGTAGAATAGCAAAGAGAAACTACTGCTTCTGCCCATGCTGACAACCCTGAGTTTTGCCTTGCCTTGCCCTCCAGCCTTCACTGCTGGGAATAATGAAAATCTGGTGGTGACAGAATAAATTGCTACAACCCAGAGAACAGTGGAAGAAGCTCTTTGTCCTTGTAGCTCATCTAGCCTCACCACAGGTTCCCTGCTCAAGGACTACAGACAAGGCCATTTGAATCACTGCATTGTTCACAACTCTCCTTCTGAAACTGCAACTCTTTTCCAGTTTGGACTAGTTCAGCCTCCTTGCTACCATCCAGTGATGAGCATTTTGCATAACCTCAGACAACTGAGGATACGCTTCAATTTGCCTCTCAATTTGAAACTGAAGTGGTGACAACAAGAAACTGTTTGTGAAGAGCAGTCTAAATGGCTTACAGCAACATCCCGCAGGTTGGAAGAATTGGCTGATAGCAGTTATTGCCTCCTTCATGATACAAGCACTGAATCACTCTCCTACTCTGCCTTTGAAATCCAAAACTAGCAAGTATAAAGCTCAAGCAGCTCCTCCCTAGTTCTGTCTGAGGCCCTTGATCTCACTGATTCCATTCCAAATGGGTCATGTTAATGCTGCTCTTACATGATGATTTTAGCACCTGTCCCCAAAGACTCCTTATTGAAAGCGATTCAACCAAGAGAAAGAAATTTCATCCTCCTAAATTAATTTTCTTTTTCTTCCTTATAAATTAAAAAGGCAATCAGAAATGATTACTCTGAATATGAGCTCAGAGAAAGCAGTCTTTAGCAAATTACACCTTAGGCTAATTTTATGGTCGTAGGTATGACAGTGCATTGCATCTCAACAGTTTTAAAGTTGTCATCAAGGCCAGAGACAAAGGCCTTCCCTCTCAGAGCAAGATACACCTAGTGCAAGAGGCAGGTTTGCATCACTTCCCGAGACACTGCAACCCAAGAAGTCCACTCAAAATACATGAGGGAACTGCTGAATAGTAAAAACCATTATTGTTCTTCCCAGCACTGGGAAAAAACATAAATCTGCATAAATTAGCCACAGACTGGAAGTTTACTCTAACAGAGAGATGAAAAGAAGTTCTGGATCATTTGTAGATAATGAGGTTATAGCCCAAACTTCACAATGCCTCCAACTGAGTGTCATCCCCCAGAGCAGCCAGGCATCTGTGACTGATACTTAATCAGTTACTGTGGTTTCTCAAAACTGGGGAAGAGTTAATCTTCTATGGTTAAAAGCACCACTACATTCATGACACATATTCATCCAGCAAGTCTGCAGAGCTGAACAATTACGCAAAAGACTTCCTTGGAAGGAAAACTATCTGGACAAACTTCCAACTCCCCAACATCACAGACAGAGATATCCTGTCATACTGATGTTAAAGTCTTCTGGGGAGCAAAACAGGGGATGCCTTCATTAATAATCAAGCTCGAATTAACCACATCTGTACAGAGGGACACTCGACTAATAGATGATTAGGCAAAAGTGCTTACAGGTGTTGACCTAATGCCGTGAACACAACACTAATGGCACAGCACAGACAAGCACAGCTCTCCTTAGAGGACTGCAAATCCCTAATCAACGAGAGTTTACACACTGGATAGAAACTCCTTTTGGATCGCGGAATTTTAATTGTGTTTTTTTTTCTAGAACTTGCTCTGTATCTTGCAACCCGACCATAAAGAGAGCTGCTCTCTTTCTTTACTAGGTTACAGACATGTTTTTCCAACCTCAAGCAGCCAAATTTACCTGGAGAGATGACTCATTAGGTCAGGGAGATGAGTTACACAGGCAATGGCAACACTTTCTGGTATGAGTCAGGGAGAAGAAAATGCTTTACCGTATGGTCTGTAAGAGGAGGCAGCACAATCAGCTTCTCCATGGTATTCATTACCACCCTCCAGAGCTCTTTCAGCACCCGCTTCAACACTGTCTTTTCACACACTGTTGCAAACAGAGTCAGGCTGCAGGGAGAGAGCAGGAACTGAGTAAGTTCAAAGAGTGCAATATGAAATGACAGAGGAGATGTATATGAAAGAACCAGTGCCTTATCCAAAGTTATAATGATTGCTTTAAGGGTCTCCCTTTTTCACAAAGTATAGCTTCTGCTCAGCCTTGGAGTTCTAGCACTAGATACAATGGCCAAAATGGATTGTTGATATTTCTGAACTCAATGATTTCTGTTTCTTGACCTGGGGATTACAGAAGGTATCATCTGGTAATAGGTGGTTGGGAATAATATACATAATCCAAATAAGAGCAGGTACCACCAAACAGGTTTCCCTTAAAAAGATGTATCAGGTTTATAGAGAATACAGGAAAAATTATAAATACAGAATAATAAGTTTTAACTTCAAGCTGTTATTATAAGGATATATGTTGAAAGACGCGCTTGCACCAAACGTGAGTAGAGCCCTTCCCAAATCTTTGTTCGCGAAGCCCAGCCATGATGATGATGTTGAAAGCCTTAAATTAATACTTCCCAGAGTGTTATGCAGAAATTCCTGTACAGCTTCTGATAGCTGTTCAAGACTCCAAATCTTTAACCTCTACAACTCCCCTGAAGCATTACTTGGACTCCTCCACATTTTGTTATGATTGCATTCAACACCAATCAACTGCCATATGTTTGTCTGCTCTAACATAAAGAAGTTCTGCTTTATCTCCCTAGTTTTTCTCCCTTTATTATTGTACAGGCTGTCAAAAAGGCCACAAAGCACTAGAATTTCCTTTGCTGGACTTTGGCATTGACTGTTCACACTAAGAGAGCTACAGAACAGGAACTCTGTGGCCAGTAGCAGGGCACAGGTGACAGCTGGCTCTTCTACAGTGTGTAACATCTTCTCCCAATTTCCCTTCTTCCCACAGCTAGTTAGACAGTAAATGAACAAAAACAAACAGGGACAAGACTGATGCGGGGGGGGATGCAGTAAGCATCAAAAAATACTCTCCTTCTGTAAAGGAGGAAAGAAAATAATCCAGGCTTGGATTATCATAATTAAAATTACTTGCTCCACAGCTGGATGACAAGCCTGAGGAATAACAAGTTCCCAGCGGCACAAAGGAGTCTGGTTTCTCAGGATTCATGAAGGCATGCATGGAAAATGCTTAAATGAGAAAGCTCCTAGATGTAATGACTGCTGCAGAAAGTCACTTAGCACACAGTGACCCAAAGCAAAGATGGGATAATCAACACTAAGAGCAACCAAACCCCCTATATTTTAAACTTGCAAAGCTTCACATCTCTTGAAGCATTTATTATGAAAACTGATGGCCACTCCTTTCAAAATAAAGAACTACTGTGCATCAGCAAGAGATTTAACTTCTGCAATGATTAAAAACTATTTCTCTTTGTAATTCAAGGCTTGGCTGACAAAAATTATGTCCAGTCAGCCCCATTTAGCTGTCCTCGTACAGCTGAATCATGCTGCATGGTATTAATGGCAACAGTTAATGAAAGCAATGGCTCAAGCTTATGCAATCAGATAGTTTAGAAGCTTATTTGCTAGTCAGAACAGAACCGGGTATGACCAGAACACACATGCTTAACACAACTGGGATACTGAGTAGTACGTGTATCAAGTATGTAAGCACTATTTTCAATTTGTTTGCTAATTGGCTAGAGTACAATTCCTATAGGAAAAAAAAGCATAGTTACATAATTTAGAATTTCAGACTTTTCCACTACCTGATCAGTAGCGTGTTTTGCTGATCGCTTTAATTGCCAGAGGTAGAAAAAAGAATTGAGAGTGTGCTCTGGCACAGAATGAGGGCTGAAGAGGCTATCCATGGCTTGTGAAAAGCAGATATGGGAAGAAAAGCTATTAATTCTTCTTGAAAATTTGGAGACCAGACACTCTAAGAACAATACAAGAATACAGAGCTATTTTCCTCTCTGCTCCATTCCTGTTCCAATCCAATGAACTGTATGTTTAGCATATGTTTGAACACTCCCTTACTTTCCATCCAGGAAATCCATCAATGGCCTCAGGACATTATCTGCATCTTGTGCAACTGTGTTTCTGGCATTAGCAGCAGAATTTGCTGTCCCTTTCACCTGACAGAGGATATCAGACATTTGCTTGACGCACTCATCAATACGAGTCTGAAAGCTGAACAGATAGGAGAGAGGCAAAAATAAGATTATCAGTGGCAGAGATACAAGGTAAAATATTGCAAGTTCATAAACCATGCACTCAGTTACTCTTCCTTTATGAGACTTGCTGCTCTTTTCTTTACTGCATTTATTACCAAGGGGCATGTTCTCCTGTTCTTTATGCCCACCACCCACACACAGCTGATCACCTCTGAATACGAGACACAATCACATTTGAGAAGAGTTTGTTCATTCATCTTGCAGAAGGAAATTACCCTTTCCTGATTTCAAGAAACACTGTTATTCTTAGCTCAAAGCACCCTGCTGTATCCTTGCTTTCTCCATTTTTTCTGCAATGACACAATGCATGCACAACTCTGAGCACCCAGGAGTCCATCAGCAGAAATCTGGTTATGACCCATCATAGGCTAAGTATTTAAAATAACAGAGACAGCTTGAAGGCAGGCACCAACTTAAACCAGTTCACTGCCATACAGTCCATGCCAAGTGTCATACTGGGATGTGGGGCTCAGTTGTGCAATGAGCAGTGTCCCTGTAATGAAGTGACACACAAGGCATTAAAGCACAATTACTTTTCCATCTCTTCCTGCTAAGAGGAGGTTCAAAATTAAATAATGCAATGATTAAAAATTATGAATAGATCAGCAGAGCTGACAACAAATCAATTCAGCAAATAAAGGAAAATGCTCTGACATTTAAAAGAACAGTTAGTAACAACAGGCACTACGAGTGACATTTAACTATCCACTAATGGCACAGGGGCTTGAAAACAGGAAGATAAGCCAGTGTTAGGAGCTAGGGTAAAGTTTTAAGAGCAGGGAACTAATCTGGAAGTCAGCTTTACATCTGCATAAACGACCTGAACTTCTGGTGTGCGAGCCACCCAGGACACCCGTGGGTTGGGTGCTACTGTACAACTGCTCTGCCCTGTGGCTCTCACCTTCCTTCTCCATCTGGTCACCTTTACTGCACTGCCACCTCCAGCCTCTCAGTCCCTTTTGCTCACTTCTAGCCTGCCTCTCACTGGAACAATTCCAGAGCTTTCCTTCCGTGAAGCCTCCCACCTTCCCCATTTCTAGCAGAAAGAGGTTTGCAGCAGTCAGTTGTGGCTACACTGTCAGCTTAACCAGAGACTTAAATCACATCAAATGAAAGAGCATACAAAAATTTCCTGTACTGCTGACAGTTCCTGTTCTGCCACAGGCCAATCCCACCCCACAGTTCTCCCAAATACTGCATCAGCTGCTGGGCCCCACTTCAAGATGCTTTAAACCTCCCAGCCAGGGATAAAAAATAACAATGCCTTAAAAGATAAAAAATGAGCTAAAACTGTTACCAATTCTATGAAAAATAATAAATCAGTTACTGTGGCAACAGGTTCACCTGAAAGTGAAGCTTGTGTAGATGTACAGCTTGACAGGAGTCCTTGGCAGCAGCAAGCTAACAAATGACCTCACCTATGCTGTCTGACAGGGCCTGATGCTCGCTAATTCCTGCAGGAATTCCCTTCTTCAATCCTTCAGCCTCCAGGGACAGAACAACAGCTAGCCTTGCATGAATATAAACCCCTCCAAGACTCCTGTTCTCTGTGATATCTCTTCAAGCAGAAAGTACTTCTGTGTCCAGACAAAATCCTCTCTCAGCTCAAAGGTGGTGAGGTTCTCTGGACATGTGCTGCCTTCTCAGCAAATGCAGTTATATCACACAGATGAAGAGGAGTTCAGATCTGCAGCATCAGGTGTTCACAGTGTTGTAGGAGCAACTGCTTACAGACTCTGCACAGAATATTGCAGATATCTGTCTTATCTTCTAAGTTTACATCCTTTAGAAGATTCTGCTTATACAGTAAAACTGCAGCTCTGCTTTTCACTCCCTGCTACTGTTAAGGAATGAACAAAGCATCTTCTGAGCCATCTGATTTGCTAAATCTCTTCCTGGCTCATCTCTCTAAAACACTTCCCAGTAACTATGCTGATACTGGTAATCTCTTTAAATCATATTTGCAAATATTAAGATTGTACCTTAATTGTTTTGTAGCAGCAACACCATGGAGGCAATACTCAGATTAAAAAAAAAAATCACCCTCCTAATTATGATTTCTCACTCACCCTCCATCTAGTTATGAACCTTATTGATTCAATTCAGTTACAGTTTGAGTCTCTCCGTTTCTTGGTACAGCATCCATTACTGGCATTGGGAACTCCTCACTTATCTCCCTGCTTAGCTCTCTGTGCTGAAATCCAAACAGTCATTGACAAATCCCACTATGATTTTTTAGTCATAAATACTGCAAATCTGTAGAACCCAGGAGGCCAAGTTGGTACAATTTGTTTTGCCTTGCCCATATCCAAGCTACACTATGGTTTATGCCTGCATTAATCCTGTTATGGAGCACAATATGAAATGAATGGGGTTTGTAATGAGAAGTGGTTGTTTCTGAAGATCAGTTAGGAGTTCTGCATTTTTAGATTTTCCTTAATTGACATCTTTTATGGTGCACTACAAAATTATTATAAAGCTGAGCACACTTTTATCCTCAGGTAAATGGTAACATGATTTGTAATAAAACTTAATTGCTATCAATTACTCTGGCAATATTTTAGAGAGCTCCTCTCCCTGAAACATTAGAAAACACCATTTGCTGCAGCATTAGAACAAGTCAATCTCAAATTCCAGACCTGTTTCCTTCTTATCCCAATATTCATTTAACAATCAGAAATCAGTCAGCTGTTTCATACATTTAGAGCAGAACGTTTAAACATGAATGTTATTTCATAAACGCTAAGCTGGAAACTGCTTTCTGAGCAGTAAAGGAGCAGGCAATTCTGTTACTGACAAGCACTACTTACAAAAAAAAATAAAAATAAAAAAGAAATCACTCTATGTGAGTCAAATACATTTCACAGTTGAGAGATCTCCATGTTACATTTTCCAAGCAGAGCAATACAGAAGAGAAAGACTTTAAAAATATTTCTCACTTCTTTAGATGGTCTCACTATTTGAAAGGCAATGAATTTAGGACAAAAAGAAAAATATAATGCAGTTCACAGGAGTTTCTCTTCTCTTCTTAACCTGACTGAATGAGATTAGACAAAAGAAAGGAATGCTTCAAGGACAAAGACCTTGTAATACTCACCTGTTACCAAACACTGCACTCAGCTCATCCAAAACATTGTTCAGCTTCACCTGGAGCTCTTTGAGATGGTCACTTGCTTCTGCATCCAACTGTAGATGAAAAAGAGCATTTAGTTTGAACCCAGAGGGCAGTCTGCTGTCCTTTGCAGTGCTTCTCTTCACTGTTCAGGCTATACTTAATAAGCAGGTGAACTATCCCCACTGGACTCTGCCAGCTAGGATGCTCTCCTCCACTGCCTACTGCTGCTACAGAAGCTGTGAAATTATCAACAGATATTTGCCTAAAAAGCAGCAAGTGATTTCCCCAGGCTCCAATACCCTTCAATGCCCTTCCTGAGGTTTGTAAAGTTGAGAAATAAAGTGCACGTGAACTCCCTGTGGCCAAGAGTGTAACTAGGCAGAGAAATCAAGTACTGTGCAGTATCTTCAGCTCATGGGTCATTTCACCCCTCTAAGTTTAGAATGAGACAGGGCTTTTCACACTGGTTTCTATTTACTTGTGTATGATCTTGAAAGAAGCTGTTTCACCTTCCACCCTGCTGCCAAGTATTCCAGCTGAAGACTGACCCAGCCTCTGCTCTCAGAAGGTTGGACCCCAGAGATTTTGAAAATCTGGCCACAATATAATGGCAGCAGCTGTTGTGCACTCATCGCTTTTGGAAAGCATGATCTCAGCTTTAGGTATTGAGCAAATGTATCTCTGCTCTCACATGGAGCCAGACAGCTTTTTGTATGCAAGTGCTCAGAGAAGACTTCAGAAAACAAAAACAAAAATAAAGTGCCCCAAGCACTACATGAATGCTGTCGACACCTTGGCAGGTTCTGTAAGAAAGTACTTCCTCCATTATTATCAGCACAAAGCCACCTGTTTTTACATGGAACAGTGCCCTGTATTCCAGCTGTAGTCATCCCTCCAGCATCAAAAGAACCACTTCTGAGCAACCTACCTGTGTGTACACCTAACAACAAATGATGAAAGCTTTGGGATCACTTGCTCTGAAAAAGTAACTTGTAAAACAGATTTGCCTTTGTATGCAGGCAGGCAAGATGTTTGTAAAATAAAAAAGCTCACAGAAATGTTTGTATTTGGCATTCAGAACTTCAGCTCTTACCCCTTAGGCAGAGCACCTATTTACAGATGTAATGAGCCAGGTACCAGTACAGTGGTATAAATCAGTTTAGATTTTTACAGCATATCCATCTATATAGGATTTGCACACAATGGGAGTTCCCATTTCTAAATTCAGTGCCAAAGCCCTTTTCATGTTTCTCAGCATCTGTCAGAGAAAGCCAAGCCTTAGGGGATTTGGAATCTGATCTGTTCACTTTCCTGTTGTAAGCTGGCATGGAAAATTGACTCTATTACGCATTTGAACCTGTGCTAATGAAACTCCTGGATCAGAATTTTAAAAGTAATTAAACTAAGAACCAACGACCAAGCAAATGATGATTACTTAGGCCTTATAATTTTAAGCATTGCTACCTCTGATTATTTTTCCTTTATTAAAGTGATTTGGTTTTCCTATTATCTTTCTAACACCCTTGCTCTGTGACGGCAGAAGGAAGCTAATGTCATGCCAATCAGCATTCTTTCTAGCCAAGCTTATAGGTAACAAAACAAAAACAGCATCTGGTGGTGGTGGCTTCTCTTGCCCCTACATTAATCCTTCCCTCCCACGGCCCAAAGGCACAATGAGTCACAAGCTGTCTGATTTGCTATCTACAATTAATGGCATAGAACTGTCCCCTGATTTTGGCCATTTCTGACAGACTTGAGGTAGAACCAGTTCAAGACTCATCAAAACATTCCAACTAACTGCTTTTCCAGTTGGAAAAAAAAAAAGCCAGAAGAATTTGGCACAAGACACCTGTTCTTCACAATTTACTTCTTATAAGCTACCAGATGCACAGTCTAGAGGATGTCTGAGGTCAGGATGAACAGCTTATTGCCCTGGTTCATGATTTATTTTCCTGTGAGGTGGCATGGAGTTATCTAAGCTTCCCCTTACTATTGTACTCGTTGACTGCAAACTGATCTTCCTCTTCCTCAGAGCAGAAAACAGCTGATTGCTATCCCAGTACTGAGAAGAGACAGCTGGAACAATGCTTTGCCAAGGGGATGAGCTCCATTATCTGTGGTAAGGAACTCTCATTCCTCCAAAACATCAGCTCACAGCTCTCTGGGTGCATCTGGCAAGACAGCTGCCCAGATTTAACTTAGAGGTGCCCAGCCTCACCCTCAGGAAGCCAAACCCTGGTGGGTAAGCATTCTGGTTCAGTATCTACCAAGTCCCCTGCCATCCTAGAAAAGCTGTTGTCCTCTGAGCAACTGCTACTGTGGAGAAGGAGTCCACATAATACACATTACATAAATGCTTAGGCTGTGGAATGCTTTGGCTTTAGGAATCAAATTTCAGGGAATTACCTGAGGGTGATTTAAGTCCATTAGGAAGGGGCTGGTAGGTATGTACTACTGTTTCACAAACATAAATTACATGTTAGCTACAAAGTAGTGTAGCATGTGGTATAACTGCAAACTATTCTTTGCCAATGTATAATGGCCAGTCTTCCCGAGCGAAGATTTGGGAAAGGTCATTAACCCTTCGAGCCTGCGCAGTGGATTCTTTAGGTGAGACACAGCGTGCGCTGAACTGAGCCCACCCTTTAATCCTGAGGTTCATCTGCCGGGGCCGAGCAAGCTTGGACAGTGGCAGTGAGGGTCTCGGGACATAGGTTTGTTTAGAGTGACCTTCTCTTAGATGGATTGCCACACAGGGCTGACGAGCTCCATCTGCCCGGGGGGCTGGGAATTGAACCCGGGTAGCAGTGGTGAGAGTACAGCACCCTAACCACTAGACCTGTGGTGAAGCACTGATAACAGTGCTCAAATGAACCAGCATTGGTATTGCTGCTGCTGCTCAGCAATGAATTCTAAGCATATCAGCTATCACTGATAGCAGGAATTGCTACTTGGACTGCATGATAAATCTGCCTGGTAAAGCAGAAAGCAGTGTTAGGCAGCTGGGTCACTGCCACATGTCACATCCACACCATTTTTGTGGGAAGCTGGAGCTGAGCAGGCTTATGATCTCCTTTCTGTGGGTGTATCAGAGATAATTCAGAGGAAGAATGAAAAGTTCCTTGTGCAAAAAAAGGGACAGTACCCACAGTGAGGTGGCTTTTGATCTCTGAGCCAGTGTTTCAATTCCAGTCAAATCTGTGTATTTGAGACTAAATGTATGACACTGAAAACTGAGGTTCAAAGAAAGAAAAGCTAACCCTGTACTTAAATTTCAGGGAGGAAATCAGGGCTCTGTTAATTTTCTGTGAAGATTTGGGACGTGGTACTTCAAAGAACCTGGGCCCCAAAGTCTCATTCAAGCCCATTTAGGGCTGAAACCTCAGTTCATCTGAGTGGTGGCATTTACAGCACGGGGTTATCAATTTGAATTTAGGTTGATCTCCTGCTTCTCTCATGCATGAAACAGAAGCCTTGAGTCTAAGAATTTGCTGTGATGGGCTTTCAAGTTTTCCAAGAGATGCCATTAGTTCTTCTTTGGTTTCTACACTCACTGGTGAAGTGCGAGTGACCAGAACTGAAAGGCTTCTCAGTAGCTGGTGTACGTGGACAGACACGGCTCTTGCCTTCTCAAAGGCTGAAGATGTTAATCAATTCACACTGCGAAATCATTGGGTCTGACCTGACCTATCAGCAGGTAAAGAATTACGCCCTGCTAACTTATTTTAGCTTTATGCAAGTTATGGAGTACATCTGACTCCGGTTTGAAGCTGCTGATTTTTGCTCTGCCTCCCTCCACCAGCCCCTGGGAGCACCACTCTGCAGAGGTAACTGTGAGACAGGGAGCTCACCAGGTCCAACCCCCTTTTAGGGACCTGCACTGAATCCAAACAACAGCTGCCAACTTCCCAAATGCTAGGGTGGCCTTAGCTATGGCATGTGGGAAGCTAAAGCAAACAGTGGATACTGCAAATCCTCTGAGAACAGTGCTATTAAATCTTGGCTGTTTCTAAGCCGTCCTGCAATTTGTTATTCAGGTGGCTAACTTAGGATTTAAAATGTGGGCTAACTCTGGCTAAGCATTAAGAGGAGAGTTTCCTGAAGCTTTAATTGTGCAGATTAGCTTGAAACCGAAGGCATGAAAATTGTGTGATGACAATATGTGGCTACTCAGCAGCTATTTCCTTGGGTTTCCCAGGCAGTGCTTGTCTCTGATACTCACCTCACATGCTTGACTTTGGGGGAAAAAAGGTGTAGAAATGTTTTAAACTAGTCTTTCACAGTACATCTAGACTCCAGCAGTATGCAATGCAGTACCACGCCTTTTAATTTCAGTGGCATGAGTTCATTACTCATGAAAAGCTAAGCAAAATAATGGACTGCAGGCTGAACTCTGCTGGAAAACTGCAGAGGTGGGTTGAAAATGCAGAACACATTAGGTTTTATTAGATAATGTATGAATAATTAAATAAATGGGCCAAGTTCAGGCAAACACTAGCACTGAATATATGTAGCCCACTTTAGCACAGAGCTAAATTATTATCTCCATTCTGTGGGTGTACTGGAGATGATTCAGATGAATCAAAGGTTTCAAAAGATGTTCATGTATCCAGTTTTTGTCCAGGACTCACCCCCCAATTCCACTGTTCATTATGCTTTTAATGCTATCTGCCACTCCATAAACACTGCCTTTCCAAAACATGCTTTAGGGATGTCTGAGAATGCTCCTGAGTCACGATGACACTGTTTTGATCCCATGAGATCAACACAGCGCAAAAGGGAAATGCAAGTATTAATTATAATTCCCCAAAATAATTTAAGATACTTTTCTCTGTGTACGCACATATGTATGTGTGTGTGTAAATATATTTGCTTTCAGTTCTCAAGCACAGACCCAAGAGAATCTCTCCACACAGAGCTCTCTAAAGCTTTGCTGTTGTCCTTATTGTTTCTGACTAATAATGTTCACAGATCACATGATGTCAACACATTAAACCAGAGATGCTGGGCAATTTTCCCCCTGTTTTGTACCCTCTGAGCACTACAGTTGAAAAAAAGAATAAGAGAAGTGAAGGGAAAAGGTACCATAACCATTGGGGGCAGGAGGTGGAGAAAGGAGTAAATAAATAGTACTGGGCACTTCTGTTCCATGTTATGCCACTACACTGCAGGGTGAGTATGAATGAGCCCTGTCCCTTACTCCCTTGCTGCAAAAGGGAGTAAGTTATATGGATTTCTGTTAGTGTGGGTTGTGGACCCACTGGAAAAGAGCACTAGGTAGCAGCAATATTTCAAAGCTTTCCAGAGTTGTGCAATGCTACAGCTGTAGCTGGAGATGGATCTGCGAACTGGAAGCAGATGAAGCCACACATAAACTGAAACCAGTCCCCCAGGTCTAGCTGCACACATGGTACACCTGGCATATCTGCCAGAGCAACAATGGAATATTTGGTACCTAGCTCTCAAAAACACTTTTGAGAACACAGAAAGTTGAACAGTTCAAGATCAGGACATACAACTATGCTACTTTCTTACTCCCCCAAGAAAGCAGATCCTTTTTGGATAGAGTAGTCAGGATAATGCTTAGTTTTGTGCAAGCTACTGTGTGAGGTATAGATGAATATAAAAGAGATCTGCCATAGCAAGTAAAAACTGTCCTTTCTGAAGGAGGATAAAACCCACAGATACATTTTCCATAAAGTCCTGTTTTCAAAGCTATTGTCTCACCAATTGTTACCCAGTAGTCAGGTTCTATCTGCATCAGAAAGACTACTCTAACTAGGACAAGACCTTGTTTACTCTAGCAAAACAGAGAACCTGCAGGTTTCAAGTCAAGAAGCAAATGTTCTACATAGTCACCAAGCGGGAAACCCCTGGGGACAGCAAATAATGCAGGCACCTAACACAACACGATTTATTTCTGGTGATCAGCAGCAGCTCCATGAAGGGCAATAAGCGTCATCTGAGAAGAAAAGAAAAAATCACTTCCAAAAACCAGCTTCCTAGCATGTTTGTCACATTTCTTCCTGTGTATTTTATTGCTCATTGTCTGGATTTCTCTCCCCTTTTTTTTTCTTTCGATTCTACAGCATGGGGGAAATAGTGGATTCATTACCTCTGTTTTACTTTACTTACATCTCCCGAGGAAGGTTTTAAAGGGCAGAATGCAGAGAAGAAGTCTAGGAAAAGTAGCCAACAGTTTCAAGAAACACATGTTACTCTCCACTTATTTAATACAGTATCAGGGAATATTTTCAATTTGAACTATAGGGAAACCCTACTTAATGGCTACCACTACAGAAAATAGCAGCTAATTGCTTCCTTAAGGGAAATTAAATGCACAGGCATTAAAATTTTATAAGCCACTTCACAAACATTTCATCACAAGTTTATTTTTTTTCCAAAAATGAGCATTTAGCTACTGCTGCTATTACAGCTGGGACCATATAATGCTAGTTCTTGATGTAGGGCTCAGAAATTAGTATTGTTGAGGTGACATGTGAAAGAATGACAGCAGTTTTCCTTGCCTCATGGGGCAAATCTACTTGTTGAGATTTTTGCCACTTCATAGAATTCTGCCGCTGAGCACAAGAAAGATTTGGAAAAGCAATACAGGCAAAAACTAAGCTGTCCATCAGCAAAGCTGACTCTCCTCCTGGTATACAGGTCATAGCACAGGCTCTATCACAACACAACCAAAGTAAATGCACTTGAAAATAATTTTTTCCTAACATCAGCATCAGCAGGCTTTTCTTCATCTTCCTGAATCTTGAAAAGCAGTGAAAAAAGAAGAGAAAAAAAAGATACATAGATTATATAAGAACAGAAATAGTGATCTGGGGGAATAAAACATTATTTCTGTAAAAATGAACATCTCATGAAAAATAGACACATCTGAGTATCCCTCAAAACATGAGTACAGAACCCTTATTTGCAAGTCTCTAATGTACTAGATTTTGAACATCTCATGCTAAAGGTACTGTGCCACAACTGTATGCCATATAAAATGATTCAACTGTCAACAGTTCTAAGACTTCTCTGTCTTCAGAGTTGAGAAACCACCAGCCATGTCCACATCCAGCTCACATGAGCATGACATGCAACCTTCTCTTTCCTTCTCCATGCTATTCCGTGCTTCAAAATATTTGCTCCTGCTTTTTATGACAGATATAGTTGAAAAGTCTTTAGCTACTGCTGTCTCCTCACACAGTGCCAGCTGCCACAAGGCTCTTCTCATGACTGCAGGCCTCAAGAACCATTCTGATGCACATACCCTAGTAACAACAGTGCAGCAGGAATGAGCAACACAGTCTCTGAGCTCTCTTACCTCTTTACCACCCATGGCTTCAAACATCTTCTCTAGCTGCACCCGCAGCTGTTGGACGTTATTCATCAGGATGCAGGGCTGCAGGGACAAAAGCAAGTACCTGTTACTGTTCAGGATGCCAACACATTGTCACCAGTGAGAGACCTTGTGCCTCAATACCCTTCCCCAAGTACCACCAGATCAGAGAGTCAAACAGGAGGTAGGGCATGCACAGATTTCAGCACTCAAACATTAAAAAAAAAAAACCCAAGTCGTTTTTTCTTCAGCTTGAAATGGGATGGTCAGTTCCAGAACACCCAGACAGGAGATCTCTGCAAAGTACCAGATCAACAGAGCAATCTGTGCCCACTTGTTTTTTCAATCACCTCTGTAACACACAACTCAGGCAGTGTGGAAGTTAATTTCAAGGCGACCTGACAGCCTCCAAGCCCTGCAGATCATCTTCAGGACCTGCTTTTATTCCAGGGCCAAGCCACAATTCAATCTGCAAAAGCATATGAATGATGATAACAATACTGAAAATATTTACAACATCACTATGGCCAGGTACAATGTGAAATTGGTTTCATCAGGACAATTATGTGATTCTCCAGAGCAAAAGAGAAGCTCAGCACAACTCACCAGTTTCTCCTTGGAACAGTAGGACTCAAAGCTCTTGGATAGTATGTCAGCATACTGCATCAGCACTTTCCCAATAGTCTGTGAAGACAAGATGTGAGCACTGTTACTTGTCCCCTACCACTGCTGAAGAACTCCAGGAAATGAAACAAAAAAAACATTACACTGTTTTACATCCCACTAAGGCAAGATTAACATCTGGACGTTGAGGGTATTACCTTAGCAAACCTCCTATTATAATGAGCAACAATGACAGGGTCTGGGCACTCCAGCTTCTTAATGATCTCAAAGCTCTGATTGAGCTGGGTGAAGACGTCCACCACTGAGCAAGAGAACAGAGCATGCTCGGACGTTTGCTGGAACTAAAACAGAAGTACAAAGAGTCACTGTCAAGCAGAAAGATCTGAAACACACTCATTTCATGGGTGTTTCCATCATCTGTGGCACTGAAGGCAGGACAAATTTATCAAAACCTACATCTTCCTCTGAATTAGTAAAAAAAAACTCTCCAAAAGGCCTAGAGATGCTAAATAGCCAGTTCAGTTGGGTTGTAAGTTTACCGTCCTTTACCAGTGATGACATGACGAGCACCAGGGAAGTGCTGCATGATGCTGAGACCCTTGATGAAATGCATGGTCTGTCAGTTAATGAGGAAGAAAGGAGAGAGTAAAGAGCTCTTTTTAATTTTTTTTTTTTTTTTTAAATTTAGATATTGAACAGAATGTTTCCATTAGTATCACAAACTACAGTCCCTGAATAAACAAGAAAGCTCTTCTCTCCATAGGGAATACTCAGCAAATTAAGAATAAGATTGGTCTGTCAGTGGATTAAGGTCACATTCTCACTGCATGACTAAGTACATGCAAAGTGCCTCAATTTTCAATTTCAATTACCTCTTCCAAACAGAGAGAGCACCAAGCCACTGGCTGACAGATTAACAGCAGCAGAACAGACATAAATGAATGATATGTACCTTGCTATTAAAAAGCTCTCTGTGACCTGTAAAGTCCTAAAATAAATGAGTTTCCCAGTTGTCTGGCAAGCAGAAAGGGCCACATCCTCCATTTGTACGACAGCTGAATTTGCAGTGTTTTATTTGGTTCTGTGCACTGAATGATGTAGGACCAAGTGTTTCACTCAGTGTGACCTACATACCCCATCTTTTTTATCTCTCTCCAGAGCACCATGCAGGAATTCTAAGGAAACATCTTCATTTTCATCCAGCCACTGCATCACAAATTGCTCAAACCACCTGTGGGAGGGTCAGGAAAGACAGCAAGTTACAGCAGGAAATAGAGCACTCCAACTAGACTCTGACAGTGCTGCAGTTCCAGCAAGCCTTGTGAAAGCTTGCCACTGTTAGATGTCTGAACACTGCTGTCTGTGCATGTAGTCCAAGTTCCCAAATATACTCGTACCTGTCCTGAAGCACCAGTGAGCAGGGCCTGTACCATGACTTGGGCTGGACCAGAAGGACACAGCCCAGCTCAGCCTCTGCAGACTGCTGGTCCTGAGTTGTTTTTGTCCTTCTCCCTATCTTTTCTCCTCTTGGTACCTTCCCTTTTTTCCCCCTTGAGAACCACATTTAACTTTGCATCATCTCAAAGCACTTTGTTGTTTCTTTCCCTTTCATTCAAGTGCCAGATAGCACAAGGGAGACCTCCACACCCACTATCTCTGCATGCCAAAGGGCACCTGTCCTGCTGCCCACTTGGATGTACCAGCTTTCATGTGAGAGCTGCAAACAAGTATAAAGGGAGGAAAAGAAGCACCTGTTTCCCAGGGCCCTTAAGTCACTTCATCTGGAGATACAGATATCTTCTTGGAAGACCAGAAAGAGGAATCAAGGCTGGAAGTTTTCTCCACTTTAATCCTGCTCTCCCTTTCCCTGAGGCTCCCTTAGAATACTCTCCCATTTCCATGGGCTGCTGATCTCACTGTGAAGATGCCTGAATAAGATCAACCTCTGGTGACATCTGCTAGGGCTTGCCAGCCTGTCAGCAGCTCTTCATCGTTTTCTTATGAAGAAGCACAAACTTAGTTCATATTGAGTACTGGACCAACTGCGTTGGTGCAAGACCTCCAAAATAGTGAGTTCCAAGAACAAGGACAGCAAAGTTTGTCTCTGTTGTTCCCCTTCACTTTGGAGGATAAGCTAAGTGGTAGAGCAGAATTTAAGAAGCTGCTGAAACAGCCATTGCTGAATCTGACACATGAGAGGTGTCTCACATGAACTGGTGTCTGGGATTACCTCTTGCACTGAAAGGCTTCTACATGATCCCACCTTGTCCAAATAGTCAAGGTGAGAGGCAGCTTCAGTGATGGGATCTTACAGCTGTTCTCTGTCCCTCTGTTCTCTGTTCTGTGGGACATATTCACACAGTATAAAAGGGGGTGGGTGTGTTTTTGTTGTCTGTGTTTAAGCAATAAGATAGCACTTACAGCCTTATTTAAATGTCTGTCTAGAATTTGTTGCATGCAAGTGCCAACAAAGCACAGCTGAAGCAAATCTTAATTTCAAATATTACTAAACAGCATTCACAAATAAAAGAAAAAAGTGCCCATGTGTGATTTAGTCCATACAAAAGATTATTATATGAGCTTCAGAGAGTACAGCCTCCTCTAAACAGGCAGCTGCGTTCATAGAGATTGTGCTAATTATGGGCTGAGTTTGCAAAGAACATGAAAGCATGTGCCAGACATGAGAGGGAGATCAAGAGCAAATTCACAGGCAGAGCACACTAGATAGCCTTAAATACTCTCTAAACTTTGAAATATAAAGCACATCAATGCTAATATTGGAAATTGTAACTGACACAGTGTTAAAATGCCAACAGAAACCTATCTATGCAGCCCTATTTATTACAGACAGCAACAGTGGAATACTGTCACAGACATATGGACTTCCTGTATTCTGGAAAAATTCCTTTTGAATGGCACTTCAGGCTCCTAAAAGTCAGCATATGTTGAAGTCTGCTGCAAGTTTCTCAAGCTTTCAACATTTTCTTTTAAACTGCAATAGTGTATTTTAAACAACTAGAGCCTTAGAAGGGAACTCAGGCATTTTACAAGGAAGTAACTATACATCTTCCACCTGTTTCACAGTTCCCAGGCTGTGAGTTGCTGACTGCTTCACATGTCACAGGTCAACCTGCAGGGAGGATTACTTGTTGGTGCCAGAAGCCACAGTTTTCACTCTGAGAAGCAGAGCAACTTCCTGATTATCATTCACCCTTAGTTATGGCACCACATTCACAAGAAAGAGCCATTTGCTGTTGAGAACAGTCACTGCCCATTTTTATGGCTACCATATGTTGATGTACAAAATCAAGTGCATAGGTATTTTACTGTCTTGCCAAATTGTCTAAACAAAGGTGGCAACAAAAAAGGTGCTGTTGGGTGGGTGGGGATGGTACATTTGCTTCCCCCTCATTAAAAAAAGTACTGCCTTCAGGAAAAGGTTTAGTATGAATGTTAAATGAATCACTTAGGGTCAGGTCAGGACATTCTGTAGGTACATTTGCAAAGCCAGCCTCAACTTTGCCCTTTATTGGCTGGCAGGAAAACACATGAGATGCAAATAATTCATAAATACTTCCAGTCCATGTGCATATTCAGGACCAAAACATACTTTGAACTGTAACACAAACCTAGAGCTATCTTAGGCCAAGTACCCCTTACAGTGCTCTACTGTCAGGTCTTGGGCTGCTGAGCAAGTGAGGGGGGACTGCAAAGGCAACATATCCAGAACCATATTCAAAATTATCTAGCACAAAACCAAATAAAAATAATCTGACTTCATGCAGAAATAACTTCAAAATTTATATGGCAAATATCTTCTCCCTTGTCTGCTTCAATTATTGATCTAGACGCAAACGCTGTAATGACTCACGCACCAGCACACAAGGCAGTAGCTCACAGTGCTACTTCAGAGACATTTTGTGCTCACTGGGGTCAGCACTGACTCCAGACAGCACAGCCAACCCCTCTAAACAAGGTATGTACGGAATATGCTTCAGTCCTGCCTGCTGGGAAAGGGAGCAGCACTTTGGGACTAAATGGAAGTTTACCTCTGCTGGCTGCACAACAGAGGGGTAACACAAAACACTGCCATTTCAGCTTGGCCATGAGCATGGCTCCTGCAGTGTCACACTTCACAGGTGAATTCATCTTGTTCATTTGCTGTGGGTATCCAGTGAACAATCTCTGGGTCTTGGCAAGTGCTGAGGCAAGAAGGCAGGCAGAGTTCCAAAGAGTAGAAGAATAAATACTGTGTTTGATGAAGAGAGCTGGGATAAGTCAACAGGATCTCAAGGAAGGAATACCTTCCCTCACCAGAGAGAGGGCAGCTACAATGTTAGCTGCATGCTAACACTAGTATTAAAACAAAACACAGAAGACTTATTTTACACATCTAAAAAGCTAGGTTAGCTGGCAGCTAAAAGCTGAAGAGAGGGAGTTTTGAAGATTCACTCCCAGATACGTAGCTATTTCCGTTTCAGAAACTGCTGCTGAATTTCAGAAAATAAAGGGAGTATAAAAACTTCAGCTTCAATTCTTTCGAGCCTTCACTTTGTTCAATTATATCTCAAGGCTATCAGAAACATGGTTTCTCATAGTTTCAACCTGAAAAGCGAGTTTGTGGATAACCTCTTGTCTGACAAGAAGTCAGACAACCCAACTGTTGTCTGGACAGCAGCAATTTAGTTTCACCTAAAGAGTTTACTGATGTGCAAACCTGATGTGTAGACTCCTTTGTTTAAGGAAGTTTCAAGACTGAAAGTACTAGTGATGAAGCAAATCAAAGGACAAGAGCAAGTAGCTGTGATTGATATTAAGGGGATATTTCGTGACAGGTGAAGGTTATGGTTGAAATAAACATCACCTATGTGTGACAATGTGCCTATTGTTCTAAAATAAAAGAGTGAAGTAACAAAGCCATTGGCCGCAAATGCACATGAGCACTGAAGCTCTACCACAAAGGGCAGCAAAGCAGAACAGACTGCAGAAGTCTGCAGAACAAAACTGAGCATCATTATCCTGATTACACAGGAGAAAAAGAGAGATTAAGAATGTCTGATGGCTTGCCTGAGATTGCCCAGACTCAGAGGCACAGCAAAGAGAACAAGGCTTCTGAGACTGCCATTCCAGCACCCTGTTCACTGGGTTTATGCCTCTTGCTGACCTGATTTAATCAAGGCCCACAGCCCACAGACGAGCAATTATGCCAATTGCCTCACGTCTTATTAGTATGCAGCTGGCACCAGGCTTGAGGGACCGCATGCACAACAGGATGGGAGGAGAATTCAAAGTGCCAAACTGGAAACAGAGTCCAGGCACGATGTGTTTTTCAAGGGGGACAAGTGCAAAGTGCTGCATTTGGACAGAAGTGAACAGTCATGTACAGGATGGGAACAGCAGCGTGGTAGGACACAATGCTGAGGGTGCCTGTGGGCTGGCCTGTGGCCCACTGGAAGCACCACGAATCAACAATAATTCTGAATAAAAGAAAAAAGAAAGGGTTGCTGTCAACCCAGAGAGCAGCAGCACTGTCTGCAAGGCAATGCAAGGCAAGGTCTAGATGAAACATCGATATTTAAGGCTGGGTATTGTATGTTCAGACACAGACCAGCTGGAAAGAGGTGAGTAAACCTCCCTTACAAGGAAAACTGGGAAGAAACAAGAACCAGCACAAGACTGGGAAGAGACACGAGCAGAGCATTTTAGTCTTATAAAGCAGGAACAATTTATTCTCCATGCCCAGCCTATAACAAGCTCAAATCAAAACAAGAAAGATTGAGGGAGAAAAAGGAAAGTGTGTTAAACCCCCCAAAACCAACGGAGGGGTAACAGTGAAGCACAGGAAAAAAGGAGATGTGGTGCAACCATCACTGAAAGCCTCTGAAAACCAGTTAAAACACTGGTCAGACCCAAGATACCTGCTCTTGCCTGAGGCAAGGAACTCTAGCTACAGCATTATCTCTGGGTTGCTCCCTTTTGGGCTCATACACCTTCTCCAGGTCTGAAATCTACTGTTCCTCGTTTAAAGTTAAATAAAAGTTACAAACAACTGCTTCGAGCTCAAGAGGAACAGCTTATCTGATATTTCCAGGTAAACCACCCAGTCTTTCTAAAAAAGAGAAAACATTATCTTACAAATCCTGTAGTGTGCACATAGGACATCCGTAAATGCAGACATACAGTATAAACACATAAACCTGTACCTACAAACACAAGAATGTAAGCCTACATCTGCTGTTCAAGAACTGACCAAAGCCCACACTGCGGGCACAGACTGACTTAAGAGACTGTCCATGCCATTGCTAAAGCTTTAGAAATGTTGGGAGATATTGTACAATAAGGGACTGAGTTGGGTTGGGGCAGTGGCACAGAACACCACAGGGGACAAACACGCACATAAAAAAGCACAGAACATCAGGAGTGAGGAAATGCTGCTATCGTGAAGGCAGCCACAGGAGAACCAAATGATCCCCCTACCCTCAAGGTAACACAAGGAGACAGATAGTGGGGATTTACTAAAGGACACATAATACACTCACGCTGGATATTCAGGCACTTTTCCCTGGAAGGCAGGCAGATCACGAACATATTCATTGTACAGCCACTTCACTTTGAAGTGTAAATTCATATAGTCCGCACTTTTACACAGTCTGTGTTTCTCATGCTCTGTAAGGAAGGAAAAATAAGCAGTTAAGTCTGAATTTACCACTGTCATTGCCATCAGGCACAGGAAGGTTTTATAAAGCGCATCTGCACTATGCAATGTTTTGAGTATGAAGCATCTATAAAGACACAAAATCTTCACAGCACAGAATTTTGGCAGCAAGCAGGGGTTCTTGGAGGTTGACCATTGGGGCTCTGGAGTTTATTTCTGTAGCTCTAATTAATACTTCCATTTGCTGAAGATTTTTTTGGTTGTCAAAGCAATAAAAACAGAGGAATCTCTTATGGCCTTTTCATTTAACATATCACAGTCGAGATTCCATCTTTGCAGAGGAAAAATCAAGGCAAGTGAATCTGTTCATTCTTAGATACAAACAAAAGCAATACCAACATGTTACACTACATCCTGTAGGAGACAAGAGCAGAAAGCACCAAGAGTTTGACAGTATGAGTCACAACCAAGTCCAAACGAGCTACACAGGAGGTGGAGCCTTCCCTGATCCCCGGTTTGGAGAAATTAATGATACTTCTTTTCCAGAAGGCAGTGTCTGCTGTTGAGCCTCTTCCTCCCTCCAGGTTTCCTAATGTTTTTGTACCCAGACAATGTTGGAACTATTACAATTACACAGTTCTTCCCTGTGTAATGCACATACCTCCACAACATGACCCTTCCCACACACCTACACTGCTGAAGCACAGGCCATACTCAGACCTACATTTTAACTCCCTAGATCACAGCTTCCCTTACTTAACACGAGGAATGTATTCACCATGTCTTCACTCTCAAGGCCCTTCACAGCCTACGTCCACACTACCATCTTTCAGCAATTGACTCCCACCTCTGATCAGCCCACAATCCCTGTTTTTAAACTACTTGTTAAGTTCTCCCAAGCGCTTTCTCCCAAGCCACCCCTCATGTGCTTACACAGGCAGCTCCTTGTACTGCGCTGCTTTTCTTCAAAATCTCCCTTGAAAAGATTAAAATTAATTCCTTTTTCATGATGCTACGAGGACTCAGCAGCTGGCTTTTGTCTGTATTGTGACCCTGCGTTATCAGGTGATCAATTCTGCACCGCTGCTACCCAGTGCTGCCCGTCCATATCCATCTCTTTCGCTTGCCAGGCCTCACAGCAGGAATACACTTTGTGCCAAGCTTCTTTGTTCACTCTAGCACCACGGCAAGCTGCTAGTCCATGTCTGCAGTGTGAGATATTATACTAAGACACACATGATTTTAGCTCAGGCTCAGGTTTATATCCTTAGAATTTGAGTTTAGACTCTTCTTCCTATCTTACATGTGGGTACCTCCTTCCTGACGTAAGATTCAGCTATGTTGAAAAGAGGAAGTCTTTTTCTTAACTTTGAATAGCTTTAATCTAGGACTTCAGTACAGGTATCCAGTAGCTGGGTAGATCTGTGCACATGTGAGCAATACATGCTACAGATACTCATAAGTGGAAGATACATCTTCATGATGCAAAATGGCTGTAGTTTTCTAATCAGTTACCTGACAGACAAGCTTATCTTACATCATTATCATCATCTATTTTCATGTAAATGTGAATTCTTGCAACTAATTCAAAACACTGAGAAACTTCTGTATCTCTATTGAAGCTTCATCAACCTGCACAAGAAGGTCCACATCAAGTATGAATTATGCAACTGAAAACACAAAATCCAGAGAAATTTTCATTCAGAATTTTTCCATAAGCCTTGGCAACTGCCAAGCAGTGGAATGCCCAGTATCTGAGAGACACAGTCCCCAGGAGTAATGGTTCAATGGACAAATTACATATACTATGGTCCATTTCCCTCCAAAGTGAATTTGCTTGTATTGGAGCTGTGGAAAGTCCATTCCTGTTTTATATTAATAATCTTGTATCTTTCTTCAGCACTTAGGAGTACACTCAGTGTCTGAACTGCTGACATCCCTCAAGCAACTGCAGAAGAAAATACAAACTCTCTCCACAGATCTGGAAGCAAACAGAGCAATAACTGTGCCTGCTTCGCTCCCTGTGACTGAGGAAACCAACGGACAATTATAACTTCATTAACTTGGACAGGCGCTGCCTCCAGCTGCTGTTTCTGCATGGGAAAGGTGCTGTTCCTGCAAAGGAGAGGTCTGACTTGGACACAAAAAGGACTTAAATCAGACCTAGTTCCTCAAAATTAAGCAATGCACTAAAAGCAAGCAATTCAAGCCTTTTTTTGTTTTTAGAATGTTTAAAACACTTCTAAGTTGCAGAAGACGAAGATGCAAAGCAGCCACAGAAGCTAAGCCCAAGGACTGCTACTAGGACTACCTGGCCATCTAAGTGCTAAAGGAGACACTTGACACTAAGGGCATAAACTACAGGAAAGTAAAAGAAAGAAGGAGAGGTCTTACCACCATAAAAGAGAACTTTACGTATGCGAAAGAGAGGTGGGGCTTGTGACAGAGAAAAGACAAAAGTGAACTATAACAGCTCAAACATTCTGGAGGACAAAGCCAACAAAGACCCAAAACCCCCTCATTCCCAACAGCTCACACCATCTGCCTTCCCTCCTTCAGTGGACCCTGCACAGTTTTGATAAGCTGCTTCCTTTATAAGGTGAAATGTTTAAGACTACCTGAAGGTGACATGGAAGCACATCAGTCAGAGGCATACATTGAAAGCCCATTTTAGAAAAGGTAAAGTGAAGGTCCTGGGAGCCATCAGTCTTAGAACATTTCTGTGCTGCTTTATAACCTGCTGGCTTTTAAAGAGCTTAGTGGCAGCAGCAGCAGAACAGCACAGAGATATTGTACAGCAACTACTGTGTTTTATCCTGAAAAGACCACAGAGTTCTGTAAGTCTCACACATTTCCTCACCAGATTTCATCTGCAAACAGCCTCCAATGGAGAAAAGCTTTTAGGGTCACCAAGGCCATATTATTAAGGCATTAATAGGGAACTGTTCCCTAGCAGCACACTTTCTAGCGTCACATCCAGTTCTATTTTTTCAGGCAGAGAACAGTGCTTCCACCACATCCTTTAATCCACAGATTATGTTTCCTGATTGTTAGTCTACTTTTCATGGGTTAATTTCCAGCAAATAATGCCAAATTTCTGCAAAGAAACTCTAATAGGTACCAAGGCTGTTGAAGCATCAACACTTTAGACAGATGGCATCTGTGTGTGCCTCCGATCCCCTTCTCCTTATTAGAAGTGAGAAAGTGGCAGAATGATTTATTTCAATCCTGCCTGCCAAGTCTGCTCAGTCTCTCTTCCTATCAAAGACGCTTCCAATTTGCAACTCTCCTAATGCTGATGTGTCCAAACTAAGATAAAATGGTGCTGTCAAGGATGACGTTGATTTTCTATTACTGTCTTTTAAGGCCTTTCTGATAAAGGAAGAGCACAAGCCTCTTTGCTCAAGGTGTTTGTGCTTTCTGGGCCACAGAGGTTTCACAGAGGACAGTGAGAAAACTTTTAACTCCAATTAACCAGTCAGTGTCCCAGAGGTGGTGCCAACTGTATGACTTGGAAAATCATCCTCTACACTACAGTGACTCCAGGGGAGCATGATCCTGCCAGCCAAGTCTGGGATACACGATGATCTGATCTGGTTTACTCTTGGGTTGATGGGGAACACAGGACACTTCTCAAAGACTTGTCCTGTACTGCCTTTGCCAGTAAACAGGCAAGTGCCAGCTCTGCTGCGAATGGTGCTTTGAATTGTCATTGCTTTAGGGAAGAAAGAAAAGAAGCGGGGTAGATCCTGGAGCTTCTGCTGTGTCTCAGATGCTGAGTCTCCTTAGGAGAGCTGAAGGCATAAGATCTGCCTGCAGTGCACTTGCCTTTCAGCAGTCAAACACACTGCTGCCTGATGACTGCTACCGGTTCCTGAACACATTTTAAATAGAGAATAGGTGTTTAATTTTTATGACTTGAACATTTCTCACATCAGCAGTCTAACCCTACAGAAGGTGTCCAAAGGACATGTGGTGCAGCATCCACAGGTTGGTATGAACTCTGCATCTGAAGCCCTTCAGCCCTGTATTCTAGGTATAAATTAGAGTTTATACATTGTCCTGCACAGGCTGCGTGGGAGCACATGGGGCTAAAGTCCAGCTGGGAAAGGCATGATGGGGAAAAAGGAAAGCAACTCACACAGTCAGGCACTACTCTCCAGCTCAAAGAAACCATCTCCCATTTGAGCCTCCCAACTCTCCTCCACACTGCATCCTGGAGAGCAGTGTGGAAGTATGAGGCTGGAAGGAGGCAGGGGGCAGTTTCATGCAGCCAGGCCTGCACTCTTTCTACTCCAAACCCTTCACATTGCAGAGTGGAAGGACCAGAGATCCTCAAGCATCACCTGGGCCAGGAGGAAAGGAATAGAGTCACACATGAACTGGAGCTCTGACCTCAGCAGCTATTCTTCAAGAGACATTATCTACATCTTAATGCCTGGGACCCAGCAAAGGGGCTATTTCCCAGAACTGCTCAGTGCATCAGGTACTGTCAAAAAAATGGAGTGGCTCACCAGAACAGGAGTCTCCCTACAGCACATACCCTCCATTTCTACAGCAGCAGTATGGTCTTTCAAGTCTTCTTTGCAGATCTGTTTTAATGCTGGCATTAGACTACAGAAGACTAAAGCTAGTGTGACAAACTACATCCAGAGTGCTAAAACTATGGGTAACAGATTAAACTCTTCATCTACTCATACCTACAAGCTCCACAAGGAGCATGAACTTACCACTTGGTGAGGTGAATGAGCTCATGTGATCCAGAACTTAGGAACAGAACATAAGGGAAAACACCATGAAGAAAGTTAGGAGCAAGTGTTATAGTCTGGGTTCATGTGCACATATCTCCACAAAGTAGATTAGCTTTTCTTGAAGAGAGCTCTTGATGCATATAGATCTTGGAGCGCACCAGAAATGTACCCAGGGATTATGCCACAAACTGGCAAAAGGAATATGAAACTCTTAGTGCAGTTAAACTGGTAAAACAATCAGTGACTGAACCTGAGAAATGACAGAGCCAAGAGCTAAGGACAGCAAATCTAATCATCATCCCTCACATCATTCAATCAATTTCCTTTAATCCCTTTTTTCCCCTAGTTTAAAAAAAATGCACTTAGCTAATCCAATCATCTGTATTTAAAATATATCTAGTAAGGCCTATAATTGAATTATTGTAGAGCTTGTTCTAAAGGTTATCTTCACAAGTTTCTGGAGAGCAAAGCAGTGAGGAATCACACTTGCCTCAAATAGAATTCTGCACCCTGAGGATTTCTTGAATATATATTTGGAAGAGACACACCCCAGCGCTGACTCTACTGCTGTCCAACCCTCCTGCATAACTTGCACAACTAGAGTACAAATACATTACCATGCAGTTTTTCAACTTTCGCTCAAAATGCAAATCCTCCCCTGTCCATCAGCCACCTTTGTGTCAATTTTTGTCACCAATAAATATTTTGAAGAGGGATGGTCTTTCAGCGAGTATTTGCTATGCACTGAGGAACTAAGGGATGGAAACATGATACCAATCCTTGTCTTAAGAAGCTCAAAAGTGACCAGAAGCATGTCAGGAGAAGGTAAAATAAGCCCAGATTGATGAGTGGGAACAGAGTCAAAGGGGACATGGTATGAGATCTGAACAGAGAAAACCTGGGAGGCCAAGTGAACATGGAATCAAATAAAGTCATTAAAAAGACAAAAAAACCCCAGTCAAAGTCATGTCCCCTTTGACAGTCAAATTCACACATGTAACCTTTTTACAGTTGCATTTTGGATGCAACAGGGAAAGGGAATCTTAGGAAAGTAAGCAACCAGATCTGGAGAGATCTCATGGCTGCAGATAAAGGAGGAAGATAGGACACTTCCAACAGTTAGAAGAGTAAATTGCATTATAAATTCTTGAAGGCAAGTACACAAGAGTAAATAGAACGAACCATGGATTGGCTTGGGTTGGAAGGGACCATAATGGTCAACTCATTCCACCCCCCCGTGCCATGGGCAGGGACACCTTACACTAGAACAGGTTGCTCAAAGCCCTATCCAACCTGGCCTTGAACACTGACAGGGATGTGGCACTCACAGCTTCTCTGGGCAACCTGTTCCAGGGCCTCAACCCCCTCCCAGGGAAAAATTTTTTCCTAATATCCAACCTAAACATATTCTCTTTCAGTTTGAAGCCATTGCCTCTTGTCCTGTCACTCCATGCTCTTGTAAAAAGTCCCTCTCCATCTTTCTTGTAGGCTCCCTTCAGGTACTGGAAGGCTGTAATTAGGTCACCTGGAAGCCTTCTCTTTTCCAGGCTGAACAATCCCAATTCTCTCAGACTTTCTTCATAGGAGAGGTGCTCCATCCCTTCTATATAAGTAAGAACAAAACTGAAAGGGGACCTAAAATGGTTTTCAGGAGCAAACAGTTTCTAGGGAAAGATAACATGAAATTATCACCATTGCCTCATCTCTAACATATGAGCAAGTAGTGACAATCCCTATAAAAGAGATTCTTCAACACAGTAGTCTTAGTCCTTCTTCCCAGTGTCTGTTCTTATATCAGCATGACCTCACAAGACAAAGGCACTGTGGGGTACAGGCGTATATAAAAAGTTCCTAACACAGAATTGAGAACACTTCATCCAGCCCTGCAGCCTGCTGAATTCAAGCCTACAGCTGGCAAAGAGCCTCCCCCCACAGCACAGTCTCTACTTCTGTTGCACTGACAGAGATTAATACAATAAATGGAGTCAACCTTCTTCACTTACAGGGCAACCCCACAGACTGTTTCTGAAGAACAAAATGCAGGAAACTCTCTTACAGGCAGCATTTTTGTTCTAGCAATTTGAAGTAAGAGTCTAATAGGCCGTCACTTCTATAAGCAAGCTCAAATCAAACTAGGGACAAGTGGATTGAGCAAAATTTTGTGAGTGACCAAAAGCAGCAGCTTGACCAGGGTTTGGAATATGAATACAGACACTAACATGCCACAGACAGCACCAGCCCTTCTCTTTTATTACAATAGCAACTTACAGGTGATCATAAAGCTGAACCCTACGAAATACTGAGAAAGCAACTGCTACCACAGCTAGCGGGAGCTGGATGCTCTCTGAACCTTGTATAAAGATGATTAGATTGTGCAAATCAATGTATAGAACTAAAATCAAGTTCAGAAACTGTAATCAACCACCTGAAGAGTACTGCAAGTAGCAGAATTCCTTTCTGGAAGTTTGCTGGGCTTTGCATGCCTAACTCATTTTCAGAAACAGTAAAATTTCTTCCCTACTAGGAGGTGGAATTATGCAAAGACTAATTCAAAATGTCTGCAGCAGGAATTGTTTTAACAGCATCTTTCTGCCAATGGCTTAGACCATCTATGCTGTACTATCCAGGGAACTAGAGCTATGGCAAAACCCAGAGTCTGCCTATGTTTTCAACCCTTTCTAGCACAGTACACTGCAGAATGAAGCTGCTGCTGGCTGCTAATCTAAGCCAACGTAACCTCAGGTCAAAGAGAACTTCTGATTTCAAAGCAGCTGGGATGACAATAAACAGCTTGCAACACAGCCTGACTCAGAAGTCTGGAGCTCATGGAGATCTCGGCCTCAATTCTCACCCATAAAGCAGCTGTGCACAAACAAACCACTGGGAATCTCTGCTCCAAACAGTGCTGCTACTCCTGTGCTTAGGCCTCATTTTCACCAAATGGATGGAGAACAAGAGATCAGCAACAAGTCAGCTAGCAGCAGTGAGACATTCTCTTACCTTCCATGGCGTATTTCATATCCTGGGCAAAAAGACTCCACATCACCTCTGCGCTGATCTTCCCAACTGCAAGCTCCTGAGGAAACCTGAAGGGACATTCGGAAAAACTTTGGCATGTGGCAGAGCAAAAGGCTCTCCTTTATTCAGCTCTGAGCTACACTATGTGATGAAAAGCTCAACATTAAGGAACTTCCTTCACCCTAGATAAAGGTCCAGGTGAAAACTGGAGACCATGAACTGGACTCTGTGGCATAGATTAAGTAATCTGAAAACTACACTGGTTTTAACTCAAAAAGCCAGGTCCTGGATGTCATTCCGCGTAGAGATGCATAAAATAATTCTGGGAATATGATCTCAACGCCCTTGTACCTTTTTCCCTTTCCTTGTCTATTTTTTTCATTCTCCTTTTCAAGGGTTACTAGGCTGACAGATGAATGATTATTATGTTAAATCAATGATCATTAGGGCATAATCCAGCTGTTCGTGTATAATACCTTGTCAGATCTCTCTCTCTCTCCTGCCCTGTGGGACTGTTGGAGTGGTGTCACTGGTTAAACAGACCTGTTTCAGGTTCCTTTCCAATGCTGTGCCAACTCCACCCAATGCAATCTCCCACTGCTGCAATGAACACCATGTTCCTAAATCACAGTGTAAGGCACCATGGCACCACTGTGTGCATTAACATGCACCCCAGAACTGCTCAACATCAGAAAAAAACAAAAGAACTCTCACCCCATTTTCAGGTGCCTCCCTGAGTTCAGGATTGTAATAATCAGGGTGTTTGTGCTCGAACGCCAGCGTAACTGAACCTTTTGAAACTCTTCCATCCCAATCAAAAAGAGTTATTTATAAAGACAGAGACAGATAAGACAGAAAGACAGACAGACAAGATAAGTTCTTCTATAAATGCACAAGTGACAGAAGAGATAGAAAGCAGCTCAACAAATAAAGCAGAGCACACACAGACTAGTATTAGCCACACAGGACATGGAAGTTTCTTACTGATTCAGGACTGGGGTATAGGAATTCTTGTCCTCTTCTATGATGGAAACTATCAAAGTGATGAGCTTGGGCCAGAAATCAAGGTTCCTGATGCTGGGGCCCTGTTCCTCAGGAGGAAGGTCCTGACTTTTGTTCTGGGAAGGAAGCCATTGGAAAAACAGCATCAACTTTAAGTGGACAGAAAAAGCTGGCAAATGTAGATCACCATTGTGGGCCCTTTCTCTGAAGAGCTTAAAACTAATAATGACTGCTGGTAATTTGCCTGATCTAATGCAAAACACAGTAAACATGCCAAACCATGTTGCTTACTGGTGGCCTCAAACCCAACTAATCACTGTTTTGTCATTTACCATGCCAAGAGCAGGCCAGGCTCCAGAAGACCTGCTGAGACATTATTTTCCCTAAGCTTATTCCAAATAGTTGCTTTCTAGCCACCTGCTTGATGACTATATCCACACTGACACATTGTGTGTGCATTACTACACAGTGGTCGGAGGAGCTTTTATGGATTTGAAAACAGCTTGTGTCTAGAGGCACCTCCTAAACCCAGTGCAGGATACTGGCTGCTAGAAAACAAGGTAAAATTTCACTGCTCGGGGTTTATATATGCTAAAGTTTCCTGGATCAGTCTACATCTGCTCTAATTGGCTTTTGCTCATTCAAAGCTACATCAAACCTTCCCTTCACAAGTAACTGCTGAGGCTGGCAAAATGCATCATAATTAGTGTAAAACAATTATCATCCTCCACTTACTAATTAGCGCTCATTATTTGATTACAAGTTTCGTGCATTCAGAAGATAACAAGTCACGTAATTTTGTTTGTGTTGGCTTTTTGTATCAATTAGTATTCTCGTTATTATCTTAAGAAAATCAGAAACTTGGACTTCAGCCTTCTTATCAGCTACTCACAGGGTCTGTCTGGTACTCGCGACTGTACAGCTCATGACAGTTGTTGAAAATGTACTCGTAGGTGGAGTTGAGACAAGCTTTTACACAGTCCTTCACTACCTGGCTGGCTCGGGGTGGGCTCTGCAGCTCTTGGACCTGACAAGGAGACAACAAAGAGAGTCAAACAAAGAATTGCTCATAAATCAAACAGGGAAGGAACACACCACCGGTTTGGGAACCACCCAGGGCTTGGTGGATCTGCTTTCAGCGACTTGTGCTATCGGTGACCTGAAGCCACAAGTGGGTCACTCTCCCCAGGCATCAAAGAGCACTGATGACACTTATCTCCCCACTGGACCATTTGCAGAATAAAAACAGATTTTGAAAGGCCAAGGAAGATTCCTCAAAACAGACAGATCATGTGCCTTGATATGTGTTATAATCTGAGCCAAACACGCAATTTCTGCTGAATTTATAGGATTTTGTTACGAAGCCAGCGAGTAATCTTTCCCAACATTGGAAGAATGTGCAGCAGACCAGAAGAGCAGATAACATCTGATCTGGAAAGTCTTACTGAAGACCACTCATATGCCTTTAAATACAAAAACTTGCATTAAGGACATCTTTCATCACAAGCTTTATTGAATTTTAAAGCACACCAGAATCCCTAGGGTCATGCCAACTGATACGCCTTCTCCTCTTGCAACAGCAGCTGTTTTCATTATTTCATTGTTATATTGCTTTAGAAAAATGCTGCAGGAGCACTTTAAACTAAACAGATAGGCAGGCATCACCCTGCAAATACAACAATAACCCAGCAATTTTGATACTGTCAGTATCTCACAACTTCTCAGAGTATTTCTATAAAGCAAACTTTCAATACAGACAGATTGCCTGAATGAACACTCTTAAAATGAAGTTCCAAAACATCATTTACCCTAAGGGTTAGGAGTAAAATTTTAAGAACTTCCTGAAACAGTTCAAATTAAACACTTGTTTTTTGATAAGATAAGAATTTCTATGTGACATGTACAAACAGATGACAGTAGGTTGTAAACTTTTAAAAAAAAGTTTAGAAACCAATAATCAGGAATCAAAAATAATCTCATTACACACTGCTAGAACAATAAACTTAACTATGGAACCAGCACATTAGCATTCATAAGAACTCTCCTGGACCTCTACTGAGACATATTATCTTGTTGCAATATTTTACCTTCCATGAGATAAATTATAAAATATTTACTAGATAAAAGATAGTGAATAGATGGTAGTGGCTTATGTTACAGTTAGTTTTATAGGAAAAGCTTCCTAATGATGTTAACAGAAGCAAATTATCTTCCTAAAACTAGCCAATTTTCTTTATTCCTTCTCCTTTCTTTTTTTTTTTTATGCCATATTTATGACTGAAGAACCCTAGGCAAAAAACAATTTACATCTTCTCAGTGCAAAACACAGTGAAGTAAAGACAAAATGTGGATGTTTATACATGTTCACAGATGATTTCAATCTTCCTTAAGTGTCTAAAGCACAACAATGTTAAACAATGCTTTGAAAATGGGAAATCAACTCCTAGGGGAAAAACTAAAGAGATGCCATTCCCATCCCCACCCATATCACTACCTTCATCCTGAAAAAGGTGATGCTGGTCAGCAAATCCACTGTAGACTTCAGGTCCTGCAGGCGTTCACGGCTGCTGGCTGGGAAGTTATTCTGTTGACAGAAAAGGGAAATCCTGTTGGAAAGCACAGCCAGATCCATGCAAGGCTACAAGGATGTGCTAAATAAGGAAACTGTCTTGGAAACATTTCCTGCTCAAGAAGCTTGTACCAGTCAAAACAATGCTCAATAAATAAGGCCTTTTTGCTGCAGGAGCTTATCTGTTTGCTTAATTAAATAGATTCTCATAAGAACGCAAAGTCCATGGATGCCAGGAGACTGACAGCCCTCGGCAGCAGGAAATCTCTCCTTGGCTGTTGAAGAAGCAGGCTGGGAGCAGCCTCACCCCTGGCAGCCCTGGCCTCTTGCCTGAGGTTGCCTGTGTGGGCCCTTTCCTTTTTGCACTCACTGCTTGGTGTTTTGGCTTCCCTTCTGAGATGCTGAGAGATGTGGTGTATTAAAAACCTCTCCAGAGAAACAAACTGGACTGAGAAGGAAAAATGAGCACTGTTCCCTCTAAGAAGATATTGTAACCACTCAGCCACCTGTAAGACCCCATCTGCCAAGGTAACTTATGCATCCTTCGGTGCCTCCTTCCCTCTAATGAATTTATTTTACACACTCTTCCCATCACCCTGCTGTCCACAGCTGTACACGCCTTCCTCTTCCACTCTCTGGCTCCCACTGAAATTAGAAGTCTTGTCCCTTCCATATATGACACATATTTGTGTATGTGCACATATGTATATATATGTGTGTAAATACATATGCTGAATGCAGAAAGCTTCGCTTCTTGCATGAGATCCTCCCTTTCTGACCTCAGGCACTGCACCCTTTCCTACACTCCCACTCTCTCCAACCTGTGTCCTTTAACTGCATTCATGTTCTTCAGCAGGGTCTTACATTAAAGCTGATACGATTCTTGGTTTTGCTGCAAGTACAATAGCAAAGGCAAGCTTCACTTGGGTAATCCCTTCTTGTTTGCAAGTTCAAAAATTATTAGATACAAAGATAAAAAAGGGCAGAGGAGAACAAGTGTTCACTTTTTATTGAGGACTTGCAGAAAAATACAGTCTCTTGACAGTAGTAATTGAGTATTACTGCAGTTCAGCTAACCACTGCAAAGAATTTAATTTGCAGTTATTTGTAGATGCTCATTCGTAGATAACTCTCCTTTTAAGGTTAACTTGTCTACACATGGGCTCTCTGGAACTCAGGGTATTTATCAAAATCAAAGCCTTTGAAGGGTCAAGATCTAAGTACAAACCACTGGATGAATGTGAAATGCTATCTCCTGTCTTGAAAGCTGCAAACTAACACCTTTTCTTCCATAATTTAACCTGCCCTTCAGGGGTCTTAAAATAATTACTAAATGGTCTCAAATTGCTTCAGACGTTTCTCTAAATATAATGGCAGTTGGATAACACCTGAAATATTTAAACTACACAAATCTTTCCCGGTCCTTTATGTAAGATCTTACTCGTCTGTGCACAGGTCAGTTGCATTAGCCACTGAAAAGCAGCTTTTAATGAAGACCAAGCAAACAAAAAAGGCATCACTGCTACAGATTCCTATTGCCATGCTTTGATAATTTGCCTTCTGCTACTCAGTGGCTCTGTTTAGACCTTCTCTCACTAGTACTGTAGCTTTAGAATAGCTCTTCATACAATATTCCTTTTATCTTCTTTTGCACCCTGCCCCTTTTCCTTTTTGTTTTCTCTTCCTACTGCACTTCTCTTAATCTGCTCATGTTTTTCTCTTACATATGTTTTTCTGCGTTTCAGATGAATGCACTAATCAGAAGAGGATCTAGTTTAAAATAAATAAATAAAATGAAAGCTCACATTTGCCACCATTTTTACAATTTTCAATTAATTAATTACCAATTGAAATAATATGGCAAGGAAATTAAGGAAAAAAAAAGCCAAGTCATGTGATAAGACTATATTGACTCTGCAGTAGCAGAGGAAGAAAACAGAGGGTTTATGAAGCCTGTTAGACTAATGCCAACATTTAAAACTCATCTCTTCACAAAATGTTGAAGAGGACAGAATCTCAAACCTGACAATACATCTTGTAGATCCAAAATTAGGGACAGTGATTCGAGTTTGCCAAACCTCAAATACGTGACAACATGGCTGTGGGTCCTCTAAAATATTTCTGTCATACTAGGGGAGAACAACTCTATTTTCCATTTTTAGATGACACCTGAAGGAGCTGATAAGAGTAATTAAAATAATTTAATCCAATCCAACTTGCATTTCTGGGAGAGTGTCAGAGATGAGCACAGTTCACAATCCTCAAATTATTTCAGAAGGCTTGAGGAAGTTATAATGGAGAAAAAAAAACATGATCCATGAGGAAACCTAAATGGTATATTTAAGTAACAAGTTTGTCATGACAATTTCTTAAGACACAAACTACACAAAAAGTTAGAAACATACGAGAAATCCAAATGGTGTGTTTCCCCTCTGCCCACCAGAATGCCTGAAAGGACTATATTTATTCTCACTCACCCTGTACATTGAGAGATCAATCCGAAGTGAATTATGAAGCTGGTCCAGAAGCTTTACAAATCGTTCTTTCTGTTGAGAACACCAATAAACATCACTTATCATCACTGTCCAATCGATGTTCAGAATAAGCAGTAGGCTATCAGGTAATTAGTGTCAGATCTCATAAGAGCAGGAGGAAGCAGTATGGATACATGGCGTTGTGTAAACAGTGTTTTCTTTCAATTCTTGGATTTACTTTTAAACTGTAATTATTTCTGAAGTCTGTGTAATGTTAGAATTGTCAGAAAAAACACTCCATTATTACTCTGAAGTAGAGGCAGAAGAGAAACCCCTCTGATTTCTAGTCTGCAATTTACACCAAACTTGTATTTAAGAGAAAATATTTATTCAGAGATGGATAAAGTACAGCAGAAAAGAGTCTAATTCAGAGCAATAACACAGCTGCAAGATCTTATCTATTAGTTCAGTGACAAGTATTATAGGCTTCTTGTGACATATCTTCTTGAGGTCAGATTTCTCCACTGGATTCTGATTTGGCATTGTGAACACCTCCTCAATCTACTCATGAATTCTCAATCTGATGGGAAGCATAAGCCTTTCCAAATACTTTGCCAGCATACTCAGCTCCACCACCAGTTATGTCGAAAATATTTTAACCATTAGAGGGATAGACATTTCTTGTGGCTTTGAGTTTGTTTTTTCTTCCTTAAAGCAGTTGCTATTTTTAAAAATAAAGTTCTGAAATTACTAGATCACATGGTATATTTCAGCAACAGCATCAACAGGCAGAGTTTAGTACTGTTTGCTCATTCCATACCATCTGTGCTCTACTGTAATGTGAACATAAAGAATAAACATCACAATGCATTACACTGATTGGTAACAAAAATGCATGATGATGACGACAATAAACCCATGCTCTTTGTACAGTCTGAAAGAGTTTTACTGCTTCCAACTCCTCACAGATTTAATGTTCCTTAAACAGGAGTTATTTATTGAAAGCTGGAAGCACCGTAGGGAAATTACAGAAGTCCAGCTGTAACATCACCAAACACACAAACATACCCCAAAATTGGAGGCTGCAAAGCGGTCCGAAGCAGACACGTTTGTGGAGGCAGTGGTGTGTGCATAATAAGCATTGATATTGGCAAGTAAGGTGCTCATCACAGCTGGCACGCCTGGGCACATGTATTTAGAAGAGAGACATGCAAAATGCCTGCAAAAGAACAGTTCTGTAAGTCATTCTGGTCTCCCTTGTGTAGCAGGGCTTGACTTTACCCCTTTAATAGACCCCGTGTTCTGGCGGGCACTGATGAACAGATGCAAGTTGTTTAATCCCTTTACGCAGCTTTCCAGCATCTCAGAGCCTTTTTTCAGAACGACGCCATCTAGACAACAGCTCAAAATGAGAAATCCCTTCACTACAGCCCTTTCTAGATCATAAACCAACTGTTTGCTGCCAACAGCTTGTGACTCCAGTCATACCCTGGGTCTTCATGCCAATTCCTAGAACCAAGCCTGACACAAGGTAATTTATATAACTTGCTGCTGCTCAAGGCAGACATGGGTTCTGAGGTGACATGAAGCAGCAGCAACTGCCTCAGAGAGGCACAGAGAGAGCACACACGCTGGTATTTCTGTGCTGCACTGATATGTGATTCCTTATGGCTGACCCTTCCAGCCTGCAGGAAGCATGCACGTTCATTTGCATTTTCCCATTCTCTCATTAAATGCAAGGAACCCTCCTTCACAAAATCTCAGCATTATGCCAGGAGCACCCAGGCTTGTGAAATGATTAGATAATCAAAGAAAATCCATTAGACATACGAGGGGAAAAAAATGATCAGAACTTAAGAGGTCTTGTATTATGGGACATGGCAAGTAAAGTTCATTCCAACAGGCAGGAGAGTTGAGATGTTTTTAAGCTGGAATCCTCAGAGCTCCCAAACGAAATCTGGAAGCTACTTTCCGAATGTAGCTTTCTCCTTAAGGGACTCACAGAATCATAGAATAGTTTGGGATGGGAGGGACCTTTAAAGGTCCACCCCTACAGTGAACAGCAACATCTTCAACCAGACTAGGTTGCCCAAAATCCCTGACCGTGAACATTTCCAGGGACAGGACATCTACCACCTCTGGGCAACCTGTCCATCCAGGGTTTAGCACCCTCATTGTAAAAAAATTTCTTCCTTTTACCTAGCCAAAATTTACCCTCTTAAAAGTTTAAAATCATGCTTGCTACATGATACTTATGTACCAGCTGGTCATCTAGGCACTTGGTAAATAAATATAAGCACATAAAATGGCTTTGTTTAGCTTTAAGAAGAGAAGGTGTGAGGAGTGGGGATCTAATCAGTGTCTTGACTACTTAGCAGAGAGGGGAAAGTTATAATCATAGAATCAATCATTAAGGTTGGACAAAACCTCTGAGATCATGGATTCCAACCATTAATGTAGCACTGCCATGTTCACCCCTAAATCATGGCCCTAAGTGCCACAGCCACACGTTTTTGAACACTTCCAGGGATGGCAATTCCACCATTTCTCTGGGCAGCCACTCAGTGAGAAGACTGAGCCAGGTCAAAATCCTTTTAGAGGGAGGACTAAAAGACAGGCAGCAATATGCTGCAGCTACAGCATAAGCAATTCAAAGCACGATTTTCCAGTCTGGATTTTAACCAGGAATTTCTTTCCCAGAGTAATACAGCCTGAAGACAGGAGCCAAGAGAGGTAGCACACCTTCATCCTTGGAAATTTTCCACTTACTGAAAGAGCCCCGAGCAGTCTGGTCCAACTTCCAAGTTAGTCCTGCTATAAGTAGTGACTAGACCTTCACAGAAACCTTCCAATTCTTTTCCATTTTGGCTTTAACCAATAGGCAGAAAAGCTGCTTGCAAGGTGACGTAAGAACAGTTCATAACTCATCTAAGGACCCATAACCCAAAACTTTCAGCTTCTAATGTGAAAAAGTTCACTTTTGTCTGCTACATATTTACATCTGAAATAAGAAATGAGCCAGGCACAGCACTACTAGTCTTTAAGAAGAATGACTAATCCTAAGTCCAAGTGAAAGTATAGTGACAAGGAAAAGGTTCTTTGAAGATGAAGAACTCCATTAGTCTAGCTCCAAAGAAGACAAATCAGTTGCTCCATTACTCAAACTTTCTATAAATGCCTTCAGCAGCACCTGGGAAATCAGTCACTTCAAAGGACTATAACAATTGCTGCAACAGTTGTGTAGGACAAGTACTTTCGCAAAACCTCATCCCTTCTCACATCATCAGAAGTATTCATGGGAACCCTGAGCAAAATCTTTTTAACAGAAGAGTTCTCAAATAGGGATTTTTGAGAGTCTTAAAACAGCAATGTCTCAGCCACCATTAATAAAATATGGTCATTTACGCTAGTGAAGTTGGTGTAATTCCTTAGAATTAGTTTTAAAGGTGTTCACACAAAGTGTTGAGATAGAAGCTTAATTCCAGCACTTTGTCAGACATTAATTTCTAGACTTTGAGGAAACTGGTGATTCAGAGACAGGCTCACAGCAAGCCCCATAAGGAGCAGCTGTCACTGTCAAGCCTTCCATCACCAGCACACTTCATCATCTAAATAGTAAAAGTCACATCAGTTAGTTACACCAATTATGTGCACTGAAGACCACACAAAATGTGTCTTACGTCATGGCCTGGTATATTGATTCAATGCCGTAACGCATCGCAAATTCATCCACGATCTCTTGCGCTGTCTCGTCAAAATACACCTTCCAGGCATCATCTCCTTTGGCATCAGGGATCTTCACCACCCCATTCCCTTGCACATCTGTGAGATGGTGAAAGAGGTTCTGAAAGACAAAGCAGGAATAGGTTTGTGTGTGAGGCTGCTGAGGCCTTTAAGCAAGATTCACGAAGATCTTGGAACTGCTGAGGTGGTGGCACTAACACAAATTCCCTTGTTCTCCTCCTCTTTCTTTCCCCCTACCCATTCTGTGTTTTCTGCTTTTGCCTTCTTTTCTTCTTGAGTGCTCATAGCTGAATATTTTGCATGTGGATCTATAACTTTACCCTGCAGACATTGTGAACAATGCAGAACAGTGCTTCAGTGCTCTGAAACCACACACTAATTAGTTTCCTGAAACCTACACATTTCTGTCCTCGGAAAGAAATGTCTTGGACAACCTATTTAAACTAGCTGACATTACAGCTCTGTATCAGCATTGTAATTATTATCATACAGCAGAACAGTCCAAGAAGTGTTTTTTCTTCTGAGAAGGATACCCTTAAGATCACCCCTAGCAACTAGACACTTGCATTATTATTCATCATAACCTTTCACTTTATCTAACACTACAAAAGTTTTCAGCTATCATTGCTGTGCAGAAATTGCACAATCAGCTCAGTGGGTTTCTCAGTTATCCTCAAATTCAAGACACTTGCAGATTCATCAGCCTTTCAGACAGCTGCCTTCCTGCAGTAAGGGGTGCAAAAGTCTAATGATCTCATTAGTAGCTAGAGGACTGTGCTTTACACTACTATTTTTCCTGATTAAATTATACTTGCTGTAAATCATCTTCATTTTAGAATACACAAATGAAAGAAGGGGATACTTAAAATGAGACCTATTTGCAAAAAAACCGCAGCAAGTGATCATGGATGTTCAAAGGAAAAAAAAAAAGAAACAGCTTATCAAACAGAAGCCATCACTGAATTAAAAAACAAATATGTATTGAAGGAGACAACGCAGCCTACTAAAAGAAGCCTACTAATGTTTTTTCTAAGCTCCATATCTGTCCCATAGACAGCTCCTTGGTAAGGCCGGAAGACACCACAGGACTCATCCAGCCCAGTGTCTGGATAAATATGTTGTTCCTGTTGATGAACGATCTACTCTGTGATGCAACTGTCCTTCTTGTCTAAGATGAATTTACTTAAACCTCCCTGGACTTTAGGATATTCTTGTATAGAGGGTTCTGACTACTCTTCCTTATTCAGGCACTCAGAGTCTCACCCTGCCACCCGATTCTCTTTGACATAGGTAGACTGGGCACCATGCATCTCTCCAAGGCAGGGTTATTCCTTCAGTCCTTTCCCTAAGTCATCTTTGGGTTTCTTCCAACTTCTGCAGCATTGTCTCCCCAGCTCAGCCCATCCTGAGACAGGTTGGTACCCAGTAACCTCAGTTGATCATCTGTTCCCCAAAAGCACAGCTCTGTTCCCCCAAGCTGTTGCACATAACTACACACCAGTGTAGCAGAACAAAAGAATTTATACCACCAATATATGCATCAACAGCCAGAAACAAAGCCCTCCACAATCATAATTTACCTACAAAGCATTTTAGTATGCATCCTCTAAAGAAAGACATAGCTCCGGTACACATTGAAAACATCACTCAAGGAATTTCAAAGGTTTCTCCACATTAAACTCATCTTTAATTGATTCTGAGTGGATCCAATGCCTCATCTCTGCCTAACAGTAGTACAGCTGTGACACGGAATGGACTGAGCCAGCCAGCCCCCAGCATGGGGGACACAGCCTAAAGCTGCCTTTGCCTTTCTGACAAATGCAGGTCTGATGATTCACTGCGTTACCAGGCCTGCATAGCAGGGAAAGCAAAGCTCACCTAGGGCAAAGCGGCACATTCCAGGGAAATGAATGTCAGAAAATTGCTTTTTCAGTAGTCAGAAGGAATATGGTGATGTTCCCGTCTCTTACCTCGTGAAGGCAAGTGTACTGAATATGATATGGAGCCACCTTCTCCTCGCCTTTGATCTCCACACTGATTTGCAGACGAATAGCCCCGGACACTGCAGACTTATCTGTTCTTTTCTCTAGAAGGAAAAAACATCAGCAACTATATGCATTGTTCATGTTCAGAGCACAGACATTTTGGGGTGACAACACTGGCAAAGAAACTGCTGGAAGCTCAGGCTGAGTCATCCCAGAGAAAACTTTCTCTTTTCTTTCAAAACATTGAATACTAAGTAGACATCAGCAAAACAACTGCCATGATACACCCTCAATATGACACATCTAGCTAGAACTATGTACATTTTTAGACATAAGACAGCCTTTCCATCAGCAAATGTGCTACAGGGTCTTGGATTCAGTCAGCTGAACTAGAACCACCAAGGACAGATTCCTTTCCTGAGAACAGGGCTGAATGATGTGGAATTCTTCCCTAACTTCACCATAGCCCTGAACTCCTGGGAATTGCTGGCTGCCCCTATCAAGAAGATTTTGGATCTCCTACGACTATTACTGTGCCTGTCAACTCAGCACCATCTAGTTACTTGCTAGTACTTTCCTCAACAGTCACTGGGAAAGGTCTCAACAACCTGTCAACCCAGTGCAGTGCACTTGATGGTTTTATAGTCAGGCAAAACGTTTGTGTTAAAACAAAACAAAAAAAAGGATGTATGTAAAAGGGCAGTATGCCTCCAGCACAGGTGGAATACAGTCCTGCCCCAAGCATTTCACCCATTGTACTTTTCAATGCCTGACAGACAAAACTCATCAACCCTCTGACATGTTACACTCCATTTTATCTGGGATAAGCTTTGCAGCTGCTCTGCAGTGGCATCATGTACCCTTTGAAATCATGTAAGTTTTTTTTTATTTCCTTTCTTGCAAGTTGTCCATATGCATCCAAGTGCTATCAAACATTCCCAAACTAACACGTAACATTTTCAGTCCCAAAGCCCTGCTCACCAAGGTTGTACCACACATCCATTTCTCCGCTCAGAGTACGAACTTCAATGATTGTCTGCCCCAGGAAATCATCTGACTCGCGTTTCAGTCTCTGCTTGACACGAGACTTGATGTCATCATCTTCATCCCACACTCGCACCTTGATCCGGTCAGAGGAATTATGGCACTCACTGCAAACAAGAGAAGTGTAATTTATTTAAGAGTGCATAATGCAGCCAACATTTATATGCGACACGCTTCGCGTTCCTCTTGACCCATTCATTCAACATTAGAGGGATGTATTAGCAAAATCTATTAGCAAAATGTAAACAATGCCTGTTTATTTAAAAGTGGAGCATCTGGTATGAACTACTCAACAACCTCTTGGTGCGCTCTAAATGCTCCTGTGACATGGCAGATACTGCACTCCAGATGCAAGCTGAAGGACTGCCCTGCCCTGACCTCGACCACCAACTTCACACTTACTAAGTGGTTGTGACTCTCCTGCTTGTCCTCACTGTCAGCAGCAGCTCCCCAAACTTGGGAATTCTCTTCACAGCTGACTGTGAAGCCCACAGAAACCTGGAGATAGCTAAACTGGTAAATGCTTTCATATACCCCCCAAAAATGACGATGAGCATCTCACTGGTTTCAGTAGCTCATTCCATCAATGACCCTCTGTTCAGCTGTAGGTGCTAAGGGCTACCTGTATTTATGCAGTATCTAGGACAGCACAGTCAAGGTCTGTGACACACACCCTTCACGCTGGTTTCTAAGAAAAGGATAAATAGCTCAGGTGGAGGTAGATCTCTTACTTCAAAATAGTCACAAAGCAGTAGTGTATGAATGCACAATACATTACAACCAAATGATGCACATACTGCCTGAGGGGAAAGGGTGGGGTACAGTAATTACAGCATTGGTATTTAATTACTAGAATTGATTCTGCCCATTATTCACAGCTTAGACTGATACTTTCTGCTCTGAGCAGATCAATAATGACATTTTCATTAAGAGAAGTAGTTTACTGTTCGATAAATTGGCACCCCTCAGTTTAATGCACAGGCAGAATTTGCAGACTCTCCCTCTTTTTTAGGTGTTCACCTTTTGTAGATCCAAAAAAGCTCTTGGATGACAGAAGTGGGTAGAACTGTATTATAAGAGCTCTGCTCATTTACAGGGCATGCAATAAAGCAATTTGAATGCTCATATGAGACCATGACAAGGGTGATTACTCACCATAACCACTACAAATGTCTACCCTCAAGCAAATAGAATATATGAAAACAGGCAACTGCTGCTGAAGGCCTGTTTTCCAGCCTTTTTAACATTAACATGCTGCATCTGTTGCTAAGCAACAGGGAGAAAGAAGAAATGGGTCAGAAGAGATCTGCTAAGCCTGGTCAATAGGATATGGCAGTGACTGGTATGAGCATGCTCTCTCCCAAGAAACCATTTGGGCTCTTACTGCCACCACTGTGATTTAGGACAACATTTAACAGATGTCCATGCAGCTCCTACTGATTTTTCCAGTAGAGAGGGATAGCTGGGAATTATATGGACAAAGTTAGAGGCGATTCCATGCAGTTCTGATCACAGACAGAGCACATCACTGCTCCCTGTCTTTGCTTTGCAATCAATGCTGTATTTAGAGTTCAGAAGAGAAGAGGTTCTGTGTTTGTCTCCTGGCTTTATTCTCCTCTCCCTCCTTTTTTGCTGCAAGAACATCTTCCTTAACAAAATCATGCAGCCAAGTGTTCACAAGCAGGGAACTCCTGGACTTGCTGTTCCTTGTAGCTCTCAAATTTATCTGAGTACATTGCCATATTTACCAGCAACACAGTGTAACCATGCAAAAGAAATCCTCTCTTCCTGACATGGTGTGCTAAAGTACAGCCTGGCAGTTTTGCAGAGGCTCAGTGTTGAGAAATGCATGGGTGCCTAAAAACACAGACTAGCACACACTGCCATTTACAAAGCATCAGTAAGTTAAGTCCTGACTTCTTTAGACCTCACCTTCTGGTGTGACAGCTCTTCGTTAGGAATGTTTTGATCTTGTTTCTTTGCTACCAATGGTCTTTCCTTAAAGAAAACATTCACTGTTCAGACCTAAATCTAACTTAGGCAGTCCCACATGCATCATCCCACGCTCCTGAGGTGGCTGGCTATCATCCTTCACTCGACTACAGCAGCATAACTCACTGCTAAGTGCTACAGGAAACTTTCCAGTACCAATTACTGAGCTACTGAAGCTTCTATTTTACCACACCTTTCTCTGCTGTTTTTAAGAGACTGCTCAGTTTGTATTCTTTATACTGGTCCCATGCCAGAGAGTGAGTTTTATCACTTGCTCACAGCATCTGAAAGCCCTGAGCTGGTGGCTCACCATAAAACATCTAGGTCTGTAAGAACCACAGTCATTGCTTTCGGTGAAGTAAAACAAGTGTGTCAAATCCAGTTTACCTTCCAGAGAGCACCCCAAAACAGAACGATGAATACTGGGAGACTTGGGCTTGCTGATTGGTAGCAGTTTTCTAATTAATTAGTTAGTTAGTCATTAGTTAGTTTTCTAACTAATGACATAGCTTCCAATTTGTGACAGCATCACGACTCTGTAAGACTGTGGCTAACAAGCTCTGCTGCTAGAAGCTTTCCCCTTCATTAGTACAGGAGCTGGCACATTTCTCAAGATGCCTGCCCCAGTTCTTGCTATGTTTTTATGAAGCTTGATTTCACTGTGTGCACACATACGTCTGTCCACCCTCCCACAGCCGAGCTCCCACAGCTTTCCCAAGAGGATTCAGAGAAGGAAAGTGACCCCACTGAAAGTAAGAAATTACCAAATGCTTTCAGGTTCTCTTCAGAGTGTGAGAGACTGGAAACCATGTTTGCTATGTACACGGCTCAAAAACTGTCTCTTGTTTTTTATCCATATCATCTTTATGTTTACAGTGGTGCCACTTTTACACTTAAAGATACCAAATAAAGTAATATTTTCCAGAAACAGCACATCAAAATTTTAAGAAAAAATTTAAATGGTGATTTTATTTTTTTCCCCATTAACTTTTTCTGCCTGAAGCCAGTGGCTGCTGCAGAGGAAGCAAGCTGAGCTTGGTTCTGCTGACTTGCTTTTTATCCCACTCTCTACCTCCATTCTCTTCTACCGCTTCTGTCTTACCCAGCAGCAAAGCCCCAGTACCCACACACATCCCCTGCACTGTCAATATTTGGGTCTCTTCCCATGCCCAGCTAGCAACTGGGCTGAGGGGAAGCACGCGAGCACACGAAGCTGTAGTTAATTCTGTTCTGCGCACACAGTGACATGCCCACACACACGGCAATTAGTATATTGGTGGCTAAACAGAACAAGTAACTGTTGAATTTACACTATAGTTCCTCCCACAATGAAGTTAGTAATTTGCATCCTTCTAATCCAGCTCTAACTTACCAAAAAAAAAAAAAAAAAAAAAAAAAAAAAAAAAAAAAGAAAGAAAGAAAAAAAAATTGCAGAAAGTGATTCTTAGTTGTGAGATCTCTGCCCACCTTGGGCCAAATTGGCTCAGATGATGTCAGGGGTCTGGGAGAGAGTATTTAATGTGCCTTGTCTCCTCCAAAATGTGGAGAGAAAGAAAAAGGAGAATGACCAGAACACCACTTTTGAACCAATGATTCGTACTTTGAAAGTAAAAACACCCAACGACATTTGTGCTGAATTTGCTAATTTTGCTTTGTAGAGCTGACAGGCTAATAAAGACAAAACAGAACAAGTAGATTTAAGCAAGAACAGACAATGAAAATGAAGGATCAGAGGAAGCAACAATATATTGCAGATTTAAAGCTAGGTTGAAGCCCAGAATTAAGTAATTTTATTGTATTTTGATATTAAAAAAATATTTATGGTTCAAAGAGTCCAGTGAATGTCTATATGTCCATATTCTGTGAGCAGTTTCCTTTCAGTGTCATGGCTGATGCAGTTCTCAAGAAGGGCCTGTAAAGTTTCACAGTCTGGTACAGTGGACATTTCAGACAATGACAGAGAAAAAGAAAGAAAGAAAGTGCAGAGCTCCTTGCAAAAATAATGGATGAGAGAGCAGAAGCCAATACTTTAGGACCTGTGATCATTTTAGGAGGACAGCTTTGCTCCTGAGGAGCACGGCTTAAAAAAAAAGCAGAAGCGATTTTTTTGGAAAATGAGAAAGGAAAATGAGAAAGTTTAGTCACCAGTATGAGAAGGTCCAGTAAAAAGTTATAACAACATACAGAGAGAGCAGGAAAAAAAGTTGTTTGGGGAAATAGTGTGGCTGAAAAAGCCGGAAGATTTGAATATGGTTCAAATGAAGTGTCATGACACGGCAGCTCTGTTGTGGCCAACCTCAGTGGGAATGGAAGGCAGAAAACTTCTTAGAATATGTTCACTTTTAAACAATGATAAGACTCATCTACTGGGGAGAAGAAAGGACAGGGGAGAAAACACCACAGGCAAAATTGGAGTGGTTAGAGAATAGAGGAAAAATCCTTAGTACCTTAGAAGTTAAGCACGACAGCACAATAATATGCCCTGAGAGCCAGTTGTTGCTAAGAACAAAGAAATGAGTTTTCTGTTCTTACTGTCATGAAGCTCTTTTCTTAGGGGAACAAGTCTAATCATTTTCTGTTACCCAATGCTACAACACCAACTGACAAATTAATGGTGCAGTTCTAACTACAGAGAGCAGATAAAGTGATTCTGAGCATTACACCCTTAGTTACATTAATTCAGCTTTCCAACAGGTGCTTGCTGCAAGACCTCAACTCTGCGATCAAATTTAAGTCTCACATTGGTAACTGAGCAGGGAAACAAGTGGTATTTTATCAGAGTGCCAGTTTCAGTATCTGTGGTACCTTGAAAAAAAAGAAAGCAAGGAAAACTGGATGGCCCCTGCAACACAGTGAAGGGAGGCTGAGGGGCAGAGTTGCAGTGACATTTATAAATACAGTGGTCTCAGAAGGGGAAGTCTAAAATACAGCCCTGGAACAGTCACATATAACCACAGAGATAACTGAAAGATGCTGAGCTTGACAAGAGGCTCAGCAGTTGAAAGGAAAATTGGGGAACGAAATAGAAGCTTTCGTGTGACAAACCAGTGGTTAGCTGAGCAATAGCACCATTCCCAAAGGATTAACAGGAACGTGCATCATGTGGGCTCTGCACATCCTAGTAAAATACTGATTATCTGCTTGCAGGAGGCACTGCATTTGTTTTAACTCAGTTATTCTTCTGCAGTGAGAAAGAATAAAACATGCCTCTTGCAAACTGTTCAGTGACAATGTAATCTGTTCCAGGCAATGATTTCATACCCACCATTCAAAGCCTCAGACACAGCTGTACTCAGACCATCCAACTTCAAGGGAATATTACTGTAAAATGAACGAGTTTTGCACCCAGGCCAAGAAAAATGGCAACATCCTGTTTGAATCCAGTAACCTGTAGTGTTCATAGTCATTAAAGACTACGATGTTCCCTGAATAACAGGTACAGACCAGCAACCTCCAAACAAGCCCAGAGCTCTCCCTTTAAAGCGGAAACTCTGTCCTGCGGTCAAGTTTATCCTCCTAAATGCTGTCTGCTATTGTAAACCATGCAAATGGATGCTCAGCTTCAGCCTTTATAAAAAAAAAAAGATGCCAGGAACCCTGCAATTTCCACTGACAGTCCAAAACACAACTAAATGGGGAATTACTGTCTTGTTCTAATTGTACTGAATATGGCAAAAATAGCTTCCCTCTAATATTACTGGACTGTTTCCTGAGGAAATGAGAGTTACACAGACTTGTTATGAAAGCTTCTAAATTCCAACAACTTTTGTGAAAAAATAACAGCTAGATGGAGAAGAGAAACCCATACCAGCTGCTGTCCCTGGAAAGCCTGCAGCCAGCTGGCTCCCATGGACCAATCCATACAGACAACTCGGAATCCAACTGCGGGCAGGACACTTGCTGCCTTCTGTCCAGCCAGAGTTCAAGGCAAGGGAAGAGAGCTGAGGGCACAGGGGAGAAGGCACCCAGCAAATGAAGGAAGCCACCTATAAGTCTGCTCATCATAACTAGAGGAAAGAAATTGGGGTTTACTGCAGAAGGGAAAGGGATGTAAAGCCAAGGGAAGCAGGGTGTGTGCTCACAGAACAACACGTTTGTATTGCAGGAATGGCTGAAGCTTTCCTCATCAAGCTTCCTGCTGCCAGGCACCATATGTGCAGAGACTCTGCATCAAGCCAGCAACACTTTGAACTTGGCAGAAAAATCAACACCTTATATTTTCAAAGGTCTTCAAACTCCAGTGAAATATACAAAAATCTCTCCATAACAACACATTTCCTAAAGCTACAGATGTAAACATACGAAGAGATAATTTTCAGAAAGAAACAGGACCTGGAAATCACTTGCTCAGGCAACAGAAATACACTGTGAGAACTGGTCATTAATCTAAGCAGATGTCTACAGTTACACAGGCTAGTAATGACCTAAATAGCACCTATAATGGAAACCCAAAGTGCTTTCAACCTTGTCTTTTCTAAAATACGGTTCTAAATCTGGACTCCTAAATTGGGTCAAGCCTTCCACAACATTTTTTTTTTTCCTGAGAATATATGGAAAAGGAACAAAGCCATTTTTAGGAAGAGGTATTTAAGTTAATATACTTTTCCATCCATCACTGTGCATAAGCACAAAAAAACCCGATTTGAAATAGGCTACTGCTGCCTTAAAAATTTCAAACTTGTTTAAGCTGCTTTTAATAAACTTCACTGAGTCTGTAGAAAGAACTCTATCACTCAGCTGTACATAGTCTGCCTTAATTCATGCCATGGATTACAATAACAATGCTATAATTATAATGACTGATGCACAGAGATTTCTGGCTCTATATCCAACCTTTGAAAAGACACTGGAATTGTGTTCATATAAAAGGCACTGTGCCTAATGAACACCAGCTACAAACAAGTCCACCAAGCCAAACAGAAAAGGAATAGCAATAGCTGACATGCATATTAGTAACTGACCTCTTTTGCTCCTGTTAAACCATTTTGAACACCAAACTTTATATATGTTTACTGCAAGGCTTTCAATAACCACCAGTACACCTTTCTCTCACTATAAGAAATTAACTTCTTTCTAAGAATGAAAGATACCTCCCTGCCAAAGCCTTTAAATTTGACAATCTCTTGATTGTCCTGACAATCTCTTATAAAAAAGCTTGGTATGTAGTGGGTATTTTTGGCTTGCATATGTTTAAATTTCCATTTCATTATGGGGTAGAAAATTTTAGAATTTTCCAAAGAGTTGTAAGCTGCAAAAAGATCCATAATTTCAAAATAGAAAAATGGGCGTGTAGAAGACCAGTGCTGCACACACTTCCAAATGACTCTCTCCTCACCCAGCAGAAGATGAGCTTTAACACCTACTCATGAAATGACACACTGAATCCAGAACTGAATGCTCTCCTGCCATCAGTCTGGACACTGTGCTCCTTCCCTGCATGTCCCCCTGGGATTCCAAGGAAATTAAGACAACACCCATACCATAGGCAAGACAGAAAGTAGCACCAACTCTAAAGCCCAACAGCATGTTATCTGCTGAATCACAGACATGGCGATGAAGTCTAAACAGCGGCACCGTTAAAACTGTGACATTTATCACGTTGTGCTATCTATCTTTAAACAGAGTATTTGTTGAAGCTCCTAAAATTAGAAGGGAACACACTGCAAATACCATGGTAACTACTTGGCATGGTAAATCAAGGTCCCTAAGGCTCCCACACAGACTTACTGCTATTGTGACTAGAGTTATTCAAATGGCACCTAAGCATACTTACTACTTACCAAGCAGCAATGTTACCTTGGATTAAACTAAGAATAAAGTCAAGGGCTTACTAGCCCAAAATAGCGCTAAGATTTTTCTGACGTTAATGAGTAGCTCAAAACTGCTTAAAAATAATTTTGTTTGTACTGTACACTGCAAAGACAAAGCTGCACTGATATAACTCTGACTTTAAAACACAAACAAATTGCATTTTGCAGAGAGATCAACCGCCAAGCAGCTTAGGGAAGAACAGGAAAATAAAAGAAGGAAGGTAGGAGATGGTAAGAAGGAAGAGCTTACACCTTAAAGGGAAATAAATATCTTTGAGATCAAATGAAATCATCCAGAATCTTCAGAAAACGCTTGCTGGATTTCATGTCTCCATTTTGTTTTATAACACGTTCAATGACAAATTGAGGGTACTGTTTACTTATTCAATAAAAGCAGGATGGAACAATGTATTCTGAGTGTAGCTCATATCTAAAGAATTGTGCCTCCACTCTTTGCTTTCGATTCAGACATCAATACCTTGGTCATCTTGAAAGCTCCCTCAAGAAACAATGACTCCCTCAAGTTATTGTTAAATTGATTTTCCAAAACTGAAAGAAGAGACTGCTGGTGTGACAAGACAACTGACAACTAATTACCTTTAAATTTTGTTGCCAAACACCAGTAGCAGGTCACAACAACATGTCACAGGAAGTTTGCTTAGTCTTTTACATGAATTTTACTCTCATATTACAAAGAATTTTGTTAGCCAGGAACAATAGTCACTGACTTAAATATTTTCCTTTCTTTCTAGCATTCTCTAGAAACATCAATATAAAAGTGTTCAGAAGGCAGACAATTTGTATATACAAAAGGAAGACAGATGGGATAAATAGGTGTGCACTACATACACTGTTAAAGATGTCAACCTTCCACACGAACACACACACACAGAGCAAAAATAGAACCATCCCAGATTACAGGTGATGTGGGAATGCATTCTGACAGAGAAGACATAGCTGTCAAAGCATAGACTGTACAAACAGGTAAAATGGGAGTGAGAGGCAAGAGCACTCACAAGTAAAACTTCTCTTCCCATACAGGGTTCAGATTCCCAAAAATCGTTTTTGTCCTCTTCTTTGTTTTACCCACTTGAACGGTTACATACGGATCGCTGGACCCAGTCTTGTCTTTGGCCTGCAGACCCTGAGCACACACCACTGAAAGGAAAAGAGAAGGGTTACCACCACCATGCAACAAGACAATGTGGCTGAACACCATGTGAAGCAGCAGCTCATAATGGCCAGAGAAACAGGAATATCACTCATGAGAGCATTTCTGATGAGCCTCAGCTTATGGCGCACTACAGTGCCTGCAGTAGCAACATCTCCATGTGCTACCTGTATGTACACTGAGCAGAAGGAGACACAGGTCAGAGGAGCCCTTCCTCTCTGTTCTCCCTACCTTCACACCAACTGTCTCTAGCTTCAGGCTCCCGAGTGAGACCAAGAGAACCCATGACTCCCTCACTTACCGGTGATCGTGATCTTTGCTGACCATTTTGAGGTGCCATCGAGCACACTCTGCTTCACTGTCTTCATCTGCTGCGCATGTGTCATTTTGCTCTCACAAAACACATCCCTGATCAAGTCAAAGATCTCTGGCTTGTTCCGCTCCCGGATTTTCATGCGATCCTTCATTGCCATGATGAAATTCTGGGTTCGGTCTTCAGCTCCGTGCTTCGAGCTCTTCTCTGCTGCTCCTGTGCACCAGGAAACATGCAATGCTCATCAGAAACAAACAAGCACAAGATCGTGTTTCACTGTCTGGACAGCAGGATCAAAGCTATGAGTTACCCTCCACATCATGGCTCTTGCTATTTTACACTCATTCCCCCCAGTTTCAACATATACACAGTGAATCGGGACCATTTGGAGTTGGGAGGGGATAGTTCCTCTAAAATCCAGGATCAGATTGCTCTCCTGACAACAGGCTGATTTAATACCCTTACAGCTGAGGAAGACTCAGAAATGAGGTTCTTACATTAACAGCAGATATCAGCATGCCCCCTGCTCTCCTCATCTTGCTTTGAATAAATAAATCCCTGCTTGGGCAAGTGCTAAGAAGAGGACATAGGACCCCCATTACAAATAGTATCTATGAGCTTGTCTCAAAGCTGCACTTCAGCACCACTGAAGGGAAGTTCAGATGGCTCAACACTGTTGGCATTTCCTACCCACGTGCACCACATGACTCCCTGTTCAGCGCAGAGTCACTGCAAATCTCTGTCTCATTTTGCCTGGAACCACCCTGTTTGGATCAGGCATCAAGCTGCAGACACACAGAGTGCCTCTCTGGATGCCACTCTATTTTATCAATTTGTATGGAGACAACTCAAATCATCCATTTCTAGAATTACACAGGTATATTAACTATCACAAATACCTTTAAGGTAGCAAATTCAATAGTTAAAACCTTGAGCCATCATAGGCATGGGGCACTAGTACAGTATCCAGCAGCTGGAAACACAAGAGCCAGGTACAGAGTCTGTAACTGCATAGGTATTCAACTGGATCTGGAAAAAAAGAACCCTCTGGACGCTTGCATACTGCTTACAAAATTTAGAAGTTTATAACATTATGAGATAAGACTACTCCCACAACTGACTGCTTCCTACTCAATTTTGACAGTCATTTTTACTGTCAAAATTTAAAGACTGACTATTGTGTCAGATGTGAGACATGCATTAATGAAAGCACTGACATGAGCTAACAGAGCAGATAACTCAGGTGTGAAATGAAAAACAGGAACACAAGATTGCACACTGCCTCTCTACCCACTGTCTGAAGCAATTTCAAGTTATGATCTTAAATCAGATTAAGTTAGAATGCTACAAAAGTCTTGTGAACACATTCAATCATAATCCTTCTCTTTAATGTACAGTGCTTTTGCTTGTTTTTCTTCTCCAGGATAGTTTAATTAAAGTAAGCTTAGTCCTAGAAAAGTTATTTTCATTCAGATGTTCACCAAAATTAAATTACCTTAAAAAATATGTATTAAAGCAGGTATAGGTGTGTGCAAAGGGAGCCACCAATCACAAAGATACATAAAACTGTTTTCTTCCAGAAGAAGTGGGCAAATATGATATCTGGAGCACCTTCAATATAAGGTATTACAGTTTTGCATATGAAACTGTTTCAGCAGGTAGAGACTAAATATGAACAAAATATATATTTACACTCACACAGGACCCCCAGCAGGACAACATAACAGGCAACCTTGTCAGCAGATTATTGTCAACAGGGTGCCCAGTGACTAGTGCTGCCTGAAGACACCCATGTCTAGGGCCCTCACTCTAACACCTTTCACCACGACTCAATTCACTTCAATAAAGAAACAAAACTCTATTGTAATTTCCACCATCCACACCAAAGAGAACAAAAACACAGTTTGGAAAAAACTGTGGCCGCTGAAGTGTCAGAAGTTCATTCAGGACACTGCATAACAAGGCATGCTATTAAGGACCTGGGTGTAAAACAAGCCATAATTTTACATTACCTGAGTATTTTTTCATTTCTCTTGCTAGAGGCTTGATGTTCAGTATTTAATTTAGTACAATAAAATGTACATGCCCCAGAGTTTCCTGTTGTTGGCTTAAGATGAAATGAAATCAAACACTGGAATTAATTACGCAGTCCCTGCTGTTTCTACTCACCGGTGATGAACCTAACATTTATTAAAGGAATATGAAACCAAAATTATACCAGGGGCTATACTTTGAACTTCAGATAAGAAGTGCTATTCAGTTTTAACAGAACTAAGTCTTCTGGGGATGGAGGTAGACTCTATACTCTGTATATGCAGAGCTACAGAAAATTACTGGGAAATCAGGAAAGGCCAAACTGAACAATTTGCCTTTCCCGGCTGGAATTCTGAAATCTGCTGTGATCCAAAGAAACCAGCTGTGCCCTGACCTTTCTGAGTTTAAGGAAATTAAGAACCTAATTCAAACATTAAGAGTTTCTGTTATGCATGAGAGGAATGCTCCATTTCTGAATAATTGTTTAAATAAATTACTAGCCAGGCAGCTTGTGAATATAAATGTTTCCCTGTCCATCAGTGAGTTGGGACAAGAACTACCATAGTTCTGGGGTAGCATGATCTGCATCACTGCCTTAATACAAACACCCCAGAAGCCTCAAATGGTGCTTTAGAATGCAAACTTGGACAAATGGAGGAATTCTAGTTAAAAACAAGCTTAACATCGCCACAACCTGCAGATACCTTGCACAGCGGATTTATCTCTCTGCAAGCCTAGCAGCATTCCAGGGCACCCTGGGTTGCAGGACATGTAAGCCATGTCACAGAGACCCCTAGAGCCCTCTCTTTAGTCACCTCCAAGGCTTGGCTCTGCCTTCAGAGGACATGCTGCTTCCCCACTCTGCCCAAATAATTTGCCCGGATATGGCAGCTCCATTATTCCTTCCCTGATCGATCTCTCCCTGAGCTGCAGACACCTTATTTAACAATTCAGACTAATAAAGAACAGAGAATGTCTGTTCTGCTGTCTCAACAACACACTTTTAATTTTAACATCTGCTTCTTGGTACAAAACCAAGAGAATTTCCAAAACAACCACTGCGGGACTAATTAACTATGATGTATGTGTTTTAAACCCAAAACATGTCATTATACTGAATGGCAGAGGATGCTTTTCCTGGTGTTGGACTGGGATTGTGTTTCTTCAAGCTGCAAAGAGGGTTTTGGCCAGTGGATCAGCTTTTCAAGTCCTGTGAATAGCAACTGACAGGCATCTGAATATACAAGGAATGTGTACAGTACTACAGAAATGGTTCTGGGTTTTCTTTCTCTCTTCCTTTCTAGGACTGAAGGATGAGTGAATTTATGACTGGAAACAGAAAGCAAATATGTCTATATTGGGAATTGTATTGATACAGCTATTAGTAAACCACCAGTGCTGTTATTCTATGCTTTAACAAGAAAAAGTCAAGAAAGCAACACTGGCAGGATTGAAGGCAGCTGTTCAGTAGGCGGATAATGCTTAGAAATTATATATTCCTGAAACTTAAAATAGATATTCAAGTTTCAAATAAAGGTATCCCTTCCTCCCTCTGTGCAAATATTTTCCTACATAGAACTTTGGGAGCAAACAAATGTTCCTCAACATGGTGTCTAATCATCATTCAGCCCAGAAACCAAGATGATCATCACAGAGTGACTTAATCAGTCTCACTAACAGTCCACTCACTGACCTGGTCTCAGGACTGCAGCCTCTGAATTCACAGTGCAATACATACAGGTTTCTCACCCAAAAAGCAACAAACACACCTGCCTTCCAGTCATGAGTCAAAAGCACTAAACATGTCCAGAGGTGAACCCAGAAGTCAAAACAGTTCAAAAGCAGAGTATTTGGTAATGTAGTCCTGGATGGCTTGTGTGAACTTCTCCAAGGTTTAGCTAACTACAGATTTCATGTTCAAGAGTAGTTTGAAGCTTGAGATCTCATTTCCTCACTTTTAAGACCTCCAGAGGACCAGATTCTGTTATCCCAAGACATTTTCTTTTCTCAGGTTTAACTGTAATCTACTGAGGACTAGATTAGCATAACTACAAAAAACACCCAAGATACAACTATAGACACGGATTACTATGGCTTTTCAAAAGCTAGCCCTGAACTGTACAGGCCTCTTTTACTGGGATCTTGCTAGCATAATGTCCTTCCCTTCCACCCACTTCACAACTACTTCTACGCATTTGTTCCTTGGTATCCTACACATCCATCCCCAAATTTACTCTTCCTTTGATACCAACGTTGCCCAACCCACTCTGATTTAGTTAGTACTACACCAATGCTCAAGGCAAGAGATAAAATTCCTTTTCCAAAACCTTTGCATGCTATGGGGATGTTAAAGATCATCCTTCTATCCATTTTCAGCCAAGCAAAAGGAAATTATCCATATAGCAGAGATTTCCACCACTTTCAAGAATAGCAGAAGGCTAAAAAGAGAGCACCATCCCTTGAGCAAGTATTTATGAGCTTATGGTAAAAAGGTAAGAGCCCTGTCATCAGAACAATAACTTCTCAGTGCCTACAATACTGTAAACCAGGTGGCTGGTTCCAGTTTACTGCACTTCAGACATCACCAGTTCATGGAACAGCCCCGCTGAACCAGTCTGCAAATGGGTTCCGATTCAAATTGCAACAAAGCATTGCTGAATTTGAGTATTTCATCAGTGCAGCCCCATATGTTTGTTGAATGTATCAGATACTCAGTTTCTTAAAAATATGAAGAGCAAGAAAAGTACCCTCGGAAGAAATAATCAATTCTAACAGACTTGGGGAAAGAGATATTTTATTTCCCCCAGAAAGATATGAAGGAAAGAAGATGAATAAACAGCACATTTTGATTCTAAGGAATGAAACTCCAGGTGTCTATCAAAATTTTAAGCTATAGACAACAGAAATATATTTGTAACCAGCCAGAAAATTCATTTTACTCCAATGTAACATTTTCTGGAAGACTTACAAAGATTGAAGTGAAGATGTATCCTGAGGCATCAAGGTATAATCAACAGAATTGTATTTGTTACCGGTCTGAAAATTCATTTTACTCCGTTGCAACATATTCTGGAAGCCTTAAATAGACCTAAGTGAAGATACGTCCTCAGAATGTTTGGGGTTTTTTGCCAACAGCAACAATAAAGCTTCTGTTAGGAAAAAAATCCCTCCTGAGTTCAATAAACAAGAAAGTTCAGTCTTGAATTTATTGGATCTCTAAACTGCTGTTTGTCCACCAGAACCGCTATTTCTCATTCCTCAAGCACAGACTATGTTCTTCAAACACATATTGAAAAAAAATTAATTTATCCAGTTTCTTCTGGCTTGTTGGGTTCCAGTTAGAAGGATTTTACCATGAACACGCCAAAGCAAAGAACAGAGTTGCCTGCAAATGTCTTTTAATAGATTTCTAGTACTGATAACAATTGTTTTCCCATTTCAGAAGCACGCTCACATATGGACTCCACCATTTTCTTCATCTCCCAGCACCATCCTCTACCTTCTTTGTCTTTTAATTACACAATTACCATCTTCAGCTTGCTTTACATCTCTGTCCCAGCTAATTATACACTCTACACCCTGCAGTGGGTAATCCTGCAGACCCCAGTTCACAGTTTCTCTATCTTCCTTTTTATGATGCTGGACAGATTACAAATAACTCCGTAAGTAAAATTTTTGCTTGGTTGGGTTTTACTTTTCTACATGATTCACATGTTTTAAGCCCAATGTATTCTCAGTTGTTTCCTCTCTGTTTCTATAACTCTGCACGATGAAGTATCTTGAGTTTACATTCAGAAAGAAAATGTGAAAACATCTGCAACCCTCTGAATAAAATATCAAGTTCTTAATGCTTTGCCAAATATGAAAAGTAGAGTAATTTCCAGTTGTTTCTTCAAAAAAACACAGAAAAACACAGACTTATTGCCATCATCACATCCCACAGTCCATTGCATAAGCTTATGTAATTACAACTGGAGATTAAAAATCCTTCCCCCATGGTTATTCTTCAGAGACTGTTTCAGAGACTCCCTGTTTTTAGGGCGTCTGAGTCACTGAAGTTGTCTTCTACTTCTACCTTTAATTTTCTTACAGCAAATTTAGCCAATGTTTGGGTTTTGTTTTTTTTTTTTTTTGTAAACAGGAAGCCTAAACAGACCATCTTTTCCCTCCGCTGCTCATGTCCCTCTTGCCTGACATGCTGCAAGCACAAACAAGGATTAAACCAATCCACACTGCTGGCTATGAAATATCTACTGCTCAGAAAGGCTTTAGGCCATGGACATCTGTAAGGTGTAAGAGCAAGCCAGCATCATAGCAGGTGCCCTACATGCACGTCTTACACTTGTGCCATGGGCTCCATAATATCCTCTCAGAAACATTCTATCAGGACAGACCTCGTATGCCTATTTTTACTTTTTTGAAAGAGCATGATTCCTGTCCTCCTGTCCCACACTGCCAAGCCTCTCTTTTGAAAGATTAACAAATTCATACCATCCTCTCTCAAGACATTCTCATACTTTCCCCATTACCACTGAACTCCCTCCAATACCCATCCCAGACTGAAGTCTCCCTTCTTGAATATGGATAGCCACAACTTTTCTCTGCAGGAACATATTTCCCCTCAATTATTAGCAATTTCTTAAATTGGGGGGGGTGGGGAAGGGGGGGTTTCCTATTGTTTTCAACTTTATGATCACTGCTCTGTTCAAAAGCTTTGTGCCTGTTTCCTCACCCTGCTGGTGGAAACCTAATTTTCCTCTGCTCTCCGTAGCATTTTCCCCATACTGAAATATCACAAATCCCTTGCAACATTACAAAATCCTGGGTACGCAACAGATTCTGTCAGAAAACTAATATATGACTGGATTACATTCTCCTGGACCAAATGCAACACCACAGCTCTTTGCTTGGTCACAAAAAGGTCGCAACAAGCCAAGGTGCCAATGATGCAACAGTTCTAATGCTCTAAATTGACCTTGCAGCCCTTGAAGACAAATCCAGAAACACTAAGCAACTGAGGGACAGAGAAGTTCTGCCAGTGTCTGTCAGATGTGTCTTACAAATAAGCCATTGCAAACAGCCCTAGTCCTAACTATGACAAATTTAAGACTCTGCACATATCAAAAATACAAGTACAAACAATATCCTTTTGGAGTGTTAAGAAAAGCCATAAGGAAAAAAAAAGTGATCTATGATCCACTGGTATCCCCTGCTGGATCATCCAGACTGGCTTTCCCAAACAACTACAACCTGAGGCAGATACAATATTTGACTTTTATATTCCTATAACTCCTAAATGCTCACAGGCATTTGCAATAAGTCTGTTTACATTTCAGAAACTTTCCTGATTTCTTAGATTTAGTCCATCAAGCTGCAATGACAAGAAAAGCAGGAGTGAACAGAAACAGCCCCACCTTCCTACTCAAGATTTAACACATATGGCACATATTCCATTTAGACCAAGATATTTTGCTCTCAAGCAGGAATATAAATTTGAGACCAAATTAAGAACAGTTTTACAAGCAAACAAAAATAACGGGACCAAGGCAGATGTCTAAATGAATACTTTTCTCTCTCTTTTTTTTTTTCTCTTTAACCGAATTTCTTTTAAAGTTCTCCCTTGTTTCTGTAAGGTGTCATTTATTCTGCAAAGTCACAAAGCTCCTTGAAGAGATGGCTTAGTTTTTTACACCACAGAAATAAAAAAACCCAACAAAACAAACAGAAATGCTAGTAGGAAGATGAAATACTGCCCACAGACCCAAACACCACCTCTGTATCTGACCCACCACTTCTGCTGACTCAGGCCCAGATTCTCAAAGTAATTCAGCCAGGAAGACCTACTGTTAAAAAGACAAAACACTTGCCCGATCTGCCCTTTAAACAGAGAATTCAAGCTTAGTCATGGACTCTTATCCCCTAAGCAGGAACTCAGTGCTGCTCTGAAGAGCTTAAAACAGTGGCACAGGCTGATGGCTGGAACAAGCAACTGGGATACCAGGGCAGGGGGGACGGAACAAATGTCAGAATATTCACCCTCACACCCCCAGCCCACTGCCTCTCTTCCATGCAGGATATGTTAGCAGACACACCACCTGACCTGACAAAAAGAGAGTAAACAAAACAAACAAACAAGAAGTCAGCCAAACCCAACAACCAGAGGTGAAAGAGTCAAGAATTAAACCTTCTTTTAAAGCACATCAAGCATAATTCTGCAAAGTTCTTCTGCATCATTGGCATCTGTGTCCACAGGGCGATGGAGGTAGGCTCAGCCCAAGGGCACCTTTCCAGAAAATACAGTCACTTTAATAATTGCAGCTTCACTGATCCCTGAGATATCACCAGTACATTTAGGAAAGCTCTGGCAGCACTTCTGGACAGCCACACTCCACTGGCCACTACTCACTCTGTAAGCAGTCAGCGTTGAGCAAGTCTTGGCACTTCTCATGGCACTTGACTCCACATTCCCCGCAGCGCATTCCCTGCCGTGCGATACCCCACAGCAGCCCCTCACATTCGTAGCAGTACGTAGGAGTTGTGGCTGTCCACACCTCAAAGTTGTGTGGGGTTGTACAAGAGATGGGGTAAATTAAGGCTTGCAAGGTCTTCTTATAGACATGAGATTTCTGAAAGGCAAGAGCACACGTAAACCCACATCCAGGAAGGTGACTGAGCCTATTTTTGCTGGTTAATACATGAATTTTAAAGAAAAATGGATGAGGGGTGCAATAAATCTACAAGGTAGACAAATTTATCAAACGTATACAAGAAGTGTCAGAGGACACCCTTGCTCTTCCAAAAACATCTCTCCAGGCATTTAAAAATGTGGAAGAGGTTGAAAGACAAGAATTAAGGTTTGCGGATGAGGAACATCTTGCACGAATCAAGTTCCACACACTGTCCCCCACAGCAGATAGCACAGGGAAAAATGGTGAGATTATTGAGTTCAACGCTCTCAGGCACATGGTGTGATTCTTGGGGTGTCCTGTGCAGGGCCAGGAGTTGGACTCGATGATCCTTCCAACTCAGCATGTTCTGTGATTTTATGGTTCTACATTTTTCGGCATTATATTGATACATTTAATGTTATTTTTTGCATGTTTAGTTTCATTATACAAACGATACAGGAAGCCTTGCATCTATATTTCTAGATTTCTGTGAAGCTGGCTCTGCAACCCAGAGCATCAAATCCCCATAATTTGCTTACTAAAAGTTAATAGAAGCCAAGCAACCCTCCAAACTTACCAGCTCTTCATCTTTGAGAGATGTTCTCGTGGCCATTGCTGAGGTAATTCCGGCTTTCCGGGACTGAACCAGTGACTAAGGACGAAGAAAGTTTGTTATTCACTACCAATATTTAGGAATGCAATGGCACTACATGCCCAGAGATGTGAGCAAGTGGACTCTCTCATGCCAGATATCAAACTAGCAGTCTACTGCATTCAAGTTGGTTTCTTAAAATGACAGCTCACATATCAGAAGAGTCAAATGTATATTCTGAAAGGTCTTCAAACTTGTTTTTATCTCCCCCAAACCAGTCTAAATCTAATAAATTTTTATATGTTTCTCTGGTAAGAACTGTCAAATAAACCTGGGTTCCCATCTTCACTTCTATGTTCTGGTCGCAATAATAACTCTTCTATTGCCTAAGGTCACCACAGGAGACTCACTTTTCTATATCTAACTTAATTCATATCCAAAAGGACATTATTTTGTCAGTTTTACAACACACATAAAACCCCAAAATATGACAGTAAAAAGATTACAAATAACCAGGATAAAAAAAAGCGGAGTGGGTTGGGGGCAGAGGTTTGAATGTGCTGGTGTATCACATTCATTGGCCATCACTGAACACAATGAACTGCATTTTCCCCTCAAAAAACTGCCTTTCACATCCACTCTAATGCTGTTTTGCAGCTGTGGACAGCACAGGACAGTGCCTTTGGAGGACTTCACAGTGGCATACACGGGATTTCTGCAGCAAGCCACTCCGGTTAGATGAAGGCAGAGGAGAAAATTAAAGGTAGCAGCATTTGCTTTGAAATCATCAAACTGTGTCAAAAGGCTCCATTTATGCTCTGCTTTATGCTGTTTGAAGACAGACTGAAAAAGTTCATTCTCCCAGTGATGGAGCGGGACAGAATGCTGGATACACATGCACTGCAATACTGCAGGTTCAAAAAGAAAAGAAGTGAAAGGGAAATAAGGTAAAATAATTTGGTGGGGGTTTTTTTGGTAAAGACTTAATGGATAGTCTTTAGCTTCACTTACCATGGCCTGTGAAGAGAGAGAATGAAAGCGTTCAAGGGAAGTAACACAAGTTAATGCCATTATTGCAGAGATTTAAGATACAAGCAGTTAGTAGACACATACTAAGCTTCCCATGCATAAGCTGGCAGAGAAAATTGCATGCATCTTCTCACATGAATTACAGGATATGGAAACTTTGGTCTTTCAGCTGTTACAGCATTTCTCTCAAGTATGAAATTGCTACGTGTATTGAATACAGCCAACAGAAAACCATTTGTCCTGCAGAAGCCTTATTTCACCATATCATACAAGCATATGAAACTTGTCCTCATTACTTGCTTGGTTCTCGTGCTTCCTCAGTGCAGAAGCCTACTGGCAATATTGCAAATAGCTTTTAAAATCCAAGCACATATGCTCGTTTATCTATCCTCTGAAATTCCAACCCTCTGGTGAGTCGCCAAACCTCACATGGACATTATAACTTTCCCTAAGGTATGTGATTTTTAGGAAAGCGCTTAAAAATAATGCAGGCCTGAAAATAATCAAATATTTTTTGTAGAATAACAAGGAAAAAGAACATGAAAAATACCTTCATTCTGTCAAATGAAACTACCTACACAACTGTAGCTCATTCTCACTGAGATTTTTTCAAGCACAACTCCTAACCCTTTAGCACAAGAATTAATTTAACAAAATGGGAAACCTTCAGCTTCTCGGAAGTGACAGAAACCATTACCATACACCGAAAAAGTAAAGCCAGCTGTGCTAATGGCTATGTGGCAGAAGAGAAACAAACAAATCTCTTACCAGATCACTGACAAGTGGAATTGGCTTTTTTTTGCGTAGATCGGGCATGCTGTCAATGCCATAGAGACCACCTGCAGGCCTGGAAATTCAGGAGGGAAAAAAATAAAAAGATTCATTAATTTAGGGTTGAGAAGGGTGAAGAGGGGGATGCTTTTCTGGAGGAATAAAAATCAGCCAGAATATTATACTTAAGAAAGTGTAAAGTTAATGCTAAAAACGATTAAGTGTTTATCTTCTTCACGCACAACAATCCAGACATTCCTGCCTGGTGTTGGTGGTTAGGAGGGAGCATGTCAAAGAGGATCAGCCCAGGGGCAGGATGCTGCTACCCATCTTCTGATTCGAGGCTAGAACATAGTTAATCCTGGCCCTTGAGGTCCATATAATTATTAGGAAAAACCTGACATCCGAGGATAAAGAAGATTATTTTTATTTCTATAAAAGAGACCATTTGTGGTGCTCAGCATTTCAAGCCATCCAGACCTGTACACCCAAGAGCTGCCATTTGCTGATGGAAGTGGCAATGGAGCAAAAGAGCCATTATCCCAGCAACAGTCAGAGCCTGATGAAATAAAACACTATAATCTGCTTCCCACCTGACGATGCCAGATTGGATAAGTATACCTGGAACCTGCTGTTCACTGGTAACACCACATGGATGTAATCCTGTACTTGAAGCAGATCTATTAATTCAGCTTAAAGGCCCCCAGCAAATGCATCCATCTGCAATGAATTTAGACACTGCTTTTTGCTAAGGCTGGAAACAGAGCACACACTTCCCTGCTGTGACTCCATGCAACAAACACTCAGCCCACCAGGCAAAGCCCCTCTCACCGTCTCTCTCACCTTTCCCAGCTCCACGCTGCTCTCACACCTTGGTAACATTAGGAATATGGTTCCTGAGGCCTTTTATTTGACTTACAGAGACTGAAAGGGAACCCTCTGTCTCTCCATTCTTACTCATTTGTTTTCACCCCATACCACACTGGCTTACACCTTTTGGCATTTGTATGATAAAATGGATAGCCCTTTTAACCTGTTTGTTTTGCTGATTTGGCACACCTGACCCAGCCAAAATGCTTTAGGACACCACAATTACAGGAAAAAGGAATATGGGACAAACTGTTCTTATCGCAATAAAAACCACACATAGAGTTACCTTTCCTAACAATCTAGGAAATCAAACTACAAATTTGCATATGCTATGAAAATTGGGAGGCTGGTAAGTGACAAGAGGCAACCCTCAGAAAGCAGGACCTACTTGTTAAATACAGCCAAAAGTAAAAAAACAAGAAAAAAAAAAAAGAAATCCAGGGTGACCATAACAGCATACATAACAGCAGGCCATGCTCGAGGATAGATGAGGCTGTCACGACACAGACCAGCACAAGGCCGTGCCAGAGAGGAAAACAGTCTATTATTACAGAAATGTGAGACAGAATTGCAAAAACACAATTGACTTTTTCGATGGGGCATGAGAGGGTGACATGTCCAGGCCAGGGCTGAGCTGACAGCTGCTGCTGGCTGAACGAGCTTGGTGGGAAGGTGAGCAGTCACGTGTAACTGCGCAAACTGTGCTGGCTCCACACGCAGGATGAGTCACATTTGCACGGCAACACAGCCCCTCTGTGCTCCTGACACACCACCTGCAGTCGCTGGGAAAGGAGGCAAACTCAGACACGAGAAAGGTGGAGGTTTACAGCAGTTAACTGAATCTACTGAAATATTTGGCCAAGAATGAGAACAGTTTTCCCAACACTGGAAATCCTTACAGCAAGGCAACTGTAAGGATTTTTACTAGAGGCTGTCCTCGTTTCCAATAGAGAATTCAAGAAAAACTTTTTGCCCAAGTTACACTGCCATGATCCCTTCTGACATATAGAGAAATCTCTCACCTACATCAAGAAATAAGAGATATCTGCACAGTGTTTATATTGCCAGAAATATTACTGCCAGACTTACTGGGATTAAATATGGAATTTTGTCTGCTGCCCTAACATTACAAATCCTTTCTGATATCAGTGATACTTTTTTGGGGTAAAATAGTGTCATGGAAGACTACTCAGATAATGCCACAAATCTCAGCGTTACTTAAGCCACAACACATCTTATTGATAAGTTGAGGTCAAAGATTTGTGTCAAATCACTTAAATTATGAAAGTATATACAAAATAGAAAGGGAGAGTCTATAAGCTGAAAAGATGCAACAAAATGATCACAAGTAATAATCCAGAGTCAGTGCTCCTGCTAAAAGTCAATTGCAGAGTTGCGAAATTACACTTCTTTTCTACTTGATTTCCAATGTTGGTTTTTTTTCTAATTCAATTGAAAGGAAACTGTGATTCTCTCGACATTTCCCAGGAAAGAAAAAAACCATTAAAATTGCGTGTTTTATAAGTTCAAAGTGAGCCCATACAAATTATTGTGCTCGAGAAACATGTCCAGTTACAACTCGGTTCCTTGCAAATATATTTTTTGCTTGATTGAGGTTTATGAGAGAACCAGTGGTAGGCCAGGATGACAAACATATTTGAAAGGTGCTTGCGCTTGTCACTGAAGGAACAGTTTCTTAGAACACAGACAGTTAACCACTCAGATGACATGCTTTTAGCTTGTTAATATACATAAGCAAACAAATAAATAGCAACAATTCTTAATTTTCAAAAGTGTTGTGCTTTCAGCTATCTCAGTCTCTTTATTCAAGCACAATTGCTACCTTGCTTAATAAAATTAGTGTTTGCACAGACAGAAGAACTGACAGTGCTTCAAATATGTAGCTTTATATGTAGTAGGGTAACTCTCCTCTGCAGTGACTGTAATATTTATAGCATTATTATGGAGAGCTCTATTGAGGAGTGAATAGCATTTCTGTATGAGAAGAAGATATGCACTAATAAATAAATTATATAGATATGAGATATTACACCCAGAGACTGATCCATAATACCAACTGTGCCTTTTTTTGAAGTGATCTCTCCAAACCCAGTGATTACAGACAGGGAGCTACTGTTGCATTATTCTAAAAGTGAAAGTACCTTGAAGCGTGTATTCATCTTTTAATACAAGTTTTATCACACAGAAGCTTCGGTTAAATCTTGAAAATTTAAGCAAGCAAAGGTGGTTTGCAATGATAGAAGATGACTACTTCCTTCAAAGGACACCACTACTCTAATCTTCATATTGAAAGAACAAACAAAAATGCTTAAATGTACTTTGAGGCTAATAAGCCACAACGCAGCTAAGGGTGTAATTAAAAGGTTTACCACCCACAACCACCTTCTCCAGAAATCCCTTGCATGGGGAATACAGTGAATATGACAAACTTTTGTCAAAACCAAATTAGCCAGACTGTTTCGTTACATCTTGCATAGAAAGGAAAAAATTACAGACCCGAGCAAACACTGGTTTGAATAGACAAAACGCATTTTTGAGTATTTCAGGACTGTAGGTGTATTCGTCTTTCAGGCTGGGGAGTCATTTTGTGTGCATGAACCAATAAACTGAGTACACTGTGTCCATGCTAAAGTGGGAGAAGGTGCTGCTTATAGTTACTATAAATCACTGTCTTCTGCTCCAGCAAATTGCCAGTTCTCCAGCAGTGTGCTCACCCAAGTCCTGGGCTCCTTGGGAAAGCACAGAGTTGCTAAGCAGCTCCAGGCATCTGCAGGTGATGCTTTGTGGGAATACCAACACTGAAGAACAATAACTCCAAAAGCAGGAAGCCGTATAATGAAGCCTCTAATTTAACTTCACGTTTTATTAGGGAAGCTTCCTTCAGTAGCACCAGAATTAACTTAAGTGTGTAGCAAGACAACCTCTTGCTGAGATTTCAGGGCAAATCTGCTGCTACTGACAGTCAGCTCCTAATGAATGCCCCACCACCAAACCGAATCACCCTTGTCGTGTACCAGGCACATAACTGATCAGCCTGTAAAATGTGTCATTGTCTTTTTTTTTTTCCCAGAGGATTCTGGGGAAGCTACCATGCAGAGTGTCATGCTGAAATTACAATCAGGATCTGTCTGCTTCATTTGCTGCCATTGTGGAGAGAATTCACGACCCCTCACTCTCATCTGTACAAATCAGGCATGATAATCACTGCTTTAAAAAAATACGAATTGCAATGATTTCTAGAGTAAATGCAGTTTTCACTACTATAATGACCACAGAAAACATTGCAAAGACAGAACACTTCCCCAAACCTACCTTTTCCTTCTAAGAGCAAAAGACACAGCAGTCTTTAAGAGCTACTCTTTCAACCTCCTGGTGCCACGAGTGACTGATTTAGGAAAAAGAATTTCATCCAGACCACTCTGAGGTGCTCAGTAACAATTATTTAATACTACTGCCATAAGCACTTGCCACCAATACATTACAGATTATACATTGCAAGTATAACCTTGATTTTAACCACAGTTCTCAAAGAGCAGCACAGCCACCTCCAGCTCCTTAAGAGCAGAGTGAAATACAGCAGCAGCCTAGCTCTAAGTGAGGTTTGGCCACTTAATTACTTCATTTAAAACACTAGAAATGCTGTTTTAACTTACAGTGAACTGCAGACCTCACTGTAATTGTAAATAAAGGGAAATAAGGTCTCAAACCACTACTTACCCTCCTTTGAGCCAGGGTGGTTTTGATGGATCAGCCACATCTTGGCCCTTAAAGAGAGGAAGGGAAAAGAGCAACATGAAATTAGTTTCCAAAAACACCAGAAAATACCAGAAAAAAGTATTTGGATTGTATTCTGAGGAAAGGGTAACGGACGTCACTGCATGCTGGCAAATGCATACATAAATTCATTAAAGCACCTCCAGTGACCAAGATGCCAGGATAAGTCATACAGACACAGACAGGCTATGCAATTTCATTGAACACCTAGGACTGGAACCTAAAGAGCCTGTTCAGTGCACCTCCTCATTCAAAAGGCATTCTTGAAGACCAACTTTTCGGTTTTTTTTCAACCCAAACCAACATGAGTTATTGGAGAGCTCCTATTACTACAGGTCACCACTCAATCAGAATGTGGTCATAATGAAGCTGTTATAAATTAAAAGCACTTGTATGAAATGCACAAATGACAGACCAGACCAACATGAACCTTGGTACAAACACTTGCGAGTTTTGCTCATCCTCAAATGTGAAGACTCTTTAGTCCCCTAAGCAGAGAGGTCCCATTGCAGCTCCACCCATTCATATCAAAGTATTTAATTTCTAACAGGTGTGAAACAAGAGCCAGTACTTGCAAGATGACTGCAGGTGAACTGGGATCTCACAGTCTGATGGAAAACACCACAGACTGCCAATACGAAGATTCATATTTATGAATTCAAATCATGTTCTCGTGCTCATATCAGGATCGTACTTATAGAGTGATATTCTGTTTCTTTGAAAATCTTCAGTGGACTCATTAAAAGTGGTAAGTACTTAAACACCTGCAATGTACCTGGAGGAAAAAAAAGGTTCTGAATAAGGAGAAAATGGTTACCTGAAAATTAAAACCTTTTTGTTCCAGTTACAGGTCATACATTCTCTTGCCCTCCCTGAAAGAAATGCTGGTTTCAAACAGGACTAAGACACACTGCTAATAGCTAACACTCCAAACTCAGATAATCATGTCTGCCAAGAGCGTAAGGACACTACAACTTGACACAGTGGAAAACAAAAGTATTTCCAGCAATGGGACTCACAACCTGAGAATCAACAAAGTAAAGGAGTACGAGTCAGGAAAAAAGATCCAATTTTATGAACGATAAAAGCGATTTCTTCTGGGGATGTGTTCTCTTTTTTGTTTTTTTTTGTCCTGTGCTTTGGGTAAGCTGTGCATCTCCAGATTGTTCACAGGTGACAGACAAGGTCTCCCAAGAAGAGCAGAAGTAACCAAGGACAATAAGTTTCTATCTGAGGTCTCAGCTTGAACAGAAGCATAAGGCCAAACTTTGTATCTGTGAGTCAAACAACTCCAGGGACAGGCAGATTAAGGACTACATAATTTTTATTATTTTACATTTAAACAGACTGAACAAGATGACATTATCCATAATGGAATGGACACTCCATTGTATAAACAATGGAACAGACATTTCTACATGATCAGACAGGCCTGCAGAGCAGGCCGAGACCCACAGTCCAGCACAGTGCATGTTCCCCACAACCAGAGCAACACATCAGGCCTCAGGGTCCTGAGGGACAGATTGTGCTCTACATGTCGCTGCTCCAAGCTGTGCTTCCAAAACCCCTCAGCCTGAAACCTGCATTTCCTCTGGAGGGATCTAAACCAACTGCTTGTCAAGAGAGAAGATTCCATGAAGCAAATGCAACCACATACTTCTGAGCACACAGGGGAAGACATCTCTACCTTTGCTTTTGAACACTTGGAAGAGCTGTGGCTAGGAAGCAATATTAAATGGGACAAAGGTTTTATAACGGACTGAGTTTGACGTCAGATGGTTCAGCCGAGATGAATGACAGAGAATGACAAACAAAGGTGGCAACACTTACTGGCAAAAGGAATTAGTTTAACAAAGAAGTTTTCAGTCATTTTACCTGAGAAACTCTAAATAAAAGGAGTGATATTTGAGACATTAAAAGACCACAAAACAGCTTATTCACTGCAGCCTGTAGATCAGGGGAAAAAAGATCCAGGGAAAGCTGTTAACTTGCTGAGAAATAACCATTTCTTACAGCCAACCGTGAGTCAACAGATAATACCCAGGAACATGGATGCAGGGAGGGCAGAAAGTGCAATTAGGAAACAAACCTCCATCGTTTCCCAGATTTGAAACATGCCAAGTAAAAAGTGCCAAGAGTTCCAGATAAATTATACTTTTGCTCATGTATTTTAATTACTTTTACCAAGCCTTTTAGTCATGCAAATAACAAGAAAACAAGAGAAAGAGCATCTCTTGGGTCAAGATTCAGTCATCTGGGTACAACAGCACAAAACAAAAGAGCTTCCAGCAAGTGACAATATTGATGCAGGGCCAAGGCAGGTGATGGATGTGTACAGAAACAGGAGTTATCACCTACTGAAAGCAATGTAAAGAGGTAATTCGCTCCAGGCAGCCTTCTCCCTGAGAAAATGCCAAGAGAATCAGCCCCTGACATCCATCAAACAGGGACTGATGCCTTGAGACTGTAGAAGAGGCAATGCAGTATCCACAGTTAAGGTGTGTGTGGCGAGGAAGGACACATGATCCGGATTAATGTAGGATCATTATTGGCTTCAACAGCTTGAAAGGCTTCTGAGCAAACATGAAGAAAAGAATTAACATGGAGGCAAGTGAAAAACAGAAAAAAATGTAACAGAGGCGCACCAATTTTGAAAACATTTTGGTTTTGTTTCACTAAGCAACTATTTTTTCTTTATACTGTAAAATGAATGATAAGCTGAATTTTCATTTCAATAAAAAACTTTTGATGCAATGCCATGTGACGTTAATAAGGCCGGATAAGCTGAGGAGGAGGAAGGAGCTTTAAGGTGGATAAACAACTAACTGTAACTGAGCCAGCCATGGACAACGCAATAAGGAAGCTAGTGGGAGTAAGCAGGATCTGCTGATAAAATCTGGAAATGACAAACACAGGGGAATTATTGATACTGAACACATATGTCCAGTGGAAAGAACTGATGGCAGTAAAGACCGCAACAATGGAGGATTAAGCACAGAACAAACGGCAAGGTCAAAGTCCCAAAGCCTGCTGTGAACTTGACTGCATACAGGGTGATCCTCAGTGGAGAAAAGCATGTGACAATGGACTTGAGTCCTAGTCATCACACTGACCAAAAGCCTCTATGATATGGCCATGTAAGCAGGGAGCACCATCCACAGAATATGTTCAGTGAAATGTCTCCACAGAACTAAAAGCATAAATACCTTTGTACTGTGCTGGCAAGACTCCTTTAGCAAAGGCACATGAAACCTTTTTAGTCTATATCAAAATAAAAAGAATTCACAAAGAAAAATGGCAAAAGCAGTTTGAGGATGTAAATACAATACTATTGAAGGAGAACAAAACATCTTGCTTACTCTAGCAAAAAGAACCTATTCCTGTGTTTGTTCAATAGGCAGGAGAATGGGAGCAGAACTGCAGCTAATCATAAACAGAGGATGAAAATTCAAAGGTGCCTCACCATGACAGTTCTGTAGCAGCCTTTCAAAAGGAGAAGCAGACACCAAACCTAATGAGTTCTAAAGAAGAAAATTAGGAGGTTTATATAAGATGTAATGGCACAATATCACAGTGGCAGAGCACTGGCAGTCACCAAGAAGTCCTCTGCAGCCTCTTCTTGCACTGACATATGCAGTCAAAGAACCAGAGGCTTCATTAGCTACAAGTGCTGGCTCAAGGATCCAGACACCTCCATTAGTGTCAGTTAAACAAAGTAATCCATAGTTTGCACCACTGTTGTGGGTAGGAACTTTTCATATATTCCCTTCCATTTAAAGAAGGCAAATGGCAATGCTGATTAGACGGATTTGCTGCAGAGGAGGAGTTTCCCATCCTCCAAAGGCAGCACTCGGACCAGGGAACAGCAGGGCTCCAGCAGCTGCTCTAGGACTTGCACAGCTATGGATCTGCTCGAGTTCAGCCCACAGCAGCAGCCTGACTCACTCACAGTCTGGGCAAGCAGCGGAAGCGACAGGCAGGTGAGAAGAACACTGTAACAACTGCGAGAGCTTTTAGCACTGTCCTTCCCAAAGCAAAGGGGAGAGGCAAAGGGAAAATAGACACATTTAACACCCAGTCATCCACATGCTGCATGTCACAGAAAGTGTTTTGCTGGCTTATGCATCTTCTCTGCACATCTCTGTCACTTGATCTTTCCTTGAAAGCAGCCAGACCAGTCTGAATCTGAAAATATTTTATTTTTTTAAATCTCCAGTAAGCACGTGAAGGAGCACTGAAATGCTGGAGAAGCAAACACGTAAACAAAACAGCCCATCACATCTTTATTTGATTTTTTTTGTTATTATTTCTGATGCTGCTGGATGACATTTTTACACCTACTGTCCAGCAAATACCTTCAGCTGGGGAAGTGCTTGTCACCCCTATTACCACAGCATATTCACTCACAGTAAAGCATGCTGCAATCAGTTGCTGAAAGGTCTTCTCCAAGCAATTAAAGTTTCTTATCTACCAAAAATCAGTTAGCAAAACAATGCCAGTGACAGAGCAGCATAAATTTAAGGCCCTGGATTAAACAAGGTAACAGACATGATCATCTAAAGCACAGTATTCAGTCATAGGGAAGGTAATGTTTGGTGAAGCCTAAATATGAAACTAATAGGAGTTTTGTTTTCTTAAGAAAAGCACCAACTAGGCTTACAAGTAATCTGAGAAGTTATTTAACAAAGCTGCAATTTTTAAATTTGCAAATTCTCTCATACACAAGATGATACTTTAACAGCCAGAACAATTATGTACTCCTGTAGAGGCAAAAATCCATAAAATGGACGAAGAGGCATTAAAAAAATTAAAAATACAAAATCACCAAGTCTGGAGCACCATAAGAAAACAGAATAATATCCCTAGATCTGTTAGCCCTCCATACAAATCTATCTCTCCACATAAAAGACTTCCTAACAATGTAACTTTCCATCACATTTAAGTACTGTGTCTAACACATTATCCTCTCAAGATAAAAACAGATGTAAAACATGGAAAGCTGCTTTATGAGGCTTTATTTAAAAAGATTAAAAAAATAATGACTTTTATTTGTTTTGAAAATCATCCTAACTTGCTTTCAAATACCATGCTTTATTATTAAATCTCAAACCCCTCAGTTTAGATATAGGTTAATCTGAATCAGGCTAAAACAAGGAGCAACTGTTTCACTGTCTAAATTAAACTTCTGGTCATGCCTAATTAGAGCATTTCATCAGAGTCAAACTGAACTAAATTTTCCAAATTAAATGAGTCAGTCTTGTGGTTCAATGTCTTCATTGAACTCAAATATGCTGCATTTTACATGGAATCCAAAGCTGCAACAAGTCAAGGGATTATTTTAAATTCATTCTCTATTCTGCAACAGCATCAATTTAATTGAGGACTGAAGAGCCCCAAAGGAAACTCATTCCACTTGATGTATCATCCAGTACCACTTTTCTAATTGCCAGATGAGCAGTTTAAAGGAGGTTGCAGTGGTTTGCACTGAAGTCAGAGGAAGTTGGAATTTAACACAAGTATTTGACACCGCTTATCCCAGCGGTGAAAAATTCCTGAAAAAGCATAAATGGACAGATATTTACCAGTAAGAATGAAACAAAACTGCTGATACGTGAACCAATAAAGTTCAGAAATGCAAATTAATCAAACTCAATGGATGAGATCTGCATGGAGGCCCAAAAGCCCTGGAACATTCAGCCTACTCCAGGAAACCGATTTAGCCTCACTCATACATCAAAGGGAGAGGGAGAAGCACAGCAGGCACTGAATCCATGCAGCATGGATTCAAGAAAATAAAACAGCTGAGGATCCAAAAGACAGTAATTTCTCTGTATGAGGTACAGTTACAAACACAACTGTTGACAAAACACACAGCAGTCAATAAAATAATTCTGCAGATCCCATTAGGAGGAAAGAGTCACCTGTTGCCCACAGAGTAATAAGCAGAGAGGTAACCAGTCCATGAGTAGAGAAGAAATAACTGTAGGTATAAAGGGAAAAATCCTGCTCTTTCCATGTGGCACAGAGCCCTGCTCAAAGCAAAGTGAAGCCTGTAGCTACCTAAAAAGACCTGGGATCTGCAGTGAACACCTTTTAGCATCCAGTCTTGCTTTATCTCAGTATTATAGCCCATAGATGTACTTTTGACTGTAATTGATGTTAAGTGTATGAACCAGACAGACATGAAATGAGATAATATAACTGAAGAAAAACAAATATATACTTGGTTTAAATAAGATTCATAAAAAGGAAGACTGGAAAGGACAAGATAAACAACTTGTACTCTGCTAACACGGTGCCTGTGAACATCACACACACCCCACAGAGCACCAAAGGGAGGAGATCACTCCAAGCATTCATGTTCTCCTCTTTGTCCAAGATAATACGCACTGAACAGACTCTTAACTCATACACAGTGTTAAACAAAGCCTCTGACAACCATGACATGCTAAACTGAACCTCAGCGCCTCGGCAGGAACAATTGGCTACATGGAGACAAGTCATGCACACACAGGGGTTTCAGAAAGAGATGCTGGTTACAAAGGACAACATGTACAACCTGGAGCTCTCCTCTACCTCCTTCTGCAAAGAAAAGAAAAAGAGAAGAAGAAGAGGAACAAAAGTTAATAGACCAGATTTCTGCCATGAGATCTGTAAAATGATTTCAGAAACGGGGGTGAAGGTTTGCCACAAGCTGATAAAACATTTGTGCAGCGAAGAGTTTTCCCATGCACTTCTTGGGACATAACACCAGTCAACTAATCTCTTTCAATCAATCTAGGTTAAACTAGTCAGATTTCATCCATACCTGCACATGCATCAACACATATGCTTTTGAGAGCTCTTTTTCGAGTTACAGTTCTTGTTTTATTAACTGAAGAATTTTAAATAATCTTAATACAGAATTGGAGCAGCTTATCATACAGGAAAGAAAACCTGTACTTATAGAGAGAAACAAAATTGATTCCTCCTTTCCCCCGGACTGCATCCACTGCCTGCATCTGAAGCATCCCTGCTGCTTCCCTCCTCACCCCCTGTACATTTTGCCCAGTATGAGGAAACCGGCAGCTCCCACGGAACACATTTTGCTTTTGCAAATACCGTAATGCAGAGAGATATTTTCTGGGTTTATACATCTAGGCAATTTTCCTCTGAGAAAAAAAAAAATCCAGAAGCCTCCTACACCAAATCTCATGTTTATGGATAGGTAATTTCAGGGCTAGTAAAGTTACATGAGAGTCATACTCAAAACTTCCGGTACAGACATGATATTTTTTAAGTCCGCCAATCAGATAATTCTCTCCCTGCACAGAAGAATCATATTACTCATTTGCATATGAAAGATGGAGGGTAAGGAATATCTTCATGGCAACAGGAGACACTCAAACTGGTTTAAAAGCAAAAATAGTTTTTGAAGTTACTGTCTACATGGGTATAATTACAGACATGCAATCACTAAGACAGGAAAATAGAGAAGCTATTTTAACCCAATTGCTAAGGAGAAGTCAAATTACTTTAGCAAATGAAGTGCTGGATTGTACCTAAAATAAAACCCCTACTTTCCACCTTAAGACATGCCTGCATGGATGCTCATTAGGGAAGAAAGCCTCCGGACCACCCTGCAGGCTTCTCCTTTGGAGCTCATGGAGGAGAAATCCCAAGCAGCAGGATGCTGCTGTCTTCTACCCAACAGCCAGTGTGGCAGAAGTGCTGTGTTGTGACAGTCAGCTCGGCACAGACCTGGAGAAGCTGAGGATATTTGGGGTCCACTCCAGACTCAGGTGGGCAATGTTTTGCTAGGCATGGACACTTCTGACTGTTTTCCTCTGAAGTAATTTTATATTTTATATATAACATCATCTTCCTGCCTGTCCTGTTCTGTTAGGGAAAACCGTCTCACCTAGACAGACACACATTTCAAGTCCTCTGGTTTTGTCCTTCTTTTTGCACAGTTACCCCAAGCCCTTCCTTGGTCCGTGCGGTTGTTTCAGTGTGTTTCAGAGCCAGATATTCCTCATTCCTGGGTTTTTAACTCCTTTGTATTTGAACAATTAGTCCTTCCTGATGTCTTTCATGGAGTCTCAGAGGGCAGAGGATGCAGAAGGCCTGGACTTGTGTCCCCTCTCAGGTCTGCCTTGGCTCTCAGTCACGTCGAGCGGGGAAACCCTGCTTTTAGCCCCCGGCTGGAAATCACTGAGGACAGATGGAGTCTCTGGCAGTGCAACAGCTCAACAGTACCAAGCTACCAGTGAGCATATGCAAGCTACACATTTTTCAAGAGCGTGTTCACTTCGCTCATTTGGGGTTGATTTTCCACAGAAAATTCCTTGACACAGACTAGCACTGCCAAATTTTAAGACCTCAGGGCACTAGTGCGTCTCCAATATAGGTCAAACTTATTTTTATACAAACACAAAGCAATAAGTCCTACACTAGACTAATTTTTTAATTAAAAAAAATAACACAAACAAACACAACAAAACATTTTAGCTTAAATTCCATACATATCCTTGATTTCTGAGCCCATCAATTTAAGGCGGTTAGGGACAGTTTCAGGCCAAATACAAAATTTGACAAAGCTCTGAGTAACTGCACACAAAGATCTAAAATCTTGTGTCTCAGTACAGCATGTGCACTTCATCAATGGTCACTAACTTGGTTAAATGCCTATCACAGAACTCTTTCACTATTCCACTTTTGAGCACTCACCTTACATCTACAAAAATCTCTATTTCAGGACTTTTCATTAAAAAAAAAAAATCAAACTATCTTCATCTTCACTTTCACTTTTTTTTTTTCTTTTTTCTCAAATTCAAATTTTAAAAGCTTCCACAGATTTTCAGAGGATATTTTATTTTTTTTCTCTTTTGACTTCCAATTAAACACAACAATTATGCATCTGCCAAGTTCCAAATTCTTCCGGTAATTTGCATCTGTGTACAACTATAAATAAGTTAAACCTTTATGCCAGTGCATCATCTCTGATTCACCAAAACATGCAGATTTACCAACACCTTCAAAGTTATCATCCATTCCTTTGCTGCAAGCTGCTGCCAAACGTATTTAATTAAATACCCTGAACTGAACTTTTGAGCAGACATGAGTACCAAAGTGGTTCAGGTTCAGAACCAAAAAACACAGCTGCAGAATTGGGTTTTCAGTGGACTTTACTCAGGAACTGGAAAGCCTATTAACAACAAATTAGATTTTTAAAGTGAGACATAAACACTCATCTAGGAAAAAAGGCAAACCAACAAGATTTCATTGCATTCCAAGTATGATGCTTTTTCCAAAGGAAGAAAATAAGAGCTTGGCTCAAACTTGAGTACATCAAAGCAGGACATAAAACTGCAGCTTCCCCTTCTGTAAAAATGCATGCCAGAACAACGCCATTTCAGAGCCACAGAATCACAGAGCCAGAACAACACCATTTCAGAGAGTCACAAAATCACAGAATGGCTTGTGGAAGGGACATAAAGATCATCTAGTTCCAACTCCCAAACAGCTTCCCTGCCTAGCTCTGAGGGTCTAGACTACTTTGCTTCCTGACATCTTCTCCAGGGTTTTTTCCCCAAGGTCTCTTCCTTTTCTTATCCTTTAACCAGTGTTTTCCACTACCCTTGACTCATTTGACTCCTCTCATCTCTCAGAGCACATTTCCTGCGTCACGATTTCATCACACACTTATTTTTATAGCTTCAATGGCCAAATCTAATACGTAGATCCACCTTTACATGAGTGTCACACAGGTACCAACTCTTTGTCATGTCACTAGATGATGTTCAGGAGAACTGAACCAGGGAGGCTCAGGAATGCCAATTCACCCTGGAGCCAGATTTGAGGTACTAAATCCAGCTCTGTTCCTCCTTCTCCTCCTTTACTGTTTTGGCTACTTCCCTCCTTGTGAACATGCCTGTACTGCTCAAACTCTGCTGAGATGATCAGCCTCCTCTCACATCCAGAAACAGGTTATTTCGATACTTTTGCTATACTGTGATATATGCTAATCCAAACCCCTGGCTGTTCCTTCAGGTCCTAAAATTAGGACATATGTCCAGACTTGAGCACCACGCCAACACTACCAAAAAAAACCAAAAACAAAAACATGTCTGCCAAGCCTGTCAACAAATCCCAATGTTTCCCTCACTAGCTTTATGATCAGCATAACTCAGAAGGTCATCGGTACAGAAGTCAAATACAAGTTGACAAACTGTTTGTTCACAGTGAAAGCACAGTCACTGGAAAAGCACTTGGAGTTAGATGACTCTTTCAGTCAGAAAAAGACCCCTCTGATTACTCTGACTAGCTTTCATGATTGCAGGAGGAGTGAACATAGTATTTGATACACAGAAGTTCACAATAAGGATGTGAGGATTTCAAGCTGCAATTCAAATATCTTCCACTCTTGAAACAAAGCCTCTTCCCTTAACTCTGTAGCGATCTGGACAGAGATGACACCAAGGAAGTGTTCTCAATGCCTGGAGAGGAAGGGGGCAGATGGAGTTACATTTCAAGTTTAGGTTCTGTTTTACCAAATCAAGGCCTATCAAAACATGTCCCATCAAAAGATGCTGGTCAGCTCTATCTCCCGCATGCTCAGGGATAGATTTAGCAGCACAGCTCCACCACTGTATCACCTCATATGGGCTCTTCAATATCTGTGCTGGAAGTAAGGCATGTAGTTCCACAGAAATGAACAATTTCTCATCTCGAGGACAAGTTACGGAAACAATACCAAAATACAAGTCTCAACCATTTTGTGTGTGTGTTTTGGTTTTATTTAGTTTTTATTTTTAAAGGTCTGTACTAGGGTAACATCTAGCAGTGATTAAACACTGAGAACTCCCACTTCGTGATAGAGTCACTTGAAGTCTAGATCCACTCAACTCACAAAACTGCAAATCTGGATACTTATAGCTCCAATGCACACTTTGTTATCACATGTCTTAGCTATTATATTTAACAAGAAACCAAGTCACGAATTATGATGAAAAACCTTAACACCTGCTATTTTGAAGAAGCACTGCAAATCTTCCTGTCTGGGAAAAAAAAAAAAAAAAAGGAAAAAAAAGAGAGAGGTGAAGCTTGCTAACTGGCATTTTAGTGTGTTACACAATAAATTTTAGGCAGTTTTGTCAGTAGTGTTGAACAGCATATGTACTTGTCTTTGTAATAATTTGCTCACAACTTCTAATAAACTGTTCACCCACATAATGAGGTTTTGGCTGCTGGCTGCACAAATATCAGATTTTGACATCTCCTTAAAAACATTTTTTTCATTTTACCTGAATTTGTCTCCTCAGCAGAAATCCAGTTTCCTTCCTGTGCTAATTCTTTTAAGAGTCTCCTACGCATTTGTCTCTTTTCCCTCAGCACATTTTTGAAATTGTTGATGCACTTGTTCAGGTAGATGGTCTCTGCGCACACCTTGTCAAGGCTCATGGGTCTGCACTCCTTTGCTGGCTCAGGTAGGGTGTTCACATCTTCTCCAAGCTCCTCAGGAGGTAAGCATTGCCCAGTAGGGATTTCACAGTCAGATGATGGCACCAAACTGGAAACAGGAGGCTCATGAGGAACAGAGGAAACACTGGAAGGAGCAAATTGCACCTGAGCAGATGCTTCGCTGTTGACATTTGTGTTTGCCTGGCTCTCAGAGGACTGACTAGGAGGGGTTTCTGCAAAGTTGTCAGAGCTGCCACCCATACCTGAACTGGTCAGCATAAGTGTGTTGTCATCATCCATCTGTAAGCCACTATCATTTTCCAAAAGGATTTCAGAATCACTTGTTTCCAGCTTATGAAATACCACCTGCAGAGCAGACCTGAAGTGGTGAATAGCTTTCCCAAGCTTATTAGTGTAAAACTTCATGTCTACAAGATCAATGTTATCCCGGGAATGGTCAAGGAAATACTGAGAATTTTCCAGGACATCCCTAAAGACCTGATCAGTTGGATCTTGATCATTCAGGTCCATTTGGATCATATCTTTCAAGCTGTCACTACTATCAGCCATTTCATCTGTTGTATGATCATAGCTAATGGTTGTCACCCCACTAGAAACATCTTCTCTTTGAATATCAACTTTCTCTGCACTGGTTAGTTTGCATGAAGTATCACAGTCTATTTCAATTTCTTCTGTAGTTATGCCCTCATCTTTTTCTAGAAGGGAAGAGCAATTCTCAGTGACATTTTCAGTGTCAAGCCTGTGCTCACCACCATTATTTGAAGCACACATCTGGTTTGCATGGCCAGAAGAGTCAGATGAGCAGCAGTGATTTCCATCACCTGATTTGGCCAAATTGGTCACCTGTGGATTTTGCAGAGGTTCATGAAGGACCTGGTGAATGTCACTGTCATCTGAAGGCTGCTCACCGCAGCTTGTTATTTGTGTTTCTTTTCCAGTCTCAGATACCGAGTTGCTATCCTTGGCTGATTTCTGCGCAGAATCGGGTCTCTGTCCTGTGCATTGTGCTTTCCTACTCGTGCTTTTATACTTAACCTGGAATGAGTCCATCTGGAGTGCACCAGTTCTCTGAGCTCCATCAGGATTCACCGAGTTGTGATGATTTTTCTTGAAGCCAGACTGCAAAGAGACCGAATCTGTTTTCTGGCCATTCTGCCGCTTTTGCTCCTCACTGGTAGCAATCCGGACCCCTGAGCTCTGTAGAAGGATAGACTTCTGTAAAATAAAGTCTCTCTGTTCACAACTGACAAGTTTCACAACTGCTGGTCTTGGCATTAATGGCTTGCCTGTACCCACATCTGATCTATAAGCATCTTTTATATACTTACTGCACTGAATACCATTGAAGCAGTGATACTCAGACAAGAAGCTGCAGATAAGCTCTACTGTGTTTTCACCATCTTTCTCTGGGATGCCATAAAAATATAATACTGGTTCTTCCTTTTGTACCTCCTTTCTTGGCTCTCGAGCATGTGTACCCTGGGTCTTGCCACTGGAACCACCTTGTAGGCCTTCTATCTCGCTCAAGACTGTATCCACGCAGCTGGAGACTTCATCCACAGAGCCTTTTATCAAGGTGAGGTGCTGACGGAGCTCTGCGATCTCCGTCTGGATTCGACTTATTCCCTGGAGTTCTTTAACAATGTAATCAACCACATCAGCTGAGCGATCTCTTGATTGCCTTCTACGGCTCTTGTATGCAGTGGGCTTTTCCTGGGGAAAGCACCCTTGCCTTTCAGCTGCATCCCTCCAGCTCATGGTAATGCTCAGGGAAGAAAGGTCCTGCCCCTCAGACACTCTGCTCTTTATTTCAGACGAGGTCTGTTCAGAAGAACTTCCCTGCGAGTCCTTCTTGTTCTGTTGAACCGAACATGGTATTTTCACATAGCCATCCCAGTTCAGTTCCACCTCACCAACACAAACTTCACTCACTCCTTTGGAATCACGTCCTTCATCCTGATGAAAGTCCCCTCCAGCTGTGGAGAATTCAGTGCTCCCGGGGCTCCTCTTTATTCCACAAACAAACACGTCTGTTTCAATCTCCACTGGGGATAGCTGGCAGCGATGTGCGTGGTTTGAATTATCATCTACCTGGCCTTGAAGAAGCCTCTTCATTTTGTCCCGCAGAAACAAATGGAGTTTTTGCTTCCGGAATTGCTTCCTGCCCCACAGTTTTACAACAGGTTTTCTGTGCAGAAGTGAAATTTCATTTTCTTGCTTTTTCAATCTACTTCTAGCAAACATCATCAGCTGCACCTGCGTTTCTCATAGTGCTACAAGCTGCAAAAGCACACATCAATCACAACTCGCATCCAGTTTTTATTCTGTCATGAAGCAGCTACCGAAAGAGGGGAAAAAACATTACGGTTTGGTTCAGATAGAAATAGCCAAAATAACTTAAGCAGCAGAATAACAAAAAAAAACAAGAACAGCATACACATGAAATCAGACAGAAAGCGAATGTGCTATTTAGAGTGTATAGACTTGCTTTTGGTCACCTCCCCTGATCAGGTTCTTCTTTGTAGAAATAAGCGTTCCTCACTTCCTCTTCTATTCAAGAAAAAAAAAAAAATCTAAAAAGCAATTGTGGTCATTCCCTTTTTCTACAAGGTTTGCAAATTACTCTAAGCTTGAGTTCCTGGCAATAGTGGACTATGTGATTTAATTACCTCTCTGAATACAGAATTTCCGACATTAGAAATTCTATCCTTGCACATTTCCTTTCCTTTCAAGTTCACAATCCTCATCCTTTCTTGCTTCAAACCAAAGCAGAAATCAAATTCAACTTGGCGCACTACCAGCTAGCCCACAGGAATTGCACAAAGTGATGTAAAGTGGCAGAAAGATTGGATGACAGATTTCAAGTGTAAAACCTTTCTGCTATTTTAATACTTTCATCTTAATATTTTGCTACCAAACAGTAAAAAAAAAACCAAAACCAAAATGAAGCAAACCCAAAAAACCTCAAAGCTTGCAAGCTCCCGAGCTAACCTGCAGTTAAATATGCCACACTCAGCATATGCACAAACAGGCTGAGCTGACAGCAGGAAGATTCTGCATGTCACTTCAACTCTCAAGATTTTGCAGTGGATCATTTTCCCCGATTTAAATCCCCTCTGCAAAGAGCAAAATAAAAACAAAAAACCCTTACTATGTTAACTACTTCAAACTTTGACGTGTCTTTGCTGCACTTAGTAAGCAACATAACAATCAGCTTTTCCCTCCAGAGTGTAAGTTAGACAGAGACCCATAGTGAGAACCTCCTGGAGTCACTGTGACTGGAGAACACAAGTGTATTTGATGATTCAGTTTGGACTTGCTGCTGAAGCACATATTCTTTCTCATATTCTAATTTGGAATAAGAGCTATAGTACCTATTTTCCATTCTAGTTCTCAAAAAAACCCCCAAACATTTTCAAGCTTCACAATGCACAAACCTAATCATCACACCATCACATCCATTTGCTCCAAAATCTCTCAGAAGCTTTCACCTGGTCCCTTTTTTGGGACCGCATACAATGACTCCCATTTTCAAAGCATTAACTCAAAGTTTCCAAACACTGACTCGAAGTTTCTTCACCTGCACTGATCCCAAGCTGCTGAGGTGCAGAAATCCTCCCTAACATGTCCTCAGCTCCACCTCATAGCTGGCTGTGCTGCTGCCAGCAGCGAGCATGCTGCCTGTTAGCGAGCATTTTCATCGTGGTGAGCATTTTGTTTTCACTTTTGTTGCTTCATTTTGTGGGTAGGAAAGGAGAGAGTGTTTTTTGATCTGGAGGAAGGAGCACTGCAAATACCAATGTCTATAATAAGAGCTTAATTAATATGCTATAATAGAAGCTGCATCTGTGCTTCAGGTTGAAGTCCCATCATTGAGCATTTCAGCTGAACTACCACACCAAAGGCAGCACGTGCCCTTACGTAGGCTAAACAAATTCTCTGTGAGATTGATTGATGGCTGCTTAAAAGAAAACAAGTTTTAATTTTATAGAACTTTCAGGCCATTGGTCCAGAAAAAAATTTTTTTTTTTTTAATGTCTTTCTTATCTAACTACTCCCCTATAGAATAGGGTTGACATAAGAAATACTTTCTCAGACTCTCTTCTTCCACACAGTTTAGCTACTTCCACTTGATTGGGTAACTGACCTTTAACACCAGAAAATCACTTCTCTACCAGTACTAAGAAGTGAACCCTCAGAGACCAAGCACCTCGATTCAATGGCAGCCAAGAAAAAGGGCTCCGCAGTTCTGGCTCCCTACATGTGTTGCTTGAGGGTAGCACACAGAAATGCTCATTTCAAATATTATCCAGCATACTGAACTCCAAGTGCTAGGAGAAAAGCCTACCTATGCTTGTGCAAAGTTTCCCTCAGAAAGCTCGATCTTCATCATGTTTCCTTCCATACTCAGCTTCCAAGGCATCAGAGGGGCTTAATGATCATTTCAGTTAAAAAAAATAAGAAATCAATTCAAAACGGTGTTTGCTCTCATTTCTTTTGTCTGCTGCAACACTCAACAGCAGCAGTTTGATATAGAAATCACTTTTGCCTGCTGAACACTTTCTTGCAGAACTGCAGCTGTTTCGAAGCTGGAAGCTCAAGTGCAAACAGTACAATGCTGTCATTTTTATTTATATATACAGTGTTTGTGGTTTATGTATATGTATGTATGTATATGTAGGTATATATAGATATACAAGAATACCTATTTCGTAGGAGATTTTCAAAAAAAAATCCTTGATTTCATCAAATACCATCAGTATCTTTCCATCTTACCCCAAGAAGGACAGAAACTGTTTCCTCCCAAGATGGGAACAAGGTCGGAGCAGAACACGTGGACAGCAGCTCTAGCTCAGAGGGAAGCCTCCCTACCTCTCCCTACAGTGGGTGGAAATGAACAGAAATTGCTGTTTACCACCAAAGAGCAAATCACTGCCCACTTAGACGAATGCCAAGAAGCAAGTAAGAGAATCGCCCTCTTTGCACCTCTCCCACAGGCTTCCTCTTCCTCCATTCCCTGCCTTTTGCCACCCCAAACCCACACTCAGGCCTGGAGTTCTGGACATTCGCCCACCTCATTCTGTGGGCTGTCCCCAGAGTGCCTCTGCACCTCCTGCCAGGGTCCTTCACTCCTCCTCTCCACCCAGGGTGTGGGTGCTCCTGTCCCATTCCAGTGCTCCAGACTTGGGTGCTCTGCAGTCACTTGTGCCCTGTAAAGATCTCTTATTCCTCTCAGGTTGCCTGCATTGGGGTCATTCTTTTTTGTAGCACTGATGTGCAAAGTGACAATGAAAGTTACCGCAGGTTCAGCCAGGGGAAAAAAAAAATCTAATCTAGATGCAAATCCTTGCTGAAGTCTTTTTCTCTTCCAGAATCACTCCAGGAGTCACGTTAACACATAACAAGAAATCAAGTCTTTAAAAAAAAGAGTATTTGGATCTTGGTATCCTGCCAGATGCTGCAAGCCTTCACTGACTACACAAGGTTTGTTCTGACCGCCTTGTTAGCAAGCATTTCTCTCCAGAAGAACTCTATGCTCAGTTCAATGCAGCTGTCTCTGGGTGTGCAGGCTGGAGAGCAGCATACAAAGGTACCATCATTTCTATGTTCCCTAAATTCTCAAAATGAACCAATGCTCAAGCTAAACATGAGGAACACATTGATGCTTTACTTGAGGATGATTGAGTCATTTTGCTATTTCCATGAGGACAAAGCTGACATATTAAGATTTTTAACAGGGGAAACACACGAGCTACCACAAACACTGCACAGCTTATTACCTTGTCACTGGACACACTTATGAAATATCCTTGTAATGTAATGTAATATAATCCACGAACAACAGTTACTTTTCCTCCTGACACATGGATTTGCCATGACAACAGGAGCAAAAGCATGGCATGCCAGCATCCATGAAGGAGAAAGGAGAACATGAGAAATCCCATGAAGGAATAAAATGCAATTATGTTATCTCTGCTTGGGATCAGTCATATTATACTTTGGGCACTTGGGGAAGGCCAGGCTCTTCCCAGGGGGAGGGGAGATGGCTGCAACCCCCTCTGAGCAGCACCTTCAGCTCTGTGAGCCACTGGCCAACATGGTTCAGAACAAAGGTAGCACTGTGGTGCCTTCAGCACTACCCCACACTGCAGTGAACTGGCTGCAGTCCAGTGGAAAAAAAGGGAGCGGAAGCACACACCCTATGTCCATTAAACCTCTGCTAAAATGAGGTGGGTTTATCTTACAAAATCATAGAACTCTTTAGGTTGGAAAAGACCTTCAAGACCTTCAAGTGCAACTGTTAACCCCACACTTCCAAGGCCACCACTAAACTAAGCGCCACATCTACACATCTTTTAAATACTTCCTGGGGGGCTGATTCCACCCCTTCCCACTTGGGCAGCCTATTCCAATGTTTGACATACTGACATTTTTACTGGCTGTCTGGTTTTCATCACATCATTGTAAATACTGAGACACCTTTACCCCACAACATCATGCTAGAATGTGGTGGTACCTCAGGGTAGATGTGATGTTCAAGGTCACCAGCAAAGAGATACAAAAATAATTAACTATGATCAGAAAAACATTTCACAGCAGCCTCTCTGGCTATTGATTCGTGCTACTGAGTGAAGTCTTTTTGATTAGATTATATTTACAGTATCTTCCACACAAAGTGGTATTGTATTACCTGTACTAGCAATTACACTAGGAAAAGAATAAAATGACTGATAAATGGTCTTGCTACTTTATAAAGAACCATTTAAAAATGAAAAATACCAATAACTAAAATGTAGGACATTCTGGGAATAAAAAAAATTGGCATTAACAAGAGAAAGAAAATCATGGCTAGGGCTGCCATAGCAACATCGCCCCAGCACTCTGCATGCTGAAACTGACTCTTCCTGAGAATATTATAGCATTTTTAAACACATTAATTGCTGAAATAATCCTAACAACAAGTCTTGACAGAGGTATGAAGGGTTACCGTCAGTTTTGCTGATGGATGACTTCTGGAGAGGAGCCTGCAATTTTCTAATTAATATGATTACATTTAATTTTGGGTTGGATCATATCTGAATGTGGCACTATTGCTTTGCTTCTAAGAATGTGTCTCTCTTCAAACCTTGTCCTGGTAACTAACAAAAACTCTAACTTTTGAGTCCTGGCATGACTAAGAAGGTACTGAGCTGAGGAATCCTGGGCAAAAAGCAGGACAGCTGGAGAACAAAACATACTGTTGAGAAACGTGTTCACCTCGGGGCATTTTGGCTAAAAGTAAGCTGCAGAAGAGACACATGGAACACCACAGTGGATTAAAGATGAAATACATCCATGCCATTGAACAGACAGTAGTTACAAAAGAATAAAAGTAATTTTAAAAACAAAACAATGTGAGCAGAGGAACTATTACTCAGCTCCTCATCAACCCTTTCACAGTTCCTCTGCAGCGTAGCCTCAACTTAAGTTCTTGTTCAGGACAGCCCCACCTGTAAAACTTTCTTAAGTTTTTAGCACTTCCAATGGTATTTTCCAGGTTTCTTGTACCTACATCTGTTTCTATACAGCTGAGCAAAAACTGTGACAGAACACTTCAATGCAGGTATCAATGACAGCCACACTTCCCACCTGACACATTCAAGGAAAAAAAACCCCACACTTGAAATCTTTCCAAAGCAGTTTGATAGATGTGATAAAAGGTCAGGTGCGGTCAGTCAGTCCCCCTCATGGTGGAAAAATGATCCACGGAATACTGCATATTACACAGTTCTGCACCTCCCACATCACAGTTATTTCTTACCTTTTACACAAGGCCATCCAACCAAAACAAAAAAGCACCTCTGAATAATATCTTGCTGTACGAGCAAGCTATCAGTGCAACTACAAAGTGAAGGAACAGTAAAAATCACAAACTATGAGTGTACAACACCCACTGAAGTGTTCTGAGTGCATTCCTCAATGTCAAAATTTCTGTTGCAAAACAGCATGAAATTAAATTAATGTAATTAAAGAGTATCACTATGTAGTAGAACAAGGAGATAGCACTCCCTGCCTTAACTCCTTAACACCCTCTACAAATGTAGGGACCAACACAAAAGTTAAATGCGTCTCAGCTTTCTCCAAAATGGGACTAATGTCAGTCATCCAGACGATATCCCTTCAGTGAGCACAGATGGAGAAGGACTAAGTTGCCCAGGCCGTAAGTCCAGCTGCGTTGGGAAGCCCTGGAGGGCACCTTAGCACCAGGCAGCCCTTCTATCCTTCAAGGTGTGCTCATTTCCCTCTGCAGCACATCCTTCTATCACAGCTTTTCCTGCAAGCTGAAAGCAGCAGTGGCTGGCACAGCGATGCATCGCTCGCAGTAACAAATGAGGTCTGTCACCACCTGGCAGCCAGGAAAAGGCGGCATCCAGAGACAGAAATAGGGGTTGTCCCCAAGCGCAGAGGGAGGCACAGCCTGGAAGCTGCCGACCATGGCAGTGCAAAGACTCATGCCTAGCAAGCAGCAAGCTAAGTCTAAGGCACTTACCTAGTTCTGAGACAATGCTGTGCTGAGAAAAAGGCAAAAAGGATAACTCACTACCAAAAATAGAAATCACAGCTGTTTCTGTCGTTCTTATGTAAAAGTTTCTTCACTCCTTAGAAGAGAAAACAAAACCTGAGCAGCAGCTATCAGCAGTTTAAGAGCAAATGGAGAAACAACTAAGTTCAGCAGCCCCCTTATTTCCAGAGCTTGAGGATTTTGTAAAACAGCTGGATCAACCAGTAAATGGTTTGCCTAGGACAACCTAAAGCACTAATTATTCCTTAAAACAGATTTATCCCAAATCAGGATCCTAAGGACCAAGCATTATACTGAAAAGACAAGCCAGGACCAAGAAGCAACTTCTTATTTAAAGGAAACAGCTCCAAGGACTGAAACAAAAGTATGAGGGCATGCTAAGTTGGCTGGCCATGGGATCAGAAGCATCTGATGGAAATGTCTGCCACGTTTTGGGGAAAGGTTTGTGACTATTCAGTTACCTCTAACAAGAAAGCAGACAGACAACTTACAGCCCAGTGCTGAGTTACTGTGTGAACTCTCCAAGTCCTGCATTTCTGGCAAGAACCACCACGAAACACATCCTTAAGAATTTCCTCAAAACACTTGATGACTCCCTGAGGAGGTCTGCAGCTGTTTTTTCAGGTGACAGTGCCTCAGCTCACAGGGACATTCAGGTAGGAGATGGACAGGCAGCACTCACCAATGAATTAAGAGACCCAACTTCTGTTGTCAGGGCAGAGAGAGCACAGCCCTCGTACTAACTGGCGCTACACAATCTTGCTCACTGATTTGACCTGCTCTGCACTCCTTTAGGGCAGACACTTGGCAGTGTTCAGCCGGGATGGGTGAAAGTAATGTATGCAGCAAATGGAATTAGGGTTTTCCAGCTCATGCTACTAAAATGCAGCACTCGGCAACTAAAATCCTCCTGGGGTAAAACTGCAGCTTTACTTCTATAAGCTTTCTCCTTTTCATCTCGAGGACAGAAGACCTCAGCATCCTGTATTAAGTCTTGAGGTTTATCCCCCAAAGGCTCACTCCATTAGCAAAAGAAAGCTGCCCATATAAATGGAAGGAAAACTGAAAAGATATCTGAAACAGTCACACCATCTGCTCTGATTCACGAGCTTGTACAGCATCCTCATTGCTCCTGCATGCCAGTCATTCCATCTCATCAACTCACAAGCTTCTCAGTACAAGAAATCAGGCCAATGACAAACACTCTGTGTTAAAAGCGAGCCTTTTCTAAGTGACATTTCAGGAGAATCAAACCAGTAATTTAATTACTTCAAGTTATTTGCTTTTCAAGTGATCAAATTTAATTTATCCCCAAGCCCCTTCCCTTTAACTCTTCTTCCCATAGTGATTTTGATGTCAAATTCCAGCTGAGATACAAACCCTCCTAGCAGAAAAGTATGAGAAGTAAACAGACACAACCTCAATTATACCAGTCATAAGACATCTACAATTAGTATCTAAGGGGTGAAAACAAAAACTAAGAAATAGAGCATACAAAGGAACATACTAAGTGTAAATTGCTTTTACAAAGACATTTTTAAATCCAGTCAGCTTCGAATGGAGCTATTGTATTGCTAAAGTAAACACACACAGAGCCCACTCTAAAAATAAAGAGCAATTCTCCTTGGTTGCTGCCTACTTGCAGTTTATACCCAGCCACTTCATTTGTTCCAATCTTTCACTTACCTTGCTGCTTCAAAATAAAACAAAAGGTTAAAATGTAAAGGAAATTTATAGAATTAATAGAAAACTACAGAATACAATAGCTTGTTCTCATAGAAAATACAGGTCCTGAAGGATTCCTAATCTTGTTAAAGGTTCACCGGATAATGAACTTTTACTATGGAGATTATCAACATATTGTTGGTGTCCCATCTGAGGTATCAGGGAAAGCAATTTTAAAGGCACCGAGAGTTTCCCGTTCCACAGCAGCACTAGGATGAGAAATCACATAAAGTTGAAGGCATGTTTTGAAGGGGATAAAAAATGCAAACAGCTACTAAAAATCCAAAAAGCAAAAAACAGCAGAAGCCAACAATTGTAAAAGCCAAAAATGAAGAAATCCTTTTGGTTTCCAGGAGCATCCCTCAACAGAAATTCTTTAGTTCCCCACCACAGTGCATCTTTTCCCTTTCTCAGGCTGTACCAAGTACAGTTAAAACTTCATCCTTCTCTTCAGTTGTGACTCAACAGAAAATATTGTACTTCAGAGGCAGAGAGAAAGCTGTGCAGCTATTGCTACTTTACTCCTCCTCGTCAGCTGCCTACTGCCTAGCTCCTCACACACACGCAGCCTCCCCGCTTCACTCCTCGCCTCAAAATGATTCTCCACTTTATTATCCATTCAGAAGGAAATGCGAACTGATGGAGCCAATCTGACTAAAGACAAAACGCACTCCTTTGGCATTACGAGAGCAGGCAGTGCAGCGCAGTGAGCTGATCTCTGCTGGAAAAGAGCTCTGCCTGACTCCTGGCATCCTGCGGGACTGTGGAGAAGGGGGGGGTGGGGCTGGGGTAAAAAGCTCAGGACTCAACATAATTAACCAGCTCCAAGAAGATTCTTTGCCCCGTTTATTTTTATCTCTCCTGTTCACCCCCAGACTAACCCGCAAGATTCAGCGATGCCCTCGCTGAAATGAATCCAGTTTCCAAGGAAGACTAGTTCTGGTACAAGTGTGGGGGATTGAAACACCCGTTGATCTCTCGTTTCCCAAAAATAAAAGTCACATTGTTACATAAAAGAATGACTGCAGAAGTGTTGTGCACAGAATCATATCCACTCACGTTGTACTGACACTTCTCTCCTGGGAGTGAGCAGCAGCAGGCACTCATCCTACAAGAAGCAACTGAATTACAGGCACTGTACATCAGCCCCACAGCCTGCTCCAGGGGTATCCAACACACTGCTGCTAAGACAATCTTCCTGTTGAACAGTTGATCCATGTTCATATCCTCTGTCCCCCCTCTTCATGCACCCAACACAAGCACCCACCTCCTTCCTGAATACTGATTCTCTGCCTTTAGCATCAAAGGCACTGTATGACTGCTGGTTCTGCTCAAGGACAACTCACTGCATCTTTCAAAACAGTGTCTTTTCACAGTGTGGGGTAGGATTTTGAAGAGGCCTATATGACTTAGCTGTGGAAATGCCACTATCCTCCCATCTGTTCAAATACCTCCTACCTCCTTGTGAGCCAGCCTTGCTGTGAACGATATATCCCCTCCAATGTCTTACCTACACCAGAATCAACTTTTATTCACCACTTCCTCCACAATCATCACGGGGCTCCCACCCCTGTCCTCGCTGCAGGGGGATATTCTCCCCTCAGCTTCTACCCCCTGCTCCCACAGCCCCACCCCAGCATGTTGCTGTAGTGCCAGCTGACAACAGCCAGGCTGGTGTCCCTATCAGCTCATTTCTTTGATTTGGGTAAGGGCGAGTTTTGCACACAGGCAATCTAATGTCATGATTCACAACACTGTCTCAGCAGCACCACTAGTGACCTTTACCTCTGTTCTTTCCACGTGCACTGCCCCTTTCAGTCAGGCACAGAAACCACCTTCCAGACCCCCTGTAAGGCTGGTGTTCCTTTGTGGTCACTCATATACTCCATCCCCCAGAACATCCTCTCATTTTTGCTCTTTCCCCTGCTGCAGGGGCTGGGACTACAGGTCAGATTTTGAGAAGTGCTTTAGCTTTAAATGATTTTAAGAGTCTTACCCCGGGTTTCTCATTATATATATTTCCATCCCACCTGGAGAACAGGGCTCCTGCCCAACTGAGGGCACCGAGTCCCACTGCAATAGAAATTATTCCACTAGACACACCAATTATAGCACTTGAGCTCAGAGTCGAAGCTCTGCATTAAATTCATCCATATAAAAATGAAGACTGCCCAACAGAGAAAATAAAATGCAATCCGGGATTTGTGCAGCATTTAGTATCTTCAAAGCCCTGCCTGTGAATAAGATGAAAAAGATCTTCTGAGAGGTCTCCTTCATAGCAATAGCTTAAAAAAATATTAAGTATCCATCAGACAATACTTTATTATTCCCATTAACTCTCTACAGCACCTGAAATTAAGACAGTCTTACAGGCTTTTGCATGCCTTACTCTTCCTAGAGATCTTACTACAAGTGCAACCAACATCATCTTGCCATCGTTGCCTCTGTTCTTCCCATTTCTTCCTTCCTTGGTCTTTGCCCATTCCTGCAGTACCAGACATTAGCACATCAAAGTACCAAACATAATGCGGCTCTAGCTACAGTTCCTAAGACCCAAAAAACCTGTGCAAATTTCCAAGCACTGCAACAAGAAATCCCAATACTCCCATGGCTGTCATACAAGAACAGGAGCAGAAAAACACATGGAAAAAGTGAGCAGGCCTCAACAGACAAAGAGACAGGAGACACTGCTAATGCAGGTCATGAGCAATGGAATGATGGAAAAATGTCACTGCCCTCACCACAGCTCACAAGGAGCTGGAGAGGAAAATGTGGCTAAAAAAAAAGACAAAAAAGCAGGTGCCCTCAGAAGCAAGAAAGATGGCACCTTCCAAACATTTAGAACCCCTTACCCAATGCACAGGAGATTGAGACAGGCTTTTTCAGAGATTTTTTTCCGAAATAATGAAGATAATTCATAATTGTGAAAAATAGGCATGACTTGCCTATTTCTGACTTGCCTATTTTATGACTCTAGAAAAAGTCAGTGAGAAAGAGTATGCTTTACCTTAAGGCTGAGAGCACTGAGTTATTTGCCTTCTAGAAGAGAAATAAACTTACACTTAAAAATTTAAATACTTCTTACTGCAATTATTTAATTCACCAACAGATTTTAATTTTAGGTTGAGCCAGCAGGGAATTATTAAAACTGATAAAGCCAGGCTCAGCTATATAGGCCAAATGCTTTGATGTCTGAGAGGTATACATTACCCTTTCTTCTTTTTTAATCCTCATTATCTATTTCATTCCAACTTCCTGTAAAGTAGTGAATTACTGATAAAATTGTAAAAAGTAAGCAATTCCTTCATGAGCACGAGTGGATTAACGAAAGGAAAATGAGCACTCTTCGAGCACAGGTCCTGCTCCTCCCTCTCCCAGACTTATGCCCCTTCTCCCTGCAGGAAGACAAGCAGGAACATTTCTAGTGTCCTGGCTCTGGGGAAAGTACAGAATTGAGTGGCTAAGGAAATTAGCCACGATAAGAATGTTACACAGAGAGATGAAAAAGAAACAAGAGGGGGAAAAGTAGAGAGAAAAGTCAATGGAGAGAACTTGTCTGGTACTGCAGGGGAAAATTCTGTCCAGCTCACTCTCAGGTTTAATTTGTCTCACAAATGGCCCTGGACATCTCTGACTCTAGAGCTCTCTAAAATAAAATTTTTATTTGACTTGAGAAAAGAAAAAGCCATCTGTCCCAAGTGAAACCGCCTGCTGCATCTCCCTGAAGGCAGAGTTTTCAGTAAGGTAGCTTGAGTTCAGTGCTTCACTAGACAGTACGGGTTCAAATACACTGTGTAAAGTTTATCAATTTATTCAGCAGTGAAAACATGCTATTTATTATGTTTTTCAAAGCCACGAGAAGATTAAATCAATCAGCAGTCTAAATATGAAGTGTTAATGAAAAAGCAGTGACCTCCTGCTGTTTGACAGCTGTCCTCAATGAATACCAGCTTTGAGGAGCTGTGCATCACACAACCCCAAGCAGGGCTGCTGAGACCGAGCGTGGAAGAGGAGAGTTTCTGTTCTGAGGAATTTAAAACTGCCCTGTCAACGATGCTGCTGTTGTTACAGTAGCTCCAGAACACATGTATGAAACATATGCTTAAGACATTGCTTTCAGAAGAAAGAACAACTTCAAGAAGGGGTCATTCAAAGCACTGACTCTTTCTTTTCCCCTTAGGAAAGGCTAAGGCAAGGCACAAGGGCAACATATAAGCTCGGAAAGGAAGAAAGACACAGGTACGTCCTACAGCACCTTGAGCACCTTGGAAACTGATAATGGCCAGACATTGGCATTGAAAGACTTGAAGAAAAGGAAGGAGATAATCTTACCTAAAGTTCTTACCCTTTAAAAAGTTGGGTTTTTAACTCTCATGCAAGCTGAATTATTTTGTTTATAGAAAGACAAGAATGGCACTGGCTCATTGAAAGAAAAAGCTAAAGATCAGAGGTATCGGGACTGCTTACCTTCCTAAGACAGGCAACCTAAGTCCCTTTGTTGCCCACGGCTGAGACCAAACCACTGGCTGACTCAGTTTCATAGGAAAGATGTTTACACTCCACATGTTATCATCATTTCACTGTAAGGACAACCGCTGAACTCTGAGACACGAACATTTCTAAACTAACAGAAGGAAAGACTTTCACATACCTGGGAATAAAGGATATTTCCATGGCCAAGAACGTAGTAAAATTCAAGGAATGGAATTTTTGTTAGGTTAATGAAAAAAATGACTTAACATAGCACCAGTGTTTTTGAAGAGCCACGAACTATACACTCCATACTTTAGGTCAATCTTTATCAGGCAGGGATTTATCAGAGACCTTAGAGTTGCCTACAATGAGACCTCCCATCTCTGTCCCTCTGAGGGTGCTGCTGCCACACCAGTCAAAAACTCCTCCAGAGGCTACAACAGATCTAGTCCGATGCGGGAATTTTTAAGGTGTAAAATCCTTAAGGGAGTACGGGTCATGAAGTTAGAAAAGCTTGTATTATCATCCTCCAATGGCAATGCCTTTCCTAAGAGATGTGAGACAGCCCTTCAAATGCACGGGCTAAACCTGCCTGTCCCTTTCTTGTCTCCATGTGGATACTTGCACTCTTGGCTTCGGGGTACCAAAAACCAAATGCTGTTAGCTCTGCAACCCAGCACTTCACAGAAGAGGCTATTTTATACCTCACTCAGTAGGTTCCAGCCTCTTCGGGGCAGAAACAAGCCTTGGCTCCTAGACACCACACTCCTTCCAGAAGCCACTCCAAGACAATGCCAACCCCACTCGTCACAGCCCACACCAGCCTTCAAAGTCAGGGTGATGAGACTTTAAAAGCAGAACTGTCTCAGGTGACAGCCTGTGGGGTAGCATGTTGTCCCCTTGTGCTGCAGCAACAACAGACACAAAGCCTTCCTTAATGTGCTTAAGGAAAACAGCAAAATATCCCCAGAGCTTTTACCCTGGGTTTTGGCTGCCCCTCTGAATGCACAGAAGCCCTTATCTAGCTGAATTGTCATTCTCCATTTTCAGTCAAAACATGTAAGTCAAAGATGGACTCTTAGAAAAACGATGCTGCCTTCTGCCACTCAGACAACTTGAAAATTTTAACAGCTGGCTGTCCCTGTTCCAGAAACA